GCACGCACACACACACACACACACACACACACACACACACACACACACACACACACACACACACACACACACACACACACACACACACACACACACACACACACACACACACACACACACACACACACACACACACACACACACTTCAGAATAGTATTGACTTACACATAGTTGTCTGATCTTTTCATGGGGGTTGTTGACAAAGACAGAAATACAGCCTTTTCCTTTAAGTAATTTAGCCCAGGCTGAAAACAATTAGTCCTGTTCTGCCCTCCGGGTACAACTTTCAAACCAGTTTCATCTCTGGATGTGGTCAGAAGTGTGCTTTGTTGCACCTGTAAACACACACTACAGTGATGTCACAGAGTCATGGAGCTCCTGTACGTCACTGCAGAAAGGTGAGTTAAACCCAAGGAAGTCAACAAAAAATGACATTTTTGGGGGTTGTTAAATTACTCTTTAAGAAATCAAGTAACGAAAGTGGAGTCCTTTAAGTATTTGGGAAATATACTGGACATACACTGATATTTGAGAGCAACACTGACATGGTGTTCAAGAAAAGCCATCAATGTCTGTTTTGTCTGAAAGAAATGTAAAGCTCCAGGTTGACAAGACCTTGATGTCAATGTTTTATTGATCTTTTATTGAGTCTATGTGTTCACTTTCTCTTTGCTGATATCATCTCTCAAAGTCAAACACAGAAACACGGTGGTCACTGTCTGAAGCAGAGTAACTGTCCCTGAACGGGAAACTGCAGGATCTTTACAACAAACAGTTTAAAATTCTGAATCCATCCTGCCTCACTGTTTTCATCTTTTACTGAACCTGCTCAGACTCCCACTAGCTAAAACCTACAACTTCCAACACTACACCGTCTGCCATCTCTCTCACAACTCTAGACGAAAGGTCATTATTTGCACAATCTTTTAACTTACGGATTTTGGTGTTAGATGTATGGCCCCTGCGTTTTCTTTTGTCTGCAACACACTGCTGCATACCAACCAATGCACTGGGGACAAATACAGTTATTTTATTGTTTTCTATTTGCATGTGATGAACCAACCAGCAAATGTAGGGAATTTGTCATCATTGTTTTGCTTTTTACACCCCACTGATTCTCTGTTTCGGTTCCTTTTTATTGCTCTAGCAGCTTTTTTGTTGTTGTTGCAAAAAAAACTACTCTTTAGTACCTTTTCAGCACAAAAAAGTTTAAGTCCAGCTGGCGATCACAGTGGAGCATTCAGCAGCTAAAGAGACAGATATTTTCCTCAGGAGATTGTATTAAACAAAATGGTGAAACACACACAACCGTTAAAGAGGACATATAATACTATTTTCAGGTTCATATGTGTATTTTGTGCCTCTAATGTGACATGTTCTCATACTGCCTGTCCTGAAGCACCTCTTTTCACCCTCTGTCTGAAACCAGAGCCCAGTCTGCTTTGATTGGTTAGCTGGCCGGCTCAGTTGTGATTGGTCAACTGCTTAGAGATGTCCCGCCCCTTAGCCTATCAGGTAGAATCTGTTGAAACGCCAGCAAATAAACCCAAGTGTTACATAGCGGTAATGGAAGTAAACAAAAGAGTGCAATGGAGCGTTTCAGGCAGGGGGGGGGGGAGAGTGTGGGGTAAAGAGACTTGCTCTGACATTGACTTTGGGATTTTAGCCTTTGCAGACCATCTACATGCACAAAAACCTATATAAGACACTACAGGAAAGGCCAAACAAAAGCTTAAATCAATTCTTAAGTTGTCCAAACCTGCCGAACGCGTAAATAAGCAACCATATACTAAGAACTGTAACATGTCAAATGTATCAGGTGATAATATGTTAATGATGAGATCCAAGCTTATGTCTACTGCCCTCAAGTGGCCAAAAACTGAGTTGCGGCATGTTTAAAAGACGTTTGGAGCCCTTCAGTGAAGCTAAATAATGTTTACACTGAGGGGTAAATTCAAATCCAAAGACTTTAAATTAAAATATTCCTCATTCGTCCAATCATGTTGTAAACTTAGTAAAACCTTAGTCTTACATGTTTGATATATCTGAGGTATATTAGAATTTGAAAGATGGAGATAATCTTCTCATCTCATCAATCTCTCTGATCTTATTATAAGAATTATAAAGTAATTGTTAGACGTCTCACTTCTTACCTCTCACCTCTCTCTCTTAGCAGTGGGCCTTGCTGTGGTTTCCTAGGGTTCTTTGCAGCTCCTCGGTCCCAGTGGATATTTTTTTTGCTGCAGCATGACATCCAGCCAATCACAGTCCAGCACTGCAACGACCCACTTACATACACACACGCACACACACATCCCCCGTCTCTCACCTTGAACATCACATCAAGGTTGCACAAGGATACAGAGTGTGCATGTGAATGTGTGTGAGAGAGAGAGAGATAGCGTTAGGGGACACTCCAGTAAAACCAGTACAAACACATACAGAGATGATAAAAACCAGTCTACACACAAAAACAGATTTCATTCTCTGCCAACTTTCTGATCTACTTCCCAAGAGCCACGTCCGTCCACATTTTTGGGGAAAAAACTCTTCTTTCCTTTGTTACAGAGGGTTAGAGGAGAAGCTTGATATCACTTTCAAGGAGACAATTATCTTTGAACATACACTGGAAACCTTTTCCTGAAAGCTGCAGAACAGGAATTCTACATATAAATGAACATTGGTAACAGTCTATGATTAAAACCCATAGCGGCCAGGCAACACTCTGATGTCTATGCCAACTTGTGTTTGCAGACTTGCTTACCTCAAATTCTCCCGTGAGAGACAATTAAAGTATTTTTAATTGATTTGTCAGCTCTTTTCTGTTGGTTTATACCTAAAAAAAAATCCTCCACCTTTCAACCAAGTATAGCCCCAATTCAGCCAAATATTTGACCTAAAATTACCCAAATGACATTTCAATGTGACTTTCACTGCAGCTTGTTCAACGCCAGTGCGTAATACTGCTATCAGTACATTGTTTCCTGTGGAGTTACGAGGAGGTATGAATCCTCCTCTGGATTTAAAGAGCTAAGAGATGACCTGGAAGCTCAGTCAGCTGGTAACACAGGGTCGTTTCTTATCAAACCAAAAGGCTTAGCGGCAGTGGCATGTCATGGAGAGGAATTTAAGTAACAGTATAAGCTGAAGACGGTGTAAGAAAAACAAATAAATAAGGCCTTCAATACAAAATTATAATTGTAAATGTGTTTTGCCAAAGTCTTACAGCACAGGCTAGATTTTCTAAAGCCTTTTATTAAGTTTTCTCTTACCACTTGTAATACAAAATGCTGAAGGGCTACTTGCAAATGTTTTCTCATAATAAAAATATATATATACCCAGCTTTAAAATATAAATATAGAATTGTTCTTAGTTTAATATATATATACACTGTACATAATGTATTATAATTGTGAATCTAAAAATGCACTATAGACTCAAATTATCATAGTGTAGTAAATAGTACATGGGTTTGTAAAAGGTAGGGGAGCAGAAATATAAAGTAGAAAAATATAGTATAGTAAATTAAAGTACAAGCACCACACAATTATATTGAATAGTCTCTTCGACAGCATATCAACTTCTTTGTACTCTTCACTTATTTCTGAGATATCATACGATATCAGGGAGTGTCATTACAAAAGCACATCACAGCAGGGGTATGTGGAAAGACATCCCTCAGCACCAACAATAATAGATGTTTTCTAGTGTGTGTCAGTTTACCTTTTTATTTAGCTCCTCCTTCATGTGTATTCCTCAACAGCTGGGCTTTGTGACAGAACATTGTGTTGGGCGGGAGAAACCAGGCGGTGCCATTTTGTCAGAGTCAATGAACTACAGACACCAGCAGCTTCTGAACCGACACCACCAGTGACGTTTACTGTAAACAAAATACTGCTTTTGACTTTTAGACGAGAAGCTTTTGGAAGCCTGTATGAACACACCTGAACCTGTCTGTGGTACACATTTCCTGCTGGTCTTCACCTGAGGATCTGTTGTTATATAGTTGCATGTTAACGACTTTAAAGGTGGGGTAGGTAAGTTTGAGAAACCGGCTCGAGATACACTTTTTGTTATATTCCATGGAATGCTCTTAACATCTCGATAGCAATGAATATCTTAAGTGCTTTGACAAAAAATCCATAAAAAAATGTCATCTGTGGAAGCCGTAGTACTGTAAAAAGCACGACCAATCATTTTAGCCGGCCCTGCTAAAATAACTGGATGGCCTACCTGCCTGTCAGCCTTCCATCTGTGCACAAACTTATCTCGTGCCCTCATTGGTCATGTGCGCGTTCGTGTGTGTTGGAGGAGGGGCTCTGTAAGGAAGTGGCAGATTTTTTCCGGCTGTGTATTTTCAAATTCTAGCACACTCGAGCTGGTTTCTCCAAAATTACCTACCCCACCTTTAATGTTACAAAATGTTCTGCTTTTAAAGCTTTTGTAAAAGCAGCAATAGTTTCAGTGTTTACAACAAAACGGCTTTTGGTAAAAAAGCTTCATGTGGAGAAGCAAATACTGTCATTAAAGTCGCTATATCCTACAACAAAAAAACTCGCAATAAAAGACGTGGGTCAACTTTTACTAATAGTAAAGCTGAACATTATTATTTTCGTCTATGAAGTCTTTCGTTATCTCAGAAGGTGGTCTCTGGACTAGTTTAAACACCAGGGCATTAAATAGCTGTATGTGGATCTTGCAAAACGTTATGGAACCGATATAGCAGAACATCTTGTGAATTGGAAAGGATTGGAAGTGAATGCCACATCCTGCTGCCAGAGTTAAGTCAGGCACAATAAACTCCTATAAGCGTATAGGTTGGCAGCTGTTTTTTTCCTGTAGTAACGGGGATTTGAAAACAGTCACACGTAGCTAGCAGAGAAAAAAGTCTGAAAATGTCCTGCAAAAGGCTCATACACACAGTCAGACTGCTGAACAGTGAAAGACAATATAGTGTGTGAATGTGGAGGGAGTAGGAAACAGTTCAGACAGAAACAGATTTAAAAACATCTAAAGCAACTTTAATGTTTTCTTTTCACATATCATTAACAAGAAAATATTCATAGAAAATACAGACAGACAGATTGAGACAGGAAGAGATAGAGAGAGAGACAGGTCCCAAATCCCCACACCGGAGTGACAGAGCGAGGTGACTTCACTTGTCTGTCACTCATCGCTGCTGCTTCAGGACGACAGATGAAGACTTTCACCTCCTCCTCCTCTCCTCTCTTTCTCCATCTCTGTTCCGGTCTCTGTTCTCTTTATTCCTCTCTCTATCCCTCGGCTTCTCTCGCTCTCCCTCCCTCTCTCTCTTATCCTCAGTCTCTCTGTCCCCCCCTCTCTCTCTGTCTCTCTCCCTCCCGCCGTCCCTCTCTCTCTCCCTCTCTCCGTCTCTCTGTTGGCCTTGACCGTCCATTTTCCCCCTCCTCTCGTCCTCCTGCTGCCGCTCCTCTTCCTCCCCTTCGTCTCGTCTGTTCCGGCGGGGGCCCTCACGTGCACGCTCCTCTTCCTCACGTGAATGGTCACGACCCTCCACCTTCCGTGCGCGATCGCGACCCTCCACCTCACGTGCACGCTCGCGACCCTCCATCTCTCTACCGCGCCCACGGCCCTCCATCTCTCTACCACGACCCTCCATCTCACGTGCACGCTCACGACCCTCGACCTCACGTGCGCGACCCTCGACCTCACGCGCATGCTCATGGGCCTCGAGCGCACGCTCATGAGCCTCGATCTCGCGTGCACGCTCATGCTCCTCCACTTCCTGTGCACGGCCTTTCTTATGCTTCTTGGCCTTCTTCTCGTCATCGCTGTCCTCGTCCTGTTCGTCGTTTTTGCGTCCGGCTCGCTTCTTGTCCGACTGTTTGTCTTTCTTATTCTTCTTTTTCTTGTCTTCACCTTTCTTCTTCTTTTTCTCCACAATTTGGGTTTTTCTCTTCTTCTTCTTCTTTTTGTGTTTGCTGTCCGAGTCTGGGGGACAAGGAGGAAAAACATTTATATACATTTCCCCCTCTTCTCAGATGACCAGATATGTAATAATGTACGATGCATTTAAATGTACTTTTCATAAATAACTATGGATGTACCTGAGCTGCTGCTCGAGTCAGAATCAGAGGAATCTGAGTCGCTGGATGAGTCTGACGAGGAGGATGAGGAAGAGGAGGATGATGAGGAGTCCGAGGAGTCAGAGGATTCCACTTGCTGGTTCTGAGTCATGATTATCTTGGGAGCATTCTTCAAATGTTCCCTCAACTCGTCCCTGAGAAAGAGAGCCAGATGTTTGTACATGCACAACTTTCATATGCACTTTTGGGTCGAACATTCATATTACAACAATATAACTGTTAGGCTTTTTAAACATGTTTGTGACTCTCTTACGTCAGGCCTCCCAGTCCGATAGAGGTGAAGAAGTTGATGGCAAAGCGAGTGTTTCTGGGATTATCTCGAGGGAAAAGACCTTCAAAGAACGGCTGCAGAGTCCTGAAACACAAACACACAGTTTTCTGATTATTATCATGGTTGTGTCACGGAGGCGTGTGGTGCAGTGAGTTGTGCCTTTGGTGTTCGGATCAGGGGGTCACAGGTTCAAACCCCACTGCAGTCAGCATGTCGTTGTGTCCCTGGGCAAGACACTTCACCCCAAATTGCTCCTGTGGGGATTGCCCACAGTACTGAATGTATGTAAGTCGCTTTGGATAAAAGCGTCTAACAAGTGACATGTAATGTAATGTAATATTCTTCAGAAATGTATGCACACACTCTCCAATCATTCAACAATCTGTGTTTCGTTTTTCACCTCAAACCAGTAAATGGACATATATCCTACTAACAGACTAATGCATCGGCCAATCACACAGTTTATTTCCCAATTTGCCAAATGTAATGTTTTTTCTCTGATCTTCAGTCCTTACAATTGTTGTCCCCTTAAATTGTGTGTGTGTGTGTGTGTGTGTGTGTGTGTGTGTGTGTGTGTGTGTGTTCGTACGCGTCTTTGAGCCTCTGGTTGAGTCGGGGGAGGCCCATGTAGGCACAGAGCTCCTGGAAAAGGATCTTCACAAAGATTCTGCTGGACGACGTCGTGGTCTCCTCACTCATCCTGACACACTCCAACACCTGGAGAGAGAGCAGGGATTATGAGGAAACTCAATCAAATAGCTTCATGTTTGTTTCAACTGAGTTTGGTCAGACTAGAAAGCATTTTGTGTGTGTGGGTGTGTGTGTGTTCTTACACTCCAGGGCACTGAGTCTGTGTAGAGCAGGTGAGCGAACAGTCGAGCCACGTTCCTCAGTTTGTTGGTCTCCAGTCGGTGAATCGTGTCGTACTGCTCCGCAAAAATCCCCTCAAAACTCTCCATGTACTCCTTCTTCAGCAGACAGAATCTCTATGAACACACAAACAGACACACAAACAGACACACACAGACAGTGTTAACAAGTGTTTTCAATTTAGACAGTTGTGATGTTGCACTGGACTCCCGTAGTTACTCCTCCCATAAATGGAGATGGAAAACACAGAGAGATCCGAAAAGTGAGTCTTAGTCAACACTTTTTGTTCTTTCCTAGGCCTGATATTTAATTCAGTGTGACATGTGCACGTTTAGTAATAATAGCCAATGTGGTGGGCTGTCATATATGTACGTGTGTGTGTGTGTGTGTGTGTGTGTGTGTGTGTTTCTCACCCCGGCCAGGAGACCAAAGAACTTCTCGTAGGTCCTCTGTTGAGCGCAGCAGTCCAGGATCATGTTACACAGCTCTTTCTGTTCACACACAAATAAAACATCTCATTAAAACATACATTTATAGAAAATCACATATTAAAGTTAAAATCATGTCTATCAGACTGAACATCTGAACAGAGGTTTAAAAACAGTAGTTGAACAACAGTCCTTCAATAACCATCTTATTGCGTCGCTGACGTCTCATTTTGAAAACATGTCCGACTGAGCCGTCGTCTTTTGAATTCTCGGCCAGCTGTGATCTGATAGGACGTTTTCTGGAGGCTCAGTGTTAAATGGGGTCAAAGGTTAAATGATGTGAATGTGAGAGCAGCAGCCAGGTGTGAAATCCCAGAGGTGGGTTACCCCCTCAATCTGAGGGAGAAACAGGGCCGAGACGATTTGGTTTGATCGTGTGTGTGTGATGTGTGGAGAGCAGCTGTGACTACACGTCCTCAGATATCAGCCACGTCTCAAATAACACACACACTTCAAACACGTCACCGCCATTGGGGCCTCTTGTCTTTAAGCACGTTTCCCTGATGTTTTTATTGTATGTTAGGGTGTCAAAATCTCGACTCTAAATTGAAATGTGTTTCAACGTTTTTTTTTTTTAGAAAAGATTCCAAATACGTTTAAAGACAAAGCAGCACACAGATGTTTAGATTTAGGATCGAAAGCTTTGTGATATTAGGAAAACATTTTTCTGTGAGAGGAACGAGCATCTTTGTGCGAGTGTTTCCAGCTGTTGTGTTGAGTGATTCAGTCCTGATGCAACTCTGGCTGACAAGGTCAACAGCTCTGACCACACACACACACACACACACACACACACACACACACACACACACACACACACACACACACACACACACACACACACACACACACACACACACACACACACACACACACACACACACAGGATCGAAAGCTTTGTGATATTAGGAAAACATTTTTCTGTGAGAGGAACGAGCATCTTTGTGCGAGTGTTTCCAGCTGTTGTGTTGAGTGATTCAGTCCTGATGCAACTCTGGCTGACAAGGTCAACAGCTCTGACCACACACACACACACACACACACACACACACACACACACACACACACACACACACACACACACACACACACACACACACACACACACACACACACACACACACACACACACACACACACACACACACACACACACACACACACACACACACACACACACATTCCACGTTCTCTGAGGCTTCGGATTGAGCTACATTTATGATTCACAAAAATCACTTTGTCGTCTGATGCAATGAAGTCCTGAAGTATAATTTGTTCCTCAGTTGATCTCTGGTTGAGCTATTCAACTGTCTAACAATGTTGGAAAGGGTTTTGACCCACACACTCACAGCTTCCCCACTATAGTCACCGTCTCAAAGCAGCTATTACAGTTACACAACCACACACACACCCACACCCACACACACACCTTTAGTTTTCAAATAGTGAAGTGGTTTGTCAGCGCCACCTGCTGGTCAGCAGTGAGAGAAAGAGTGGCAATAAATCCGCCCATTTCAGAAACTGAACAAATTACTTTTTTTTGTATTGACCGCTTTGATTTCTTGGTATTAATTATCTGGCTAGATGTTTAATCTCTACATTTGACTTTCATCCGTTGTTATTTTAGCAAAAATACGAGTTTTCACATTTATCCTGATTCCTGTGTGGGTTTGCGTCACTGATTTATAATTCTGCCAATTGTGTGTGCGTGTGAGTGAGTGTGCGTGTGAGTGAGTGTGCGAGTGAGTGAGTGAGTGTGTGTGTGTGTGTACTCACCGTCTGGCTATCAGGAAAGTCCATCTTGATCAGTTTGTGAGCGCACTCCTCAAAGTCCAAACTACAGAAACAATCATTCCATTAATATATTTATCGGTTAATATACATCATTGAGTTCAAGTGTGTCATTTTCTCAAATCTGTTTCTGTGTTTCATCCTGTTCTCCAAATCTGTGAGCTCCTGTACATTGAAACCATGGTAACTAGGCTGTGAACACACATACCCTAACAAACACACACAGATCTTTAAACACAGCTTGAAATATTAGTCCAAGTCCATCAAATATAGATGGAGCTGTAAATAACTGCCAACACCCTGAGTCACTCTCTGTGTGTGTGTGTATGTATGTGTGTATGTATGTATGTATGTATGTGTGTGTGTGTGTGTGTACCTGGATTGGATAGCGAGGTAGATGGTTCTTCTGAAAGCAACCAGGTTGATTTCTGTCTGATCGTAGATGATGATCTTCTCCTCTGTGAGGGAGAGACAGAGAGAGGGCTTCTTTAATGTTGTGTTAGAATCCGGTTCATACTATCCGGGACTTGTTATATACTTGACTAAACTCCTTCAGCTTTAAAGTAGTATAAACATAATTATCCTTTAACTTGAGAGAAAATGGCCTTTTCAGCATTTCTGCCTCACCTTCTGTTGGCTCTGCGTTCTCTTCTTCATCGTCTTCATCGTCGCCGCTGCCGTCTCCATCTTCCCCTGAGTCGCTGCTGCCCTCATCCAGGATCTCTGTCAGGGGGTGAAAGCTGATTGGTTAAACTGTGGAATAGGTGACAGCTGATTGGACTGTTCAATGTCTTTACAAACGCTCACCTCTTTTGATGGTTTTGTATTTCTCCTCGTTCTCCAGGAAGTCTGGGTCCATCTTAAACGCATCTGAGTGAACACACGGCAGATGTTAGATCTACATATATAACACATTATCATTTCTGCAGACTTTTAGAGCCAGTTTCCCCCCCCCCCCCCTCCCTCTCTGTGGCTTACTGAGGATGTCGTCGATGTTGTACTCGTCGTCCAGCGGCAGCATGTGGGTGAACTGCTCCCCCTCGTCCACCAGGTCCAGACCCTCTGGGATCACCGGGTGGTCTTTGAAACCGTCCTTCCTGATGGCAAACATCACCTCGATCATGTACTGGACCCTCTTATCAATGGCCGACTCGTGGAGGACGTTCCTGAGACGCTCAAATATGGCTGAAAAGAGAGATGGGCAGATTTGTAGGCATTTTCGATTCATTATGCTGACACTTGGGAACTTTTTGAATTTGGAGAGCCTTTGACAAAGCAGTACTGCTGTGTTTGGAACCTGTGTGTCTTGTCCAATACTGAGGAGCAGGACACGTGGTTCCAATTATCACAAATATTATATTTTATTTAACACGATGCAATATTTAAAAGACAGTTTCAAACTCAATCATACAGGGGGCTATAATATAAGGGGACAACTAATCCTAACGTTTAACAACAGAATTCAAACCAAAGAGGAACAGTACATTTAAAAAATAATTTGTCAATTATTTCAGAAATTATCAATTGATGATTTGAAGAAAATGGCAAATTGGATAAAAAGAAAATTGAATATAGTGACATTTAAAAGCTTAAATGCTTTATTTGTAAACTGCAGGATAACAAAAATGTCTACATTTGAGAAAGTCAATTGATAAAAAAAATAAGAAATGTCTGGTAACGTGTCTGGAGTATTTACCGTTGATTCCTCGCGGGGACACCTCGGTCAGTTTGAGGCCACACTCCTTCAGGAAGGCGATGGCGACCTCCACGCTGTCGTCAGTCGGACGCTCCAGCAGCAGAGTGAGCATCTCCAGACACAACACCTCATGAGCCTGAGGGAGAGACGTGAACACACTCCATTAGAGCTGAACATGAACACTTGTTCTCTTTCGTGAATGTTGACGTCCGACAGCAGGACCTACCACGTTCTGGTTGATGAGATGAGCCACAAACTTGGAGGCTGTAAGGCACTGTTGCTGGAAAACAAAAGACACACTGATTTGAATACATCGGTAATCCTCATACAATTGCTTAACAAAGAAGCCAATATTTATGACATTAAATGTTATTCACATTTAATGTCATAAAAGGAGAAAATGCTCAATCTAAAGTGTGTTTGAACAGTATTTTCAGATGTATATGTTTAACAGTTATAAATACCTCACATTTGTCTAGCAAAGCTTGTTATTTCATACAAAATGTACCAAAATGCTTGCCTAATTAGAAACTGAACAACATTTTGCATGAGATGAGGCTTTTACATTTTACAGAAATGGAATCCTGGCATTTGTAAAACAAAACAATTCTTAACCACCTCTATCAGGCACGTCTTTTAATTATACTGACTGTACTGTCACTTTCTGTTTATCAATGTTTCAACATCAAACAAATACAAAGAGACACAGACTCAGCGAGAGACACAGGACAGGTACCTTGATGTTGCGGCGGTAGCTCCTCCTGAAGGACAGGATGAGGCGTTTGAGGATCAGCTCTCCAATCTGAGGGAACTTGGAGTTGATGATGGATATGACAGCGGAGTAAACGTGAGTAAAGATGGGAGACGCCGCCTGAGCCTGCAGCATCGAGCGAGCCAGCAGACCCCTGAGAGACAGACAGGGGGACAGTTACAGCGGGCAGTCAGACAGAAGGTTTATAGCCCCTCACTACCCCATATTGGTTTCACTCAATCTGTCTGTGATAAGATTTTAGTAATATGAAGTTGTCTGTGTGTGTGTGTAATTCTTCACCTCCCCCTGACGATGTTCTCCTGCAGCAGCTCCTGGATGATGAAGACGATGTTCGCCACGTTGACTTTGTTGATCAGACCGTTGATGGACTTCTTCAGGGCCTCCCAGCTCATCCTCTGATAGGCCAGGCTGCACAGGAAAAGGGCATTAGTGACACACAGGTTATAGAGTGGTATAAATACAAATAGTTGGAAAAACAGCCCCTGAGATGTGGAATTGTTTTATATTGCGTGCTTTATGTTGATAGGGAGACAAAGCGAAAGGAAAGGCAGAAAACGGTAACAGAGAGAAGATAACACGCAACAAAAGACCCTGGGCTGAATTCAAACAAGCTATTGCAATTTCATTTACTAACGGAGCTAATCAGATTTGAAAACTCCCTTAAATGCACAACGTTCAACCTTCTTCCCATCCAACTTTGACTATAAGACAAAGTAGTTCATGATGATTTATATAACGGTTATCTGCAGCACGTTTCTGGTCTTCATAAGAACAAATGTGAATATCAATCTACAAACTGATATACGAGTAGGAAACGATCTGAATGACTTGAGGAACCAAATCTGAAAGACAGTGTTCTAATCTTAGCTGCTATAAATAAATAAAAACACTCTTACCTGGTCTTGTCTGTGATTTGCTGCTGCATCATGCGCAGCTTGGCGGGGGGGATGTAAGCTCCACCCGTCCTCGTCAGGATCGGGTCGATCTCCTCCTTCTTCTTCTTGACTGGCGGCTCCTCGGCGGTCCCTGGCTCCCTGTCAGCTGACGGGGATCCGGAGCGCCCTCGCCTCCTCTGCTCCCACTCTGCATCTCGGTTAGGTCGCCGGTCAAAACGCGCGTCCCTGTCGTCTCGGCGAACATCGTAGCGATCGCTGGGGGAAGAGACAAAAAAACATTTGTTGTGGTTGTGTTTTTTTAGGTGTACCAAACGTTGTATTCAATCAAAAGAAAGAGAGGGGATGAGATCTATTTTGTGGTATTCAATAAATTAGGTACAATACATAAGAGGCTGCAATCTGATTCTTATGTTGTTTGTACTTTTAGTGTTTGATCCTGTCATGATGTTATGCAATACAAAATACTTTAGACATGTCTTTAATGTGCAATGTGTTCGATGACCCGGTCTTTAAGCTATCGAGGACCTTCTTTTAAACTAATAGAAAGTCACCCACTAAAATGATGGCAAGCCAATAAGAAGCAGCGTTGGTTACCGATCGTGGCGTCCTCTGTCGTAGCGCCCGCGGTCTCTGTCTCTTGACCTGGACCGCTCTCGTCCTCTGGATCTTGATCTGTCCCTGGACCGGTCTCTGGATTTGGACCTGGATCTGTCTCCCTCTCCCGATCTGGATCTGTCTCGGTCTCTGGATATGGATCTGTCTCTGGACCTAGACTTGGATTTGGACCTCTGGACAACAAAAAAACAAAGACTGTCAGCGGTATTTCTTTTGGTCTCTTCATTTTAAAAGGAATGTCACTTTGAGTTTGAAAATAATTGTTTAACAACTGGGAATTGCGTTTACATTATAGCCTGTGCACTTTATACAACTTAAGATTCAAGTAAACGGACCAGAAGAACACTTCACATTTCTGCTTCATGTTTAATTGCAAGATTTAGAGCTAGACCTTCATCATTCAAAAAGGATTAAAGAAAACAATAATGTTGCTCCCTTGATGAATGATAAGGATAAACTGTAAATACATTATAACTTTTTGCATTTTTAAATTGATCATGCTTACCTTGATCTGAGCCACACTGCTCCTGAGCCTTCGCAGTGACCCTTGATGTTCATCCTCATCATCACTGCTGGTGCTGTCGTCTGAGCTGCTGGAGGCAGGACCCCCAGAGGCCGGACCCCCAGAGGCCGGACCCCCAGAGGCCGGGCTCCCGGAGCGGGACCGGGCTGCAGGACTGGCCTCACGGGATGGCTTCGTCTGGGGTTCTGGGCTTTTCTCTATAGGACCCTCCTGTTTGGGCTTTTCTGCTGCAGGACTGGCCTCATCTTCTGAAGGTCCTGAAGACAGAGAGGGAGAGAGCAGCGTTATCAGATGATACTACATCTACAATTACTACAACTGCTAGCAATGCTGCTGTTCCTACAACAACCTAAAATAACGAAAGCAGGTTTTACTCACCACTTTGTTCCTTCATCTCAGGAATGGGACTGGGACTTCTGCTTGGAGAGTCCATACCTGAAAATATATGCATACACATGAATGACTTTGGAGAATAGGTACTGAAACAGACATCACAGATCAACTTATATGTGATAAGCAAAAACATTCTATTGATGAACACAGAGTCAGACAGCACTTATAGCAATACATTAAACTATACATATAGTGTGTATTTTAGATAGCAGAAAAGCTACAGTGATCATCACTTTTAAATATCTCGACAGTCTCTGCATGATATTACAAAATTGTTTTACAATTGATTGCAGATGTGTTGCTCTGACACCAATCGGCCTTCTATGCAGAAGAGATAGCTTTCTCGATGAATTACAGTATAAAACATTTGATTAGCAGGTGGAAACAACATAAAGCCAGAGATGATGTCTTCCATTTGATTATAAGGATAGCCCATAATAATCACATCTAAGATGCTGTTATCAACACATACGCTTTTATAGATGATGGATTGAATTAATATAATGTTCTCTTTTCTGTCGATCAACTTATTGATGACTAGAACAATATCTAATTTCTAGCAAAAAGACACATCACTGATGAGACTTTCTGAATGTTTTTATGTGTGCTGTCTCACGGTCTCACAGACTGCTTCTGGACAACAGCATATCAAAACATCATCACAAACGCAGGATATATGTTATTCATTTTAAGTTCACTGACTCTTTGAAGTTAAGTGTCTGCAGACTTTCACTTAAAACTTAGAACTTGAGTTGTACCTGTAGCTAATACATAGGAGCAGCTAACACTGACAAGGGCAGGACAAAACTTCAGTAAATCAATATGAAGTATACCTTACAGCTAAAGTAGTCATTAAGGGTACTTTTTTAAACAACAATATTATTTATAAATTCAAAATAAAAAACTCCAACGAACGCATCAGTTTTAAGGCCATGTGTGTTTGGGTGAGCTAAAGTTAGCTAGTCAGCTAATCCTACTTTAGCTACATCTGGTTAGCTGAAATGCTAATTATTTGCCCCTAAAACAGCAACACTTTGCTTTTGTTTGCGTCTCTGTAAATAAACGAGATATTCTTACTTCACTGAGTTTGTCTTTTTATGTCCAGTTGTCGTGTTGTTTTCCGCCTTTTCGTTCCTGTGTTAAATCAGTACGTCGTACTCTGGCGGAAAACGTCGCCCGACAGCTTCCGGATTTCAGAACAAAAGCCCCCGAATTGTTTCTGTACCGCCCCCTGGTGGTGATAATAGTGACCTCCTCCAAAGATGTCCCTTCAGTTATCTAAGGGGGAACTTGCATTATCATGGATAAAAACAGTATACATCTTATATAACGGTTAAATTACATCCACATTCTCATAACTCAAATCCAGCACCAGACACTGTTGACGCTGCTATGGACAATCTGGCAATAATGCACATTCTATGGACAATCTGGCAATAATGCACATTCTATGGACAATCTGGCAATAATGCACATTCTATGGACAAGCTGCACATTCTGTGTACAATTTTGCACTAATGTACATTCTCAAATATTGAAGTGACTGTTATTTTGTATATATTGATTGTTGTGTTTTTATGTAGGTCTTAATGTGTGCAGATGTAAAAATGTGTCTATGATTCTGTGTATATATACATATTTGCACACATATTTTTATACACATTTGTTTTTATATACGGGATTGTGGGAAACGGTATTTCAATCTCCAAGTCTGTACACACAAACTGGAAGATTGACAATAAAGTTGACGTTGACTTTGAAATTGAAAAGGCTGCTTGTGAAATAGGGAGATAGAGCTTTATTAATGTCATAGGAAATTGTTCTGCAAGAGTTTTCTCAAAAATTAAATTAGAAAAAAATCCAATAATAAATGTAAAGTGTATGAGAAATAAAGCAATAGTACCAGTGCCTAGATAAGTAACTAACACCTGCACCTAATATAATAACAATTCAAGTAAGATACATTTACAAACATAATTGAATTAAGAATAATAAAGTAGTACTAACAAATATTTAAAGGTAATATTGAACATGATATTGAAAAGTAATATTGCCCAGGATATTGATATTGCTGTTTTAAGTGTGTGATATGACATGTGTCCTAACAAAATATATTTTTATACTTTTAGAAATTAGGAATGATCTTCTGTGGCATTCTATATCGCACCTGGTTAATCTCACTCTACCCCCGAAGGTGATCTGATCATGACCATATGGTGGTGTTTTTGGGGCATGAATATAAAATGTTCACAGTTTGAACATTTGAAATACTTGAAGTTGTAGAAGTGGCAGTAAAAATAAAAGAAGCAGAACACATCAGTACTGAAAATAAATACATCTTTATTATTCTCATCGCATGGGAGTGATACCTCCCATGCATCCCGCTGAAAAAGACATCAATACAAAATACACATCATCATTATTAGACATTAACAGAAATTAATAGACACCAACAGACAAAGCAGGGAAATTAGAAGTGTGCGAAAGATTTTCTTGATCAGATACAAAATAAAATAAAAGCACGTTTGAGCCTCGGAGTTCACAGCGAGTGTTGGTCCAGCAGAGTAAGGTTTGTGATCAGTGAACATAAAAAATAAAATGTTTAAACAAACACAAAGTCATAAATGTTGGAGAGAATCGAAGGTCAAATGCGTGTTAGTAATGATTTAGATAAGGGAATAACAAAGGCTGTGTGATGTGGCTGACAAATCTAATGTCAGTCTGTACAGACATTTTGTTAAATATTGTTCCACAAAGACGTAACATTTTTGAATCGAGTGTGTTTGTCATGATTGACAGGCCTCTTGGACACAACACACAGTACTAAATGCTGATTAAACATTTTTTCAGTTCAATAGTGAGGCAAAGTCAGGCCCCTTCTGGTTGACGACCATTGACCCTCATTTGGAATAAGACTACTAAACTACTAATTGTACCATTAATTACAAATACGATGTTTGTCAATTGAACAATTATTTTGCAAGTCAAGTAAAAAGTTTTGTTGCAGTTTTTCATAAATCTGTCATATCATAACTTTCTCTCCTGCGATGTATATGTTTCGTGATGTACTCACAAGAGGAACAGGTCTTCTTTTGCTCGATGGCTGATAAAAAAAAGATCATTAGTCGCTAAATAAAACACATCATGTAGAATAACGTAACATTTGTTCCTAAAACATAGCTAGAGAGTTCATGGGACTTCTTGACGTGCAAAATCAACTTTTAAATTGACAAACACATGTGTTATTCAGGGCATAAATTTAACAGATGAAACGGTTATTTGTCCATAGCCTTTACATATTGTACATATCTTTCAAAAAAATTCCCATGATGTAAACTGGCAGATGTTTCTTTTTGGTCATTAGTGGTGAATTGTTTAGTGATAAATCACCTGGATTATGTACAAAGAAAAGCGAAATCTAGAGTTTCTCTCAATAAAACCAGCAAACTGCAGATTCATTTCTGTCAGATGTACTAGTAGACATGTTGAGTTGAAGTGGTGCAGGATGACCTGAAATGTTAAAATTGATTTACTCAGTAATCAATACATATCTATATATTATTGCACACAGGTTTGTAATTGGTGAGTCGGTAGCTAACATTCTAACACAGCTAATTAACCGCAAAATCAAAAATACAAATGTATCTTCTTACAAGAAGTGTTATTTATCGATCTAGATTTTTTTGTGGTGAGATGCTGAGTGTTGCGACATTTCGGCCGTAGAGATGTTTGCCTTTCTTTGAATATAATGGCACTGAGCTTGTGATGCTATAGACTGCTATACAAATACATTTGAACTCAACAGCTCATCCATACATGATCTGCTGGCTAAGCTCTTCCTTATGATTGAGCATAACATCATCATCATCATCATCATTACTGTCACCATGACAACTTACTGAAACCTGCTTGAACTCCTCAGTACCTCACATGCCATCACACACTAACCTCATCACCTGCTCTGTAGCAACCAACCAAAACACACACACGCACGACATTCTGTGAAATCCTTTCAGTTCAGGATGAGTTCGGCCATGCTGAGCAAAACCCAGCACGACAAAATGAACTGTGAATGAGGCGAGAGGAACAGAAGCACGATGACAATGATGGTGACGGTGATGAAGATGAAGGAATGTTGACTAACATGGGACAAAATACATCTGTAATGACACATCTTTAAGACCTCTTAGAGCCCTTTGCATCAAGGTGAAATGTGCATGGAATTAGTAACTTTGAAGAGTAAAAGCTAAGTAAGACTGCGATTATTGAAAATTAAGGAATGTTACCCGAAACTAAAAGGAAGAAAAAGTTCAGATTAAACCGCATTAATGCACTTACAGTATTTCTCACAGAAGTCTGTCACCTGTTTGTCGCTCTGATACCATTGAAACTCATTCAGCCAAATCATTATTATTATTATTATGATAATTATTATTATTATTAGGGAAGCCTGATCTCATATGATACTTGGATCTAGGGCAAAATAACTTGATAGGGACATTCACAGGACTGGGACTGTAGTGGTGATGCTGGCAGTGTAATGTTAGTAGTACTAGATGTAGTACTCGTAGTATTAATGGCAGTGGTAGTACTTTAAGGCCTAGCTTTGATCAAAACAGCTTAGAGAAAGGAAACGTGAAGAAAAAAGGCGACAGCTTTCTGCTGGTGGCTCACAGGCTGGTGTTCCCAGCATGCATCACACCGGCACATTCGAACCAAATAGACAAGTAAACGTCCTCGTGGCTCTGCGTCCCGTCGGAGGCTCCACAGGTGGGGGGGGGGGGTGGTGTTTCATCATCAGTGTTACAGACATACAGTGTTGAAGGCACATAGTGCTCCACAGAAACAGTGTTACTCAGCTATACAGTGTTACAGACGGACAGTGTTGCCGTGGTTATGAAGGCTGAAGGTGAAAGGGAGCGATGCTTTGCTGTTGCTGTGTTACAGGGGTTGTCGGCTACCGGGCTGGGGTGATTGCCGTGGCGACACGGCAGCCAGCAGCTCGCTGTAAATTTCCTGTCGGACCTCCTGCGCCAAGTTCTCTCGAATCTGGAAAACAACAGAAACATTGTAAACATATAAACAACAAGCAGATCCCTTTCTGTTTTTCTCACTGTTTTAATAATTAATAATATGGAAAATATTATCTCATTTGGCGTTTTCCCTCTACACACACAATTAAATAGGAATCTTAACCAGTAAAATCCTGCACTAGTTAGAGTAAAAGGTTACCTCTTTGATGAGCTGCTGCAGGTTCCCCACTCTGGCTCCTCCTGCTGCCCCTTCCTCTTCTGGTACTCCTCCTCCTCTTCCTCTGTCCGGCTCGTTCTCATCCAGCTCCTCCTCCTCCTCTTCCTTTTCCTCAGTGTGTGTGATGGATCGAGGAGGAGGGACAGGGTTAATGTTAATTGTTGCCCGGTACACGCCTCCTTTCTGCCGGCTTCCACCTCTGACTGGACTGGAGGATCGGGACGAGGGGCCGCTGGAGGGGGCGTGGCCATCATCACTGAGCTCTGATTGGAGGTAGAGCTGCTCTCTGAGGAGGTCTGACACCTGGACCGGAAAAGGTTGTGCATTAAGATAAAGTTTACACCGTGAGCTTTATATTAAATACGTGTGTTTGTATGCGTGTGTGCTTACTGGCTCCATGGCTCTCAGTGCAGAGGCGGTGGACAGACTGTCCACACTGCCGCCTCTATGGAGACCCTGAGGAAGAGAGTAGGACACATAACGATAAGAGTCGAGACAAAAGGCATTTTACAAAATGAACACCTTTTTGAGTGTAATTTTAAAGCTTTGTCAACTGAATATGACATTGGGCAGATCTGCATCACCTCTTGTCTTTACGTCACAGGTGTTGAAAAGTCTTCCCCTTATATCTCCTCCAACAAGACTCCACGCTCAATTGGGACGGCTCTTACTGTTGTCTGGGATTACCCCTCTTTCTTTTCACTCTTTTCTATATTTCTATATTATTTGAAGGCTGTGGTTTGATATTGTCCTTTTTTTACTTGTACAAATTGTAGTCCAAATCAGATACATAGTCTCAAAAGGGTTGTGAAAACCTACTGCTGTAACAGCTCTTTATGAAATAGAAGCATATATATGTTGTATGCACATGTATAATTGATCATTAACCCTGTGGTATCAAAGCAATATAGAATACATCTAGCTATGAATGCTGGAAATTAAGATGCACTGTGTGTACCCTGTGTGGTGGGCTGTGTGTCAGCTCCATCAGTCGGTCCTCCAGCTGTTGTTCCAGCTCCTGCAGCTCCTCTCTGACCGCCGACCTCAGAGACTGAAGCTGCTCCACCTCCATCCTGAAAACACACAAGATGTTTGTTATGTTCATCATATACACACAGTCTCAGGGCTGTGATACTCTGTTTATCTGTGATGATTGTTTGCTGTGATGACTCACCTGTCAGCAGGGCTCAGGTGTTTGTAGACCTGAGCCTGCTGTCGAATGATTGACAGCTCCAGGTCCATCATCTGACTGCGGAACAAGTTCAGGCTCTGCCTCTTCTGCTGAAACTCTGCCAAAGACTGTAAACAGAGAGAGACAAAGGTAAACACACCTGACTGATGACACGAACAATATTTACATTTGAAGCCATGTAAAGCTAGTATTTCAAGTTACTATATTACTATAAATTCCCAACGATGGGATGTATGCACATTATGTATGAAACATATAGTCTTTGCATATTATCTCTTTGTAATGACTCAGTCAGAGAACATATATCCAGACAGTGTTTGTGTCATGAACGTCCAGTAAAAGCTGTACATGCGTTTTAAGTAGTCTTTACTTACAGGAGCATTTAACGCACAAGCTAAGCCACAAAACGTAATAAGGGATGACGATACCTTGTGGCTGGGCAGACCCCCTCTGGGCTCACTGAACACATCCGGAGTGCCGACTCGGGTCTAGATGAAGACGACAGAGATGTTAGGACAGGAAGTGGAACATGACAAGCTGACCAGGGATAAGTAAAAGCTAAGCGAGGACTGGACGATATGGAAAAAATGTGATTAATATATTTCTTTTTTAACCTAAAAAAAAAGCAGATAGTTAATTATGGTTTGTAATATACAATTATTTATGATCAGAAATCCAGCTGAGGACAAGCAAGGCATCCAACAATACTGATCTCCAGTACCTGCCCTGTGTGACTTTGGACAACTTCAACTAACCTTTAAAAAAAACTAAAGTAGGACAATAACATAAACTAACTAACCAATCAAGGCAGCTATGGCAACACCCGTGTTCTGCCAGTTATATTTACAGTTATTTTTTCAAAACGTCCCTTTAAAAAGAGACCATCGATGGATATATATGTTTCAGTTCCGTGGTTTGGAGGCAAGGTAAATTGGTGAAATTATTCCAAATAAAAAAGACACTTTAAGTGAGATTCAGATTTGTTTTAGGTGCTAGAATATGGTTTGCTGCTGCCCCTTTCCACAACATTATATTGCTTGACTCCCGTGTTGGAATTCCTTCTGTTTCTCCACACTAAGGACCTGCAGACTGCCATTTATTGCAGGTAATACACTGACCATGGATAAGTTCATCATACAAGCCCACTTCAACAAATCAAAACACTTTAAGGAAGTGAAGAGCACTGACCTGGCTCAGGCTCTGAACCGTGTCTTTGATGTCGTGCAGGACCCTCCTCAGCTGCATCTCAGTGCTGGACGGGCCATGGCTGGCTCCTGGACCGGGAGCAGCATGAGGATTGAGCCCCGGGTGGAGGCTGTGACCCGAGCCCAGGGAAGAGGCCAGGCCTGGGTAAAAGCCTGCAGGATGAGTAGCAAACCCTGGGTGGAGGCCATGTTCTGGGGCAAACGGCGGACCCTGTGTGGCGGGGTTGTGGTACGCTAGGTGTGGGTTCATGTTGTACATATTGTGACCAAGGTAGGGGGATGCAAACTGTGAGCCGTGAGGAGAGGCATTGTAGGGTGACTGATGGCCGTATAGATGATTGTAGCCCTGTTGGTGCATTGCTGGAGTTCCAGGATGTAGGTTGCTGTGCTGACCAGATGAGGACTGATGAAAGTTGGAGAGGTTGCCGTGCTGGGGGATTGTGGGAGTTGGAGGTTGGTAGAGACTGTTTAGACTAGAATGATGGGGAAAGTGTTGGTGCTGAAGGAGGTTAGGAACACTGGCGTACGGATTGAGATTGGAGGGATACTGCTGAGGAGGGTTTAGAGGGGAGGGGTACGGGCTGGGACTAGGATTTGGGCTTGGGTTTACGTACGGAGTTTGAGGATTAGGATAGCGAAACATCATCTGGCCTGAATTCCAACTCTGCTGGTTTTGCTTGGTGCTCATGTTCTGTTGGAACTGGCCCGGATGCTGCTGATTGGAGAAGAGTTCGGGAACGCTCTGGGTGCTCCAGGAGTGGCCATGGCTTCCTGGGGACCATTCTGCAGGAGGGCTGCTGCTCTGCAGGGAGCAGGTGGAGCGCAGCAGGTAGCGTGGAATGGGCTTCGGTGGGACGGGACCTTCAGGGGGAAGCCTTGGTGGTTTGTTGATAGAGTCTGAAGAGGAGGAGGGGTTTATGATCAGGGTAGACATACAATTCATTGATCGTTCCTCCCCCTCCTCTTCTTCTTCCTCTTCCTCTTCCTCTTCCTCGTCACCTTTATCCTCTGGAGTGTATTTGAAGGAGTACCTTGGCTGCGTGCAGGACGTCTGTCCTCGCCCAAACAGGATCCTGACAGAGGACACAACCCTGGTGGGGGAGAGGAGCGAAGAAGGCAAGGAGGAGGACCTCTGCAGGGGGACGCCACGTCTTCCTCGTCCTCTCCCTGGGATATGGGTCAGATCATGACCATGGGACAGCTGGCTCTGTTTGGCTCGGTACAGAGCGCAGAGGACTGGAGACGATGGAGGAGGAGGAAAACAAAGTGGACCAGAATCGTCCAAGGTTCCTTGCTCTTCCTGGGCCTGTTCCTCAGCACCCGCTCCCTCTGTGGGTGGTTCTGCGTCTGCAGCGGTCTCCGTCTGATTCGGGGTGTGTTCCAACTCTGGTTGTGATTCTTGTTCTGCAGCAGGTATAATCTCCTGTTCTGCTTCTGGTTGGGAATCATTCTGGTGTTCACTTTCAACTAGCTCCTCCTCCCTGATCTCATCCTGTTGCGTTCCTATGTTCTTGGGTAGGTGGTGCGCTGAGTACTGCAGAATCTGCTCTAAACTCCCATCATGCTCATCTTCCCTGGATCCACTTCCCCCTTCAGCCTCAGCAGCAGCAGCAGCAGCACCAGGACCCGCCTCTTCCTCACAGGTGTCTGGCATCTCAAAAGCTGGTTGGTCCATTGGGACCGGCGTGGCCACATCAAGTGAAGGGTGTGACGTCACGGTGGTCTCGCTGTCACAGCTGTCGCTGCTCTCCTGCACCTAATCACAATCAATGTATTCGCCAGTTAGTGGATGAAGAACTAAGATGAAGTTAAGTTAAAGAATACAACAATGTAAAAAGAGAGATTGGATTGAACATCTGCATTAAAAGTTGGTGTTCTGAACAGAGATACAGGCGGTAAAGACATAAAACACACAAACAGACCTTGAGGTAGATGTTGGAGTCTGCAGACGGCTCCTCAGCAAAACCACTGCTGTCTGACTGCTGACTGACTGTCCTCAACAGGTCTGAGAGAGACACAAAGACAATGACACACATGCTGCAGTACATCGTCTGTCCAGCTGGTGGCAGAGTAGAATAATTTACACTGAGCCTAAAGCAGAAAGTGACGGGACAGTCTGTCCTCACTGACATCTGTGTGTACTAAGACAAAAGGAAACACGTTTATTGCACACAGAAACAGGCTGCACATATAAATCCCCATTCCCGTAGATACACTGGATAGGAATGCAGCACGCAAGAAGTAGACCACTAGAAAGTTAACATACTGTAGATGCAGGGACTTTTTATTTTTCAATGCATCTAGGTCAGTACAATAACAAATCCAATAGGCAGTTTGAAGGAAAGTCAAATATATAAATGTCACCAGTTGAAAACAGGTAAAGGGGAACTCACCGGTTGCTCTGGAATTTCTTTGTGGCAGACCCTCATCTTCATTAATCTAAAAAGCAAACAAAACAGTGAATTTAAAAAGACAAAAACATACTCAACATGGGCAAAATGATAGTTAATCTACAGCAGCAGCAGACCAGGCTCCACACAGGGGAGGAAATCGCTTTAAAAGGTCAATACATAATGGTTTTTGTTGCATTGTTTCACATTAATGACTTTTTGTGGTTTTGCAATTCTCCTAGAGCTTTATCTTCCCATGGCATGATTAGTGAAGCATCAGCTCCACATAAAGCCGTTCAATTCACACAAATCTCTACGACTACACAACTTAACCCATAATGATCACGCAAGGTCATCATATTCACTTTGAGCTTTGTGGTTTTTAAACAGGCATATGGGGAAATTAATTAAATGAATAAATAAAACAACAATGATTCCTTCCTGTATATTCCACATGGAGTCCACAGTCAAACTATTTTTACTCACAAAAGTTGTTTAAGTTGTTTGGAAATGTCACCGGTTCTTCTGGTTTATTTTTAAATACAGTGGGAAGACAATTTTAGGATTTATTTTCATCAATTTCAGGGCTAGTTTGTGTTGGGAAACTAGTGTTTAGTTGCTAAACTAGGAGCAGAGTGCATATGCAACAAATACAAGGATAACGTTGTTTAATTGAGATGGTGAAATGGAGTTGTGAACCCAGGAGAATATCACACATTTGTGTAGGCTGATTTGAATGTTAAAAAATTACCAACAGGTACCATTTATAACCTAGTGACCGCGCAGATCATTATAACTCATTGTGTTGGAGAACCCTGTTTGGGAGTAGTCCTGACATTACCACATACTAATTTAAAAGATCCCTGGCTTACCTCCTCCATGTCAAAAGAGTCCGTGTTTTCCTTCTGGGCCAGCTTGAACGGGGCCAGGCTGGGATGAGCTCTCTCTGGGGTTGAGGTCCGGTTCTTCTCCTCCAGCTCTTCTTTGCCTACCTGGGTCCTGTCCTCTGTTCTCTGATTGGTTGACGGAGAGTCAGCTGATTCTGGTTCATGCTCTCCATTGGCTGCTAGACTGGCGCTGCTCTGTTCAGGACTGACGGGAGGCGAGATGTTAAGGTGCAGTCAGAACGAACTTGGTAATAGACAACTTTTTAAACATGGATGCAACTACTAGCCTTACTGAATTGTTGTCTAAGTTTTCTTCTGAAATCATTTTATTGGGTGATTTAAATTGGGACTGGTTAAGTGATAAATCTTCACAGTTTAAGCAGGTTTGTGATTCTTTGAACTTAACTCAGCTTATTGATAGTCCCACTAGAATAAACCCTGCCAAACCCAATAACGATACCCTTATAGATGTCATTCTAACAAATGCAGCTCATAAGTATGTGTTTGTTGGTGTTTTTCCTAATGATATCAGTGACCATTGCACTATCGCTTGCGTTAGGAGCACTAAGTTGCCCAAAGCCAAGGGCCTTATTGTGCTCAGGCGCTGCTTCAAACACTTCTCTGAGCAGGCTTTCCTACACGATCTGGCGGAGGTTAAATGGCACTTCACAGCGTTAATTCCATCTGTTGATGTTGCCGTCCAATTTTTTATTGATCACTTTTTATCGATTATTAATAGACATGCCCCCCTTAGAAAATTCAGAGTTAAGAATAGGAACACTCCATGGTTTACTAGAGAACTATCTGATCTCATTCATGATCGAAATAAGCAATGGTCCTTAGCTAGAAAGTCTAACACTAGTGATGACTGGCTTCTTTTTCGTGTCCTCAGAAATAAATGTTCTGCCCTTATTAAAAAAGCTAAAGCTGATTACTATCTGAGCTTAACCACTGATTGTTTTAATGACCATTCCAAATTCTGGAAAACAATTAAATCACTTCAGAACAAGAAGGTTTCTAGTTTCCCACAAAAACTGAAGGTCAGTGATTCTTTTATTTCAGATTCAGATGGTATGTCTAATGCCTTTAATGCTCACTTCAAAAAGGCTGGTCACATTTTTGATGAGCAAAGTCATGACTCTCTAAATGGTCGTACTCACAGCCATAGTCAAGAGTTGAACTCCCCTGTTTTTGATTTCGCTTATTTCTCGGTCTCTGAAGTCTTACAGGGTTTGCACTCGATTGATCCTAAAAAGTCTGCCGGGCCTGACGGCCTTGACCCGTTCTTTTTAAAAATTGCAGCTCAGATGATAGCACAACCAGTAACTGATATTTTTAATCTCTCCCTGTCCACTCACACACTGCCAGCTGTGTGGAAGCAAGCTCTGGTATCGCCCCTCTTGAAAGCTGGTGATCCCACGGAGTTGAATAACTATCGTCCTATCTCAAATCTTTCTGTGTTATCAAAGATTCTTGAGTCCCTTGTTTCTACTCAGCTAAAACTTTTTTTAAATTCACACAACATCCTTAACCCTATGCAATCTGGATTCAGATCAAAGCACAGTACTGTGACTGCCAGTCTGAAAGTCTTAGACGATATTAAGGCTGCTTTGGATAAGAAATCAGTTTGTGTTGCATTGTTTATTGACCTAGCCAAAGCATTTGACACTGTAGATCACCACATTATGTCTAATGTTATGTTGGTGTCTCGTTTCGGTCACAATGCCATTTGCTGGTTTCAGAGTTATCTAACCGACCGTACTCAATGCGTCAGGTTGGGTAGTACTGTCTCTGACCCTGTCACCTTGGAGAAGGGAGTTCTACAGGGCTCTATCTTGGGGCCCTTGCTCTTTTTATTATATGTAAACAATATTTGTAATCAGATGCAATTTTCTACCTATCATATGTATGCTGATGACACTATTGTATACTCGTGTGCTCCTTCTCTGGATATGGCCGTTTCCAATTTAAAATCAGATTTTATCACGCTGCAGCATGCGCTTCTTGATTCTAAACTGCTATTGAACAGTAAGAAAACCAAAGCAATGCTTTTTGCTCCCAAGTCAGCGTCCTCCTCTTGCCTCTCCATTGACACCCTTGATGGCGTTTCTGTTGAGTTTGTTGATACCTACAAATATCTGGGCTTTTGGTTGGACAGTAATCTGAACTTTAAACACCATATTGAAGTTTTAACAAAGAAATTGAAATTCACTCTTGGCTTCCTTTTCAGATTTAAATGTTGTTTTTCAATTTCATCCCGTAAAAGGTTGGTCTCTGGCTTATTCCTGTCCCAGCTGGACTACGGTGATACCATTTATAGATTTGCCTGTCCCACTGTTTTGGCCAAACTTGACCCACTTTACCATGCTGCACTGCGTTATATATCAAATGCACCCTATAGGACTCATCATTGCACACTGTATAGCCTAACTGGATGGTCCTCACTTACTATGCGTAGGATGCAGCACTGGTTTTTATTAATGTATAAAGCCATTTTAGGTAAGCTTCCACTCTACATATGTGTCAGATTTGCCCCAGTTTGTGACTCTTACAACCTCAGATCCAGTGCCTGGATACGGTTCCAGGTACCTACTGTACGGACTGAGGCTGGAAAAAGGAGTCTTTCTTATTATGGTCCTTGGTCTTGGAATGACCTTCAATCACGCCTTAAACTGAGGGCACTTGTCTCTATTTCATGTTTTAAATTGAAGTTGTCTGAAGTCCTCACCACCAGCTGCTCTTGCAGTAACAAGTAGTGTACTTTTTTTATTGTCCTAATGTGCACGATGTAGTGACTGCTTTTTCGTCTTTTGTTTTCTTTGTTATGTTCTCTGTATTTTATATGTTTGTGTTATGTGTTATGTGTAACGTTGCTGCCTTCTTGGCCAGGTCAGCATTGAAAATGAGATTTTATCTCAATGTTTGTATCTGGTTAAATAAAGGTTAAAAATAAATTTAAAAAAAATAAAAATAAAAAACCAAAAACCATTAGGGGAAAAAAACTAAACAAAATACTAAAGTACATTTTAATACATTCCCAATGATGCTCAGAGAAACAGCAGTCCACTGTTCTTCTACCGACTAGATTTGGTTTCTTAATCTCTGCAACGAACATCAGCTCTATGCAGATGATACTCAATTACATTGCTAATATGCAATTAAAGGTAGGGTAGGTAAGTTTGAGAAACCGGCTCGAGATCGCTAGAATTTGAAAATACACAACCGGAGAAAATCTACCACTTCCTTATAGAGCCCCTCCTCCAACACACACGAACATGACCAATGAGTGCACGAGATAAGTTTGTGCACAGATGGAAGGCTGACAGGCAGGTAGGCCATCCAGTTATTTTAGCCGGGCCGACTAAAATGATTGGTCGTGCTTTTTACAGTATTACGGCTTCCACAGATTACATTTTTTTATGGATTTTTTGTCAAAGCACTTAAGATATTCATTGCTATCGGGATGTTAAGAGCATTCCATGGAATATAACAAAAAGTGTATCTCGAGCCGGTTTCTCAAACTTACCTACCCTACCTTTAAGTGTAATAAAGCAATGGTGGAGAAAGCACTGCTCATAGTAAACCAATCTAAACACAAAAGGTGTTTTATTCTCTTTTGGCATAGCATTTTGCAATAAACACTACCTACACAATACTAAGTTAAATAAAAAACATATCTATTGCCATATTTACAGATTGGAATACTTCCTCCACCACTGCAAACTGGCTTAAATATTAGCGAGCTAACATAAGCTAGCATTTTGTACCTGTCGTCTCCATCACCGTTGGATTCCTCGGTGACGGTTGCCAGGGAACAGTCTTTCCTGCGCATGTGTTTCTGGTTGACTGTGTCCGCCTGGTGGTCGGGGTCAGTACTGCTGCCGTTCTGCTCCAGGCCGTTAGCGTGACCGTTGGAGTGCGTGTGATCAGGGTTAGCGTGTCCGTTCAGCTGCGGCTGATGGTTGTTTGCTTCAGGCGACTCGGGGGCGGCCGCATGCAGGTTTTTTTTGCTGATGGTTTTCTTGAGGAGTTTAGCAACGTTACGAGCCGAGTTGGTCTTCTTCAAAGGAGGACACGACTCGTTTGCTTCTTTTCCTTCTCCTTCTGCCCCTCCTAGAGATGCACAACCAATATGTCACTATCAGTCAAATGCAGTGCCAACTATGTTATCATAGTAAGAGTAACATGAATGAAAAAACAATCTGGGATCAGTTTGTCTGCATTTCACTTCAATGGTCGTAATTGATCTTGAACACAGACTGTAGGCTATATAAGAAGTGTGTAGTTTTTTTTAATGTTTTATTATTTATTCTACCATTTCCACAATTAGACAATTTATTTAGAAGTATAATGGTTTGTTTGTCATCATTACTAGTAAACTTGAAATTTGAAGTATATTTGTATGTATCTGTACACACGTTGGTATTTCCTACTCCATTCTTCTCAATACATTTTTCATGCACAAATAAAATAAATTATAGATCCAACCAAATTCCCATGGAACTTTGGTGGTAAAATCGAAAAAAATAACAAACAAATGTGATTATTTGGAAATCTTGGTAAGTCATCGGAGGGTTAAATTAAAGTCCCATTTAAGTCTGTTGTAAATTTCATGGACATTTACCTATGTTTTTTTTGCTCTGTAAAGTCAGAAAGTAGGGGGCCCTAAGTAATAAGGCTATGTCTTACAGCAGAGTTATAATCTGACCTCTCTCTCTCTCTCTTGTTCCTGTGTCGTCAGCTTTACTATCCAAACCCCGTCCCCTCCCACCACCAAACTAAAATGATTGCAATTGTCATGGTTACCTTGGTCCTTGGAGCTGATGCGTTGGACAGGCTGACCAGAGACTTGACTGTAGAGCTGGAAGAACTCGTTAGCTACTGTCGTCAAGACCTCGATCTGACGGAAACGACCTGAGAGAGACAGAAACAAAACAACAGTTACAAAAATGCTGTGCCAAAAATAAAGAGCAGGAAAGACCATGTGTGAACTAAAACATTTTAAATGAAGAAGTTACTGAAAACAAAAGATACTCTTTCAAAAGTCTGCACACATTTGGATACTGGATAAGGCTTTTCTTTACCTGCTCCTAAAAGTGTAACAACTGGCAGAAAGGAGGCAATTTAGTTAAACTTCTAAACATGCTGTCAACATCCAGCAGCGCTCTTCCTCCTCTGAGCCAGTTCAAATATCTCTGCCTGGTGAGGTTTCCTGGTGTCCCTGAGCTTTTTGTTAAAGCACTCCCCCCCCCCCATCAAAAAAAGACATCCATCTTACAAGGTCATTCATTCCCAACTTCAGCTTCATGAATACCAAGAAGTCTTGTTAAAGAAACATTTAGAAAAGCGACTTCCAAAATAAGAGACTTATCCACATTTACCACATATTTTTATGTTACATTTGATAATTTTGACTTTAGTGTATCAATTAACCCTTTGTAATCATCTAATGTGTATCATATCTGTACAGGTGAAACGTGTATATTTGTATACAACTATCTTTTTGATCTGTTTTTTGCCTTGATACATGATACATTTTTATGTATCATGTTTTCCTTTTCATTTATGACTGAGTCACTGTAACAAGTTCATGTCCTCAGTGTGTGATCAATAAAGTTGTTATCTTATCTTATGTGGGTTAAGTTGTTTAAAAATACAATTCAACAAAAAGGAGTGTCCATACACTTCTTTCTGCTAATAATCCCAAAATGCCATGAAATGTCAAATTATATACTGTAGGGGCACATTTTACGGTACAACCTTACTCACTATGGAGTTACCTTTTGAATGTTTATTACAAAGGGAGTGAATGAAAATAAGTAATAGTAGTGGTAATAATCTGCGATCCATTTTGCCTGTTCTTTTCACATTTCACAAGAAACAAGAGTTTTCGATTTAAAAACTATCTGCAGTAAAAAAAACGACTTGGCAAAAAGCTTCATGTTTGACGTCAGAGCCTTCCTTCTTCTGTGGTTGTGTAAGCCGAGCTGTCAATCTTGTCTGTAACAGGATGATGATGACTTGCATACGTTCCTTCCTTCCGTACTGGTCCCTCCTCCCCACCATCCCTCCATCTTTCCCTGTCTAAATACTTGTCACTCTGTTATGAAACGCAGACTTCTGTCTTTTGTCAGTCACCCTGTTAACCCCACATAACTTGCTCTGAAGTCATCACCTGAAATATGAAGCTCAGGTCTGCTCGCTCTTGCATTTGATCCCACCCTCTAGTTGTTACATCGATAGATAGATGGATAAAAAGATTGATGTACTTTATTCATCCTAAATTTGAACAGCAGTAGCAGGTTATCAAGGCATTGTACGAGAGTAAAGAAATGCAAAAAAACTATAAATACAACTATAACTAACTTTTGTCAGCTTAATCAGTTTTCAATGCATAGGTTAGTTTGGCCTCTTGCCAAGAAATTTAACAATTTGAGTCACACTAGGCTATTGAGATATTTAAGAAAAATGGACTACCTTACTTCCACAATTTGCGCCAAAAATCTTACTCTCTCTCAGTCATAACTTTATCAAATCTTAACACTGTAAAAGTAACAATACATATATGTCCATTATGAACTTTTGTCTATAAATATACGAAGAAACCAGAGAAAAAAGATGATCGTTTTACTCTAGAACATTCCTGAGAATCATCACGTTTCTATGTTTTCTTCAGTATCAAAGTAATCCAGTTTAAGTTTTACTGCACGAGTATGTTGCAAAAAACAAGCGCTAATAGTTATTTGGCATTCTTTTAAAGGTAGGGTAGGTACGTTTGAGAAACCGGCTCGAGATCGCTAGAATTTGAAAATACACAACCGGAGAAAATCTGCCACTTCCTTACAGAGCCCCTCCTCCAACACACACGAACGCGCACATGACCAATGAGGGCACAAGATAAGTATGTGCACAGATGGAAGGCTGACAGGCAGGTAGGCCATCTAGTTATTTTAGCCGGGCCGGCTAAAATGATTGGTCGTGCTTTTTACAGTACTACAGCTTCCACAGATGACATTTTTTTATGGATTTTTTGTCAAAGCACTTAAGATTTTCATTGCTATCGGGATGATAAGAGCATTCCATGGAATATAACAAAAAGTGTATCTCGAGCCGGTTTCTCAAACTTACCTACCCTACCTTTAACTGTGCCATTTTGACAAAATGTAAACAAATGTTGGCAACAAGTGATATTATTATAGCCAGAACAACTTTTAGAGATCCATATAATTTGCCATTGTGGCGTTTTCCAAATGTTCTGCTGCCCCAAAGCGGCCAAAATATATCCATTAATGCACCATTAAAACAAGCAGTAATGATGAAATATGAAAACCTTTAAGTTAAACACATAGAAAACATCAACTGTGTTCAAGCCACAAACATCTTGACATGACGCCACAGAATATGAACCTCTTATTACAGCAGTCGTGTGTGATGATAGTAAGACTGTGTGAGTCTGTTTCCTGCTGACTGCTGACTCGGCACTAATCCTCGTTCTAAAACAGGAAATGAGGAATAAGAGAAAACGACACGTACTCTCTCTTTCTCTCTCCCCGTCCCAAGAGATTCATTCTGATGGTGAGAACAGAGCTTACGTAACAAACAACAACACACACACACACACACACACACACGCACACACGCACTCTCTGGGACCCGGGGAACCGATGGAACAGTATGAGAATGTTCTGGAAAAGAAAAAAAAGTTTCCAGGACCCAAAGAGAGACCAGAGGCTGTTAAAGGAGCAGTTCACTTTGTAAAAGACGGACACAGAACTGATCTCAGTCACCCCGGCTGTGTGTGAAGTCAGTTTGTATTTCGTTTTTAACCAAACATTTACTACATCAGGCTAAAGCAGAAAACAATCCCTCCCATTACAAAAAAAACGATTTAGTAAGTCAGTATTTTGTTTTACTGTTGTTTTTAGTCACTTTCCTACACAATGGTCAGATTATCAAATGCAATTTGAAATTGGAACCAGGTGGGTGTTTCTTAAGCGGAGTATAAAAAGACAACAAGAAAGCTCTGTAGCCAGAACAAACAAGGCTAACTTTTTTAATTCTTTCAACCTTGACAGAGTCAGCGCACACCAGATCAACCTGCTCCGTTTTTGTCTTCTACAATAAAAGCCCTAATTAAACACTAAGCAAAAAGGAAATACGTAAATCATAGAGAATGATATTGAATCAATAATAATTCCCTTAAGAATGATAGCCAGAATCTACTTAAGCCTTTCATTGAATAAGTGCTTGTTTAACTCTTTCTCTCAGTGGAGAGTGAGTGCATGAGTTCAATGTCATCCTGAGCTGTTCTCCTGCCGTCAGACTGAACGCTGGCCCACTTCTCTCCTCCTGACTCAGGTCATTGAGTTTCAGTGTGCGTGCATCCAAACAAGCCTGTGACTCATTTAGTTGCTATCAGCAGATAATCAGTGATTGTGAGATAAGCAAATGGAAACCGTATGGATGAATGTCAACAATGCAATGTGTCCGGTTGTTTATTGGAGTGAAACATCCAGGTTAATAACTGTGGTGACATAACAATGAGTCACAGCAGAGTCTTATTTGGTTAGTTGCACTTATACACACTGTCCGGATTACAATGACATCAATATGTCATGACCTCAACTGTGTACATGTATTATCTAACTATAGCCGTCATGCAAATGTAAGTTAAATGACAAAACCAGAGATGGAACAAATGAATGAAGGGCGTGTTGTACCTAATAATATAATCATTTCCTGAAACTGTAATAAAAACCCATTGACTATAATTTAAAAAAATGTCTCGACTGATATCGTTTTTTTTTTTTTCTTTCAGATGGGTCCTTTCTTTTTCAAAACGTATGATGTTATAATTAGTATGTTATTAAAAATGTATTATACTGTTAGCGCCATGCTAGCCTAATAACGAACACCAACATTTCACACTTTTAAAAATGTAAACTCTAGGTTTTATGAGGAAATTGAAAAAAGTGTTATCAGTGTGTTATCAGTTAAAGAGGAATTCAACTAAAATCTCTAACAATGGTAAGTCAACATGGCCACACCCATGCTGATTGGTTGTTGTGCAAGGATTGTCTGTCAGACGAGAGTGGATCTTAGATAAGACACCATCAGAAGATAACAGAAGCTGCAGACGATCGCCAACGTTGCACAAGTGAGCGATGAAGACAAAACAGCTGATGTCCCTTAACTCTCCTTTTCATCTGATTCAACAGTCATTCTTATTGAATGAAATTCTCTCTCTATCATTTTATCACATCATTAGTGAGGTCATTACGTTATTGGGTTTTAATTCGTGCTCAGAAAATTATTACATTATTGGGTGCTACAAGGTGGTCAATAAGACTTGGAAAACTGTTGCATAGTGGCAAACATATGCATCTTTTGCACTACACATAAAAAACCCACCCTTAACATTAAGAGACACAAACTCTGGTTGAAAGGTCAAAACTTTCAATTCCATAAAGATGCTGAAGTGAAAAAGTAATGGCGCATAGGCACTAAGGTCAGCCACGTAATAACGCAGTCGTTTTAACATACAATTGAGTGGCCTGGCTGTTTTCAGACCACCAACGCATACCAATAACTTTCATTAAAGTAAGCTGGAAAGTCAGTGATTCCTATTCTTCCATATTAAAGTGATAACTAATGCAGACCACCCAGCTAAACTACCATCATTGCTATGGAGTGATTCATCTTCCCACACACAGAGGATCTATGGTCATGCTATTTTTGTTTTTTTGAACAGCACCAAGACAATTAAAATGTCAAGAAGACTAGAATCAGCTGTGAGCGTGTGGTGTGCGTGTGTGTGTGTGTGTTCAATTAGGGAGCCAAAACCTTCCATGAAAACAGGAGTTGAAAACAAAAAGAGGCCAGGATGTTAGTGGAGCAGGTCTGTATATATATATATATATGTGTGTGTGTGCGTGTGCGTGTGCGTGTGCGTGTGCGTGTGTCTCTGGGACAAACGGATCTTTGTCCTTGCTGGCCGTGTTGTCCAGGCAGTTGGCAGAACAGCTAAAAGAGCTAAAAGACCCCACAGAACACCATAATAGTACTGAGAACAGGACACTCACACACACACTCACACACAATGTTTGAGCTTCACTTCCTCTGTCTACAGTTTCTGGACATAACCCTCCTTCTGCAGTACTGGTGTTCTTTAGTTGTTGCCCTTCAGAAACGTGTAGTAATAAACACTGGAACAGATGGAGGTACATACTGGTCAGAGCGTAGTTGGGGTGCTCCACTTCCATGCGCTGCAGCTGGGCTCCCAAGTAGACCTGCAGGTGAAGAACAGGAAGTCATTATAATACAGTATCAGTGATTAACTATTAAAAGACAGGCAGCAGAGTTAAGAAATGGTAATCAGGTGAAATGCAACATTTGATACATTTGCTTCTCTGCACCAGTCAACAGGCGATTGTGTTCCTCAGCTATTGACAAGTGTGCATATGTGTATGTATTGTGTGTGTCTGCTCGTCTCTCTGGCTCTCTGTTTAGACAAAGAGGACAAACAGGTTCAACTAGAAAGGCCCTAGGAGAGAGGAGACCCCCACCTGGAACAATGGGGCATTCACATGGTATTTGGGTGGTACACAGATGAAAGTAAATTAGCCGATAACGTAAATATATACTTCAGATTAGTTAAACAGGGCAGGGCCATGTGGAATTGAATGACGATGCGTACTGGGGTGATCAGTGTTAGGAACTCGTGTCCATCTGAGTATACAGGTGTTTCTGCTGTGGTCTCCAGCAGTTCTATAGGCTTTGAAAACACACCACATTTGTTGGCTCTTAAAGGTAGGGTAGGTAAGTTTGAGAAACTGGCTTGAGATCGCTAGAATTTGAAAATACACAACCGGAGAAAATCTGCCACTTCCTTACAGAGCCCCTCCTCCAACACACACGAACGCGCACATGACCAATGAGGGCACGAGATAAGTTTGTGCACAGATGGAAGGCTGACAGGCCATCCACTTATTTTACCCGGGCCGGCTAAAATGATTGGTCGTGCTTTTTACAGTACTACGGCTTCCACAGATGACATTTTTTTTAATGGATTTTTTGTCAAAGCACTTAAGATATTCATTGATATCGGGATGTTAAGAGCATTCCATGGAATATAACAAAAAGTGTATCTCGAGCCGGTTTCTCAAACGTACCTACCCCACCTTTAAGGTTTGTATACAGTGATAAAACACTGAAGGCGTCAGTACCTTAATGTCGATGCCTCGCGCTATAGAGGAGTTGTTGAAGAACCTGGAAGGAACCTTCGAGGCTAGGTCAGGTTCTTCTCGACCAAAACCAAGATTTAAGAGGATTTCCTCGGGGTCTTCCTCATACAGGTCCAGCAGCTCTGACACACTGTGAACACACACACAGGCAGTCAATGATTCAGTCATCAAGGCCGTGAGTCGCTCAGTCAGTTAGTTAGTGAGTTAGTCTGCTGGTTAGTTTATTAATCCTAACCGCAGCTTAAGAAGGGGGTTCTCCAGGGGCTCCTCTGACAGCTCCGACAACTCTGAAAAACTATGAAAACACAGACAGCCAGTTAGTACTTCTCACACACAGCTTTTTGTTAGTCTGTTAGTGAGGTAGTTAGTTAAATATGAAATACGTGGGGTAGTGGCTGAGCCTCTCCTCAGCTCCTCAGCAGCCTCACCTAGAGGTGGAGAACAAAATAAACCTGACCAGGAGGATCAGCCCATCAAGGAATTAGGAAACGTTTTTTTGTTTGTATTGGGGTGGCTGTGTCTCATAAGGATGAGTTGGCGTGTACCAATCTGTGGTGGTTAGTACAATTGGTAACTTTTGTGGGTATTGGAAATTAAATTGCAGGGATAAGTCAAATTTGCTTTAATTCAACGATCACAGGAGGAAATATATGATGTAGTAAACTTAGTCTTGCATTGAGGCCTACTGATTTTCCTTTACAGCAAATGTTTAATTATGTTTTTAATGCCCTATAGGTGCTTCATGAAGATATGTTTTATTATCACTGCTCTCTATGGATTATTAGGTTTTCTTCTCATCACACATAGAAACCAACAAAAGCTTTCAATCTGCTACAAAACTTTTTTTTTTTTTTTTTTTTTAAACACAGCATCTCTCAAGTCCTTCGAAAAATGAAAAAACTGTGGATGGATTACCCATGATGCACCACCGCATAGCCCATGATGCACCACCGCATAGCCCATAATGAACCAGTACACACACAATACACCAATGACCTCCAAACGCTGGAGTAATGCCCAAACCCTGGCACCATCAGCCCCCTGCTGTGACCTCATCCCCGCTCGACCGCCACCAGCAATAAATCCAAAAGACTCCTTTCCACCACAAACACTTTGTTCAAGAGTAAATCCTCCAAACACAGATCTACTGATGATGCACCGCAGACATTAACAAACACAAACACACCAGCTTCAATCATGGAGATCTGAAAAAGTGTATCCCCCCACATTTCTGAGAGAGCAGTGACACTGTGAGCTGTTATTGTTCAAACCAGGCAAACTCCACTAAAAGGAGCTCTGAGAAAGGTCTGGTGTTTTGTAAGTATTCAATCAGAGAAACTAACCACAATGGTTAAACTCAACCAATATATATTTACATCTTTATATACAGCAAATTCTTGTATGAGTGGTTCCCAATGTTCTTTTTATTTTTTGACCTCCTAAAATGAAGCAATGTCTACCAATGATGACCATAGCCTGACCAACACAGGACTTTTGAGACCCATATCGCCCAAAACTAAAAAGAACGTGTGAATAAAAGTGCAGAGGTATCTCTCAAACTGAGGGTGGAGATACTCAGAAGGAGGCAGTTTATTTTTGATAAGCCTGCATGTGACAAAGCTGAATGGCTTTTTGAAACATGTTTTCTGACCCACGCAGCCCACACATTCTGTCTTGGTTGTCTTATTTCACACTTTATGCTTTGTTAGGAAACCCAGAAACACAAATGTATGTAAGGAGTTATTCCTGTGCTCTTTAATACAGCTCTGATATGATCGTGGGAGAGTAAACACTAAACACTAGGCTGATATCAATGACACACAATTACAAATAGTGGTGCTGGATTACTGTGCATGCTGAATCATCTCCTTATGGAAATGGCAGCGTTAAAATAACATAATTTTATTGAGAAATGGTGACTGAATGTAAAAAGATGAGGGGGTGGTTTCCTACTCAGTTTGTAAAATGTGAATAACTTTTTGGTTGTGTAAAAAAAAAAGCTCTCTTTCGAGTAGTTTGATTGGCTTGAAGTTTAATAACAGCCCTCTGTGCCTCTGCTGCTCTCTACCTGAGATCACTGCGTTACTTCCTGCAGAAACCTCCATGAGTCTGAGTGGAGACTGACGAGGGGAACTGACCTGGACACAGTGCTGCTCTTCCCTGATCCTGTGGAGTTCATACTTCTTGCACTCTCTTTATACTGACTCCTCTTCTGATCCGCCGCAAGCCCAAAGCTACACATTGACATACACACAGAAGCAATAACAGACATACACAGAGTTATCAACCAACTGTAATCATCTGTATTTACTCAAAGTAGAGAATTCAATAAATGTTTACTCACCAGGATTCAGATTTATTGTTACTGGACTGAAGATGGTTGGCTGCAGAAAAAAATAAGAAATTAAGATCATTCATATATCAATAAAAACAACATATATACATTGATTATTTTCTATTATGAATTGATTGGTAACTATTGTTTTGTGAAATCTGTCCACATAAAGTGCTTTGCCTTCTTTTAATGCAGTTTTTTTTTTTTTTTTTGTGGAAATAGATTATCAAGTGCTCAAGAAATGATGGTTTTCTTGTATTTATGCAACTATAAGAGCAAAAGCCTGGTCTTGTGCATGTCCCTGCTCTAGTGAAGGAAATTCGCTTCCCAAGAGGATAGGTTCATGTTAGGTCTTATAAAGATCTGCTTTACAATAAGATGAGCTTCAGATTGTCTGGCTAACAAGCTAAGTAACTACAGTAAGTACTGAGCATGCCAAACCGGTATTTTCAGCCAACTCATGGTGTGAGGGGTAAGCTTCATTAACTAGCTAGCTATAACAGATGTCAGACAGTTGTCATTTCAATGAGCATAACCAAAATGAGAAGCTTATTTAAATAATATTAAATAAATACGTTACAGGGCATAAATCTGCTGCAGTTCTGACTTTAAGAATGAATGAAGCGTGTACACTTTTCACTCAGTCAGAGATCTGCAATCACTCATCACCAGATGCAGGTTTGACAGTTTTCTTTTTCATTCAAAGGAACCTGTTGGGACATGTCGTCACACTACTGTCTGTCTGAGTTCCTCTCTCTATTTTTTCCACTTAATTTCAGCTGACAATCTTCTTCTTTCTTTAAATCCAGTGTCATTATCTGTTTTAAAGGACCCAAAACATCACAAAATCTCCCCTGCAAACTCTTAATTCCCTGGCTTATTTCCATCTATTCACCCTGAATCCTTTAATTAACTAATTCACTTCCATTATATTCACACAGTGACACTATGATCCCCTTCCTCCTGTCCTTATAATGTTTGACATCATGTAAGCCCATTGCGATCTGTTCATACATGACATCTCTAAAGTCTTCTGCGCCACTAAAGCTGATGAATGTTATTAAAACATGATTAAAGCACTTACAGTCAGGACATCAAAACATAAAGTGAGATTTAGGATGATGACAAGAAGTAGCCACAGCCACTCAACTAAAGAGGTTTTCTAACAAAACCAAAATCTAAAAATAGTACCATTATCTTTTCTTCCTAATGTAACATCCACATAAACACAAAGCCAGTGAGCTCAAAAGAAGAAAGGTCGTGAGTGATCAAAGGTTGATGTTTGTGATGATGAAACAAATGAAGAGGCAACAGTAACATAGAAACTCAAACTCAGTCCTTGTGGCTACAATAGAGGAGAAGATTTAAGTCACACCAAAGTCCAAATACCTCATTCTTCTTTAGTTTAAAATGAAATAAAATGTTTTGTGCATCTTTTTATAAATACAAACTTCATACTGAAATGATTTTTCTATTTGGAAAAAAATGCTTTCCAATCCACTTAAAATAGAAATTGTTTGTATGCTAGTATTCTATAATAAATACGTTTTTATTAACAATGGATCACATTATTACTTGTTTGAAATGGGGCTGTTCTAAAGCTCAATCTGTATAACATGAATCTGCATCTCCCTTGAGCTCAACAGATCTTTTTCATGGCATTTCTCAGCACAACGTTTGTGTTTTCAGGATGAAAGCTAACTATTGTGCTTCACTTTCACTGGTTTCAATGCTAAGTTTTCAGTCAGAGCAGGCAGCTCTTTTCAGCAAAAAGTTTTAAAAACCCACTGTACACTAGCTGTCCGGCACCAAACTGTGTTCGGACATATTACCCAGATGTTGAACACAGTGTAGCATTCAGCGGCTAAAAAGCCTGATATTTTAGCTGGTAGAGACCAAACACAGAGCTGTAAGATGAGTCAACATTGGAGGTATATTATAGGCTGCAATTAATAAGATTGACTTAACCGCCTAACCATAACTGTATACATGCCAGACAAATGACAGGTGGCTATTATTCTGAAGAAGGCAAGATATGCAGAGAATTTGGCATACAGCCTAACAAAGCCTTCTAATAGTTATTGCACAGTTGTGCAAGACTAAAACACATTTCCTGAGAAAAACTTAGGCGAGGTGCATCTATGTTGTCGTGTTAGGTGAAATTCCATAGAACAAACATTAAACCAGTTTTGCGAAATCAAGCTGAAGGACAAGTCTGATGTTATTGCTGAAAGATTTAATTACTTGATAGTTAATGATTAACGCTAAAATGAATTAAATTGCTAAGTTTCAGCACAAGATGAAGATAAATGAAGCGAAGGCTGCTGTTCCTGAACAAGTAGTCCCTGATCAAATCTATCCAACCTGCTGCCCCTCAGCATCAACTCATTGGCATCTATTCAGTCCCAGATTCCTACAACACACACCTTACAGTATAGTACAGTTGTGAACGCAACCATACCCGATTAGGATATTTGGTCAAGGGAGAAAGACCAAGAACAGCTACTTCAACAAGGATTTTCCACATGAAGGACCTGATAACACACACACACACACACACACACACACACACACACACACACACACACACACACACACACACACACACACACACACACACACACACACACACACACACACACACACACACACACACACACACACACCCACACACACACACACACACACACACACACACACACACACACACACACACACACACACACACACACACACACACACACACACACACCACACACACACACACACACACACACACACACACACACACACACACACACACACACACACACACACACACACACACACACACACACACACACACACACACACACCTCATTAGAGTCTATTCTTCACTCAAAAAAGGAAACACTTAACATCTATCTATCAGAGCTATGACTGATGTATTCACAGCAGTTCAGAGGAATGATGAAAACACAAACACACACAGAGGACTGTCAGTCAAGCATGCAGTATGTTTCCACACCTCTGTGATTTGTTGACTTTTTGCTTCATGAAGAAACAGGACTGAGGAATGAAGATGGAGCGGTGTATGGTTGTGAACTACACCAAGTTCAGGGGATTATACTGACACTGTTGTGTTTGTCAGACATCTTTATCTTTGCACATGTGATCAAGCTTTATGGTCATTGTATCAAAGGACACTTTGTACAACACAAAGTATGGATGGGCAATAGGGACAAAATAAATTGCAATATTTTTATGCAATTCCTTTGCAGTGATATTGCAACAATTTTGTAGGGTTGGTTTTGCTTTCAACAAATATTTAGAAAATACGATTTTTGATAGATAATTGGCAATAATGTGGATCTAATGACTAAGTCGGTAAAGAGCATCTATAATAGTTAGAAGGAAGCTAATGAAATTACATCACTGTACTTTAATGCAGCGCTTCAAAAAAGGAAAAAAGAAAACATGCCATATTACGATGTCCAAAACCTAAGAAGATATGAGTCTCATATCACTTTATCAATAATATATCGATACATTGCCCAGATCTACAGTAACACATCCCATGACAATTATAGAAACTCAAAATCAAATAAGCAATGGCGTAACTTCACAACCTAGTCGGCATTTTGTTCTGGGCATTGTACATTTGTGCAAAACCCCATTCTTATATATATATATATATTTGATATCAGCCTTGTATCAAAAAAACGATCACGGTCAGGCTCAGAAAAAAGGTCATGTTAATGCTAAAACTATATTTATATATGTATATATGTATTTATATGAACTTGAATAATGATTCAAATAATCTACGGGCGATCAGAAAGCCCAACATCCATATTCTCATGTGAATCTGAGTAACATGGGGAAAATGTCAAATCGCTTGCGGGTGGGTCAGTTACTGTAAAACACATAACTATCCGAACACAGGGAAGGAACTTAACAATGAGCAGAGATCTGTAATCTTATTTGTATTGTGAGTTTTTCTGTGTACTGACCTTCAGCTCCCAATGAAAGGTCATCTTCAAAGCTGCAGCCGTTCTTCTGCACTCCTGTTCACACGCAAGCACAAGCACACATTTTGAGTAAGCACACAGAAGTAAAGTTACAAAATCCCTTCGATAACATCTCCATACTTAAACAAGTAACCGCTAACAGTAACCAAAACAAATTCACTTAGAAAAACAGTCATGATGGCTCAAGTGTTTAGTCATAAAGCAAAGAGATGTGTCCTAACAGGTTGGGGTCCTCACAATGTAATATATAAACAATAGACACAGAAATGTGGATTACCTTTGCTGGGAGAAGCAGTCTGATCATCTAAGGAGGCTCCCAGGGGAGTCCTGGCCAAGAGACAAAGAGACAGTGTTGGAAAGTCACCCAAACCATAAACTAACCATTAAAAACGTAAACATCCAAAAGACTTTGAGGGTGTGGGCTTACATAACAAATATTAAATGCCCTTAATGCTCATCTACTGTTATATCACTGCAACTTAAAATACCTTGAGGGAAAGTCCTAACCAGGCAAAACTAAGTACAAACAAACGAGGCAATAATATTTATCCTAGGATTATCCCTGGTTAAACTGAGGGTAATAATCGACTAATTCCTGTTTGTGAAATTCTCATTAGCCCGTGTTAAGTACTGACTAAGCTAAAGTAACGTTTACAACCTACAGTAAAGGCCTATCCAATGCTCTGGCTTAGTATACCCTGATAAGTCTCTGACTGTCAAATTAATTACAGACTAATTGAATGTCCGAATTAAGGTAACAACCCCAATTTAGTCAGGCTGACGACAGCTATGTCAACGGTAGGTGCCAACCATCTCAGGCTAACTACCAGTTTAACTAAGATTAACTATAGCAACATCAAAGGTATCTTCCTGACAGATAAAGGCCAAGGCTTAGTAACACAGGCTGACTGCCTATCAGGCTAGGGCTATGTAACGCATGCTAACTAGCTGTATTGTGAAGGCTATCCCAGGATAGCTCCTGTTCAGATCAGTCTACTTATGATTACCATCCACTACTGACCATGCTAGACTGAGCATCCTAGGCTTACTCTTGTTTTTTTGGTACCAGTACCAGGTTTCCTACTGACCAGACTAGTTGTCCCAGGCTAACTAGCTGACAGATCGGGCAAGTTGACAGCAGCAGTAAGCAAGCAGTTCTGATCTGCTGTGTGCAGCCAGACGCTGGGAAACACTGAGCTGTTACACAACCTGCCACTCTTATCAATGGGACAAACTTCATGCCACCATTTAACACACTCACACACACTCACACACACACTGATGGTTGTGTAACAGTGTGCAGTCGCAGTGTTTGCTTATCCTACCAGTTTCCACCGGCAGCCATGTTGGCCTCAGGCCCCTGCGGCTGTTGCTATAGTAACATGTGATTCTGATTCTGCTGGTCATGTTGCCACGGTGAGGTTGCATAGCGCCACAGGGTTGTGAGTGACAGCAGTGAACAGTGTGAGTGTGTGATAACAGTGTTAACTCAGCAGGAGAAACCCCTCCTCTGTTTACTTTATTTATTTCTGCCTTTCTTTCCGTCTTCTGTCGGCTTCTTCCTGCATCTTGCTCTCCCTCTTTCTTTGCCTGAACAGCTCTATGTGCCCTATCTCTGGGCGTTGGTCTGCACCCTTTGTGTGTGTGTGTGTTCTGTGTGTTGTATGTCTGGGAGTGGCTGTGAATTGGTTCTACGTCAGCAGCTGATAACACGGGTACTAAACACACACAACTCAAGACATTGGAAAAAATATATCAATAAACCAGCAGGAAAACCAGTTAGCCACTAAAACCAGTTAGTCATTATTTTAAGACCATATCCTCTTTGTTTCCTAATTAAGTCCAGGAACTACTAAGTCCATTTACTGTACATTCCTGATTATCATTTCTAACCAATCAGCAGTTTTGTGATTACATTTCTTCCTAGGCAGTTTCAGTTAATTTTGTACATCAACATTCATGAAACTTGCTGCACTCAACATCTGTCAGCTACATTTTAAACAAATAATAAAGTACAGATTAATCTGGAAAGTCATTGGTTTGGTCAGGTACTGTACCTGCATTCAATCAGCCAGCTGGCGATGTTGTTAGGCACTTGCCCTGGCAGAGAGAGACAGATGAACATGTTAAAACAATAGGCCGCTGCTGTGTGCAACAATGATTACAACATGCTATAAAACCATTGGCTTTGTGGGGATGCGGTGAAGCACAGCTGTACTTTGAGCTACCGTCAGAACACTTACCTGCTCATGGCCACAATGCAAACAAGCTTACGTTTTGCAGGTGTTAGTTTAGCGTGTTAGCTTAATTACATTTGCTAACAAACATGGCGTGCTTTATGATGACACTTCTACGTGATGCTGCTGTGTGTGCAAGGTTTTACAGTGCGCACTCACAATATACTCGTTAATGAGCAAAGTGCAGCATGTTTTCTATCATGTGTATAATTTACAGTATAATAACCTTTTTTTAATGGCTGTTTTTTTACCTTTTATATATTTTCATAGAAATAAATTGTCACCCATTTACTTTAAAACAGTAATAATGCTTATTTGTTACATGTTAACTTGTCAAGACTCCCATTTCTGTGGCAGACTGGGAGCCTGGCTTTAAAGATGTGAAAAGAAACAAAAAAACTCATGAGTGCTCTCTGCAGACACTTTTTCTAAGATATCTCAAATACTCTATACCATCTGCCTTTCTGTTTTGCAATTTCCTGATGCTTATCAGTCGACTAGCAATACTGACATGACTGTGATAAGGTTAAATTGTCTGATAATGGGTGGCAATGAGTGTCACTTAACTGAGGTGTCTGCAAACATTTTTTACTTTCTCAGCAGATATATGGTTAACATGAAACACAGTAACATTTCATATTGTTAAAATATCCCCAGTTACATCTACAGCTGAGGTCAGTCTAACCTGTTTCCTCTGAGGGTGTTTGCTCTTCCCCGTCCCTCTGGTTCTGTTGGGGTCCCTCTTCTTCTGATTCTAGCCAGGTAGAATCTTTGCTCTTTGCCCATGCCCGACGGCGCAGACAGGCTACATTGTAGTCTGCCTGCACTCTAGGATCTGAGGATCAATCAAGCAAACATCTGTCAGACAGCCGGACTACCATGAAGTCATTGATCAGGTTTGGCAGGTATTCAACCAGACTGACAGAAACTACATCTAATCAAACCCTCACCACATCAGGTGAGTCGAGCTAGGTGATCATATGCAACAATTCTCGCAATGTATAACTTGTTTTTTTCAACCACCACTTTGATAAGGGACAATAAAGACAAGACTGAGGCCCTAGCATTAATGAAAATGTAAAAGTCCATCCCCTTGCATTCCACTATATATACCCAGGGACTGCAGATGGTAATTAGCAAACTGCTATAATCTGGTACAAAGCCTCTTATCTCTGTTCTTTGTACATGGTCCCTGACAACTAAACCAATAAACTAAAACACATTTAAAGAGTTATGCTGTGTCTCAATGTTTATGCTTCCATTAGTATTGTGTACACTCTTACTTATTTGGATAGTCTGTGAATTCTCAAAGGGTATCGTTGTCTCAAATTGTAGCAAACTGTTATGAACTGAACTGGCTTGTTTGTGATACCACATCATTACAGAAATGAACCATATAACATACTAAGGGCTTCTATCAGACAACAAGGTAGTGTTTTTTAGGTTAAAAAACAAACTGAATAAAAAAATGTATATATAACTTTTATTTGTTTAGTGGTGTTCACAGGAGAAACCCAAACTACTGCTGGTCCCTCCTCTTCCGCAACATGCTAATAGGCCGACCGCAGAGGGTGAACGAGTCTAGCCTTCCACACTCATCTTTTTGACCATCTTGAGTGCAAAATCAGGTTGTCAAATCATTCTCAGTGTGAATGCTCAAAATAGCAAGTGTAAGTACAGGAGTGAGCTAATTGAGACACACTGTCATTGTTGCCCTGTATTCATTACTTTAAGCAATTCAAACAGGTTTTGGTTCATGTGGGCTAATTTTATGACTGTTTATCCGTTTCCTTTAGCCAACTTTTTCAACTGTATACGATACTTGAAGACAATTATTAAGGCTTTTTATCAGTTCACACTACTCAGGCTTATTTAAAAAAAACTGTAATCCATTGTTTTCATCTTCTATTAAAAAACAGTTTATGAATTTCTTATGTTGACTACTTTTTTAACTGTGAGATGACCCACCTGGAGCAGTGCTGGTGTCCATGGCCAGAGATCCACTCTCCATATCTACCTGTCTGTGTGTCTGGTTGAGGTCAATCAGTCCATCAGAGGAGACTGACGACTCTACAGGAACATCAGCAACAGGTAACACTCCTGAGCAAGAGAGAGAGATAAAGCAATAATAAAAAGAGAAGAGAATATATCTGAAGCACCAAATAACACATCATGCTGCATTATCAGTCCCTAATTGAAACATGCAATGCAGACGCAAACAGTACACAGACAAAACAAACTACACATACAGTATACAAAACACATCATTCACTCACAATAAAAGCTTTAAATGTCTTTAAATAAGCTCTTAATTGGAGCGTCTAAATAAAAGTGTGTTCAAACCTGGACAGTTGAAACAGAGTGAGGGTGTTTTTTGGTGACATGAGAAGTGGCTTCTATTATTGATGACTGAGTTACCCACGCTGAGACCAGCTGAGATTACACAAACGCATGGCAAACATACTGGACTTCTTTTCTTTTACATTGTGGTGTTGCTACTTTGACTTTAGTAAAAGCATCTGAATACTTATGTGAGTTTTGTAGTTTTCAACAGCTCATCTCTCAAATTTCATGCATCCTTCATCACATGAACATGGGGTTTTCCGAACAGTTATTTGGTTTGTAAATGTTTCTTATGTATGAAACAAGCTTCAAGTCTCTGCAAGTTGATTTATCATAGAAATGAGCTGAGACCAGAAGCTGCCTGAGGTGTCACGAGATCAATCTGAACCCTGATAAATGATCTGCGGTAACAAGCGGTGTGTGGCACATCATTGCATGTTCATTTAATGCCTTCAACCAGAATTATCTCTAAGAAACATCACCGCTGGACCAAAATCATGAACTTTGTTGAACTTTGAATGAGTTTGTACCAACACAGGAAGGCACACTTCTAAGACATGTTTTTTAGGACTTAAAAGGTGGGGTAGGTAATTTTGGAGAAACCAGCTCGAGATCGCTAGAATTTGAAAATACATAGCCGGAGAAAATCTGCCACTTCCTTACAGAGCCCCTCCTCCAACACACACGAACGCGCACATGACCAATGAGGGCACGAGATAAGTTTGTGCACAGATGGAAGGCTGACAGGAAGGTAGGCCATCCAGTTATTTTAGCAGGGCCGGCTAAAATGATTGGTCGTGCTTTTTACAGTATTACCGTTTCCACAGATGACATTTTTGTATGGATTTTTTGTCAAAGCACTTAAGATATTCATTGCTATCGGGATGTTAAGAGCATTCCATGGAATATAACAAAAAGTGTCTCTCGAGCCGGTTTCTCAAACTTACCTACCCCACCTTTATAAATACATTTATTTTTCATCATAAACTGTGAGGATCTTTTCATTAACATCATCTATTATTCATGTTGTGTATATAATGGGGACGTTTTCAAATGTATGCATGTTCTATCAGGAAAAAAAAGCCAAAGAAACAACAAAAATCAGTTATGCTAGACTGAAATATATATGTTTGATGGATGCCATGAGGTTTTGTTCAGACATTCATGTTCCCCTCAGAATGAAACATAATCACTTGTCACGTGATATTGTGACATCTAGGCCCTAAAAGTTTGGGACCCTAGATTCTAGGGTCACCATCAGTTTAAAATGTCACTTTGTCCAACACTACAAACGTAATGACATCCCATCAGTCTCAGCTGCACTTTGTACTTTGATAAATAGCTAATGTTAGCATGGTAACACACTGTAGTATCAAAGCAAACATTATACCTGCTAAACATTTGCATTTATATTGTCAGCATGTTGACATTAGCATTCAGTATCACTGTACCTCAATACAGCCTCACAGGTGGCTGTAGGCTGTTAGTCTTGCTGCTTGATAAATGAATGTTAAGAAGCTTAATAATGTATTTTTTTGTGATTATACTAAACCTTTTAAACAATATCTAATTTGGTGTTACCATATATATACACTGCATATATAAACTAAACATATTTGATTATACATTTAATTACCTGATTTTCCCAAAAGCAACTTACAATAAGTGCATTCAATCATGAAGATACAAACTCAAAACAGCAAGAATACTGATCTAAGTACATTAGCTTCAAATAAGGCAACCAAATATATAAACTGTAAATTGTTCATTTGGTTTTAGTACTAGTTTTTTTTCCAAAGGTTTTATCAAGAAAAATAATAGCAAAAATATGAATCTATAGTTCTTGTTTCTGCAATCTGAGGATGTGCTTCTTCAATGTTAACATAAATAACAGATTAAATGTTATATTTATTAGAAAAAGAAATAGGCATAAGCAGCAGCTGTTCTCATATCTTTGGTCCCCGAGTTCAGTCTGACAGGTAAAAGGTGACCGGCCACCAACCAGCCTTACCAACAGGAACAACACCAGAGTTTACTACTGAGGAAGTCTGTATATAAACAGGAATGCAATAATAGGTTAGGCTACATGGTTACTAACAATAACTAACGCAGTGATACAGCCACAAAGCTGTTTAATAAAACTCAAGATTTCGATATGAAGTAAAGAGAGGAGAAAACAAAGAGCTGGTGGGGTAGAAATAAAATAGTCCACATGGAAGAAAAAAAAAGAGAAGCATGCAGCCAAATTTAAATGAGAACGTGTGAAACAGGAAACAAGTGTTTGGGATGAATAACAGAACAACTTCCTGTCCAAAGATACAAGAGAGACAGATGGGAAAGATCCATTTATTTTTAGATTTCTCTTGTAAATGCAGAAAAACAACAACAGACAGACAGTGGGAGATCGAGTACAGCGAGTCTTGTTAACACTCTTTAATCATCCTTCCCCTCCCCATGTCTTTAAATGACTCCTTCAGGCTTAAAGGAGGCTACAAATAGTTTGCATAGTCGTTCTTTACAGAGAACAGCAGCTGTGATACGTTTGGATTCTTATGGTTATCATAGGATTTAATGGTGAGAAGATGATGACAGTGGAGAGAAGTATCAACAATCTAAATAATTAATTATTATATATAATGGTTTCTGACTTCTCCTCTGATTATCTTTTAGCTCAATCTTTTAAAATGTAAAAAATATAAACCAGTTAACACACCTTAACACCTTCAACAGTTGTATATGAGCAACAGTTAAGGTGTAGGTAACTTAGACACCTAAAAACATTACATGTCCAACAATAACTGCGGATTATGTCTTTTACATCATTGCATGAGATATAGTCATCTAACAAAATAATTGTTTTTCTCAGTCCAGAGTTCAAATGAACTACCTTTTCAAACTCAACACTATTTTAGTCACTTTTGCACATCATAAAAGCCCATTCTAATTATTTTTGGACTAATGCAAATGCTGTGTGAATAATTATAATGTGACACCTCTTTTTATTGTCAATTGCTTTGGTCATGTTTATCAAAATGTGCGTGCGAGTTCATTCCATAAGTCATTACTTGCAGAATGGTCCAACCAGTTTTCGTAATCTGCCATGTGTCATGTATTAATGCTTTGCTCTATAAGTGGAATATGACTTTCACTTAATGACGGGGTATGTGGAAGACTGCAGTGTAATCCCCCCCAAACAGGGCTGCATGTAATATTCTAACTACGTTTTATTTTTTAAATATTGTATTTTTTACTTTGTGATATGTAGTTCTGTTAAAAGAAAAATATTGTCTGTAAATAAATTACAGTAAAAAGGGCATACATGTGAATTCAGTTACATCTCTTGCAATGAATCTCCCATATGAAGTAAAGTGTAACTGTGTGCTGTTGAAATGAATAAACCATATGCTATACAGAAAAATGCAGCCATGAGCATTTACAATCCTTGTCATGAAAACTTTCATGATTTCCATCAGAAAATACTCAACATAGCTGCATTTCGACCAACTTGTTTGGAAACAATGACAGGACATGTCTTATCATTCAGATAAGACATAGCTATTTACTTAGGATGATAAACAAAGGATTTAGTGAAAGTGACACGCTTCTGCAGATAATCCATTGTGTGGTGCGCTTTTTAGGAAATGATTTGAAAAGTGCACTTAATGTTTTGCAAATGTTGAGTATGATGAGTATGAAAAACTGAAATACGTTAAGTACATTTTCTTGATTAAACTGGATAACTTAACTTAAGTAACACATTTAATGAAAGAAGTTTACTTTAAAGGAGTCATTTTAAAGTGTGGTATTATAACTTTTAATTAAGAAAGGATCTTAATACTTCCTTCACCACTGGCACTATTGCAATAAAGTGTAAAAATGTGAGGATGTTTTACTTTTCTCTGTTTTAAATCATTGTAAATCAAATGTCTTTGAGAGAAAATGACCCCCGGACTGTCATCAATTCTGACAGGAACCAGACTCAGAGGTTACGACTGTCGGAATAAAACCCTACTTACAGTCCTTTACCTTGAACCTTTGCACAGAGAAACACTTAAACCTTCATCTCACTGACAGTGTTTAACGCTCACTGCAAACAGGCTTAAACAGAGAAGCGTGGGGACAAAGAGCCTGTTTACATCCCTGTTACATCACTGTTACTGTAAACTGCAGGATGACACTATAAGATCAAACAGACGCTGAACAAAGGCTCTAAGTAGATCCTTATGTGCAGTTTTAAAGCATATGAAAAGCAGTTACTGGCTAGGGTCCGGTACTTAAGCAAACTGTGATGTATTTGAACTCTCCTACTTAAGTATTTCTTGTTTTACGAAAGGTAAACACTTCAAATAACCTTTTTTTAATCCAAATACTACTTTTAGTGTAATGCTTGATCTTACGAAGTCTTTGGATAATTAAACGTATTGTAAATCATTTGTTTCTGCCTGATTACTGCCATTATAGACTTAACAAATAACTTATTTAGAAAACAATAACCTGTTCAATAATAAAATAATGATTAATTGCCTATTACTTGTGACTGAATATGTCTGCAGTGTAAGGCATCATTTACTTTTGGAAATAATGTGAGTGCTCCTTACACCACAGGTTTTCAATTGAGAATATAATTGCATTTATTTTATTTAAAAATAAAATAAGTTGCAGCACTACTCGTGAGCAACAAACATACCATTGCCCAAAGTGACCTTCAAATCGCTTGTTTCACCAAATCAGTTGTACCATGGGAATTAATATAATCCTAATAATTCAAAAGGAAATAAGCAAAGCCTCTCATTTGGAAAGCTAAAACCACTAATTGTTTTTGAAGGAAAAATGTTGATTTTTAAATGATCTCCCGTTTAATTCTCTGTTAATTGACCGATCATTTGAGTTGTAGTACTTATCTCACCTGTTGGGTCATTTAACATATCATATTTATAAATATCTTACTATGTTTTATGTGCAACAATATTATTTAGCTAAGTTTGTTAAGTAACTAAAGCTCTCAGAAAAATGTGTAGTAAAAATATCCAACTACAATGCAGTTGAGTAGGAGTAGAAAGCAAATACCTCAAAAGTGTACAGTAACGTTAGTAGAACGTTCACCAGTGTTCATCTTCCACTCACATTACACATTAGATGCTGGTGTGAATCAATTCAACTTTAAATACCTACTGTCAAGTAAAAGCCCCATTATTAAATCCACATGTGTGATTAAACTGTTCTCTTTTCGCTCGGACTGAACTTGTTTGTCCTGTTTAGTTGTTCGTGCTGTGTTTGACACGGAGGACAGGACTGACAGCAGAAAAACACAAACACACATTAACCACAGAAGCGGGACTTCCACACACAATAAGAGGTCATATTAGCGATAAGGTGAGAGGGTACAGGTACTCACCGTCATGTTTCTCCACGGTTTTTGTCGCAGCTCCCAAACTGTCAAACTTGTCCAAACTTTTCTGAAAACACTCCAACATTCCTGCTTCCGCTTCCTGAAAGCAGCAGGAGGAGAGGGGGCGTGTCCGCAGCGCTGCAGCCGAGAAACAGCCACACCTGCCGGACTGACTCCGCACACACAGCACGGCGGAGGAGACGTGGATCCTTTTCATTGCCTTGTACAACATATGGTTGTGCAACGAAATGCGAGTACCATCTGGTTGCATAAGAGAAAGAAAAAAAAAGGCTAGTGGAAGATGATGTGTGGGGTCTTAAAGAAAGACAGACAGACAAAAGAAAGAAAGAAAGAAAGAAAGAAAGAAAGAAAGAAAGAAAGAAAGAAAGAAAGAAAGAAAGAAAGAAAGAAAGAAAGAAAGTGGTGGCCTTGCTTTTACCTGCAGTACCCACATTTAACCACCAGGTGGAGACAACACACCATTGAATTGATGATCGTCTTTAAAGAAACGCTCTGATGCTCTGTGATGATACAGCTGCAAAACACATTGATACAGAAATAATGAGGTATTTCAGTCCAAATTAAACCCACTAAAATGTTAATTATCTATGTTCTGATTATGTTTAGAGTCACTCCCATTACCAGGAAAATTATTTTCTCTTTTTGTATGTAATTTTAAAAAGTCAGAATAAGTATTATGCATTAACTTATTAATTATTATCTATTAGATTGCGAAAAAAAGACATTGATGTTTTTACTCATACTGGATTGCAAAGATATTGATTTTTGAAATGCTTGTTTAAGTTGTTTCTTTATTTGTTTACCGTTTGCTTGGATTTTTGGGAACCTTTTAAAAATGAGATAAGATAAAATGGACCTTTATTAATCCCTGTGGGGAATTCAGGATATTATTCAAGATAATACATCTCAAGGAATATATAATAATAAAAACATACTAAAACACAGTTTCTTCACATGAGAAGTTACCATACATAGCCTACATACATGTATTAGCATACATCTGCTCAAAACTACATAATGATAAGCCTGTTTTATATACATTTAGGTTTATGTGAATATAAGAGAGGTAGAGAGAGAGAAAGAGAGAGAGAGAGAGAGAGAGAGAGTGTGTGTGTGTGTGTGTGTGTGTGTGTGTGTGTGTGTGTGTGTGTGTGTGTGTGTGTGTGTGTGTGTGTTGAGTTTCCAATGGTGGCTACCTTTTACGTATGAATAAGGTAATTTGACCTTCTCCATGCACACACACAGCCTGAAGTATAGAATAATAGTTCTTATTCAACAGCATGTGGCTCTGCTGCTCGTTTACTTTGCTTAAAATAAGGCAACGCATGTTTATTTATATGGCACCTTTGAATACAAGTAAATTCAAGGTGCTTTACAACAATGAAAACATTAAGAGCATAAAGACATCGTGCAGAATGGCATTTAAAAACAGCTAAATATGTATCTCCCCTTAATTATTGTCACCTCACTGATGTTTCAAACTCTACCTCATTCCTGTTTCTGCTCCTGATAAATCTCTGTAAAATAATGTAATATCTGGATGTTTAAAACATAAACATTCAAAGCCACTAACAGCTTGGGTTTTGACTGAAAAACATCAAATTAAACTGTGACTGTTGTGTGACATGTTCTGGGTATCTGTGATTTTATTCTTGACTTTATAAAGGACTTCAACTAGAGAAAAGTATATCAGAAAAAAAGTTTATTGTCATTATATATTATAGTCAAAATTCATGAGCAGCACAGAGAGAAATCTGCAGTTGTATATGCATCAGCCCTGGGCTGATGTTAACCATTAGCAGCCAGAGGATGGGACAGACACTCTGGTCCTCTAAAGTTGCCCGGTAACCTCCTAGCAACCGGTGTTCTGTCACCACAGCAACCTCTTCACTGCAGCGCGGTCCAAAGTCTACTGCTTCTTTCCAAATAAGATGCAGCCAGCCCAGAGTGGATAATGAATGCTGAAAGAGAGGGAAAGTCCCCCATTGGACCATGAGTGGTGCAGGAATGAGTCTTTAACACCAGTAAAAGTAAGCAGGTTTGCACCCCTGTTCCTTAGTCTCAGAATCAATGGGATTTTATTGGGTTTTTGGTAGAATTAGCTTTGTTCGAACCACAAATGTAACTTTCTTACTTAATGTGTTTCATCTAACAACTTCTGGACTTCCTCGCCAGAAAGCAAGAGCAGTTCTTGAGAGAAACATACTGGCATCGTAGGTCTAGATAGAAAGTTATGATGTATGTAGCATACGCTTTTGAGTTTATTGACTTTCTTAAATATCAAATGTGTAAATAAATCACAATTCAAAATGAGAAACAAAAATAAATTACTTAACCACGATTCAAGGAGACTAAGGTTTTGCTAAAAAAAGAGTTTGAACTATGTTGTACAACCAAATTGACAGGAAAATGTGTTTGAATTAGGAAGGAAAGTTATAAGAAAGTTACAGAAATGTTCAAAGTCACTACCCCACATTGCTAATCATAAATAAACAACTACCAACATTTGAAATGGCTGCAAAAGTTAAGGGAGCACCAAAGTTTGTGTAACAAAGTTTGCAGCAATCCATACAATAGTTGTTGTAGATTGATCTAAAACAGTTGGCCTGATGCTGGCTCTAGAGGCAAAGTTATAAAAAGATCATCAAGGTTATTACAATCAGGGAATATGAATGTGAATGAAACAGCAATTCAACCAAAAAGACTGACCTGCTTGTGGCACGACAGAAAAGTCATGGGATCATCAAAGTCATCAGGATTCATCCTCTGGGGACCATGGATGTCTGTATTACATCTCATGGGAAACCATTAAGTGAAATATAAGCATTTGTGGATCCATTAGATTGTGCACATTTGTAATCCCTTCCTGTTGGTTTTTCTTTTGTGGATTGAATCAAATCCAACGAAACGCACCAATCTTTGCACCTCACATTTGTGGATTTCTTATTTGCAGATCAGCTGATTCAGGTGTCAACTGGGGGACTCAAGTTGGCACCTGAACTTGCACCAACCAAAGGTATACTAATATGTGTAATTTCACCCAGGATGCATTGCAATCAGACCTGGTTATATTATATATTTTCATCATCGCCTTATCTTAGCAACAATAGTGATTAACCTTTACAGACTCAACTGTCAATATAATGATCACACCTTCCATTTCAAGAAGGATGTCTGGTGCGCATGCGTGGTTTAATGTGGCGACAGATGGTCATTTTTCCTCACAAAAGAGAGAGAGAGAGAGAGAGAGAGAGAGAGAGAGAGAGAGAGAGAGAGAGAGAGAGAGAGAGAGAGAGAGAGAGAGAGCAGAGAGAGAGAGAGAGAGAGAGAGAGAGGGCGCCTTGGCTGATACAAATGGAAGATTTGTCACGTGATCCCCGGGGCCGTTTTAATGACGTGCACACCATATGGCGCGTGCCGGGAGGGCGTGGCATCGATATGCTAATTATGTGTCCGGTGTGTGTGTGTGTGTGTGTGTGTGTGTGTGTGTGTGTGTGTGTGTGTGTGTGTGTGTGTGTGTGTGTGTGTGTGTGTGTGTGTGTGTTTGGGATGCTGAGTATAAAAACAGCATCCTCCCACTCACACACCTCAGAAATCTCAGAGCAGATCACGCACAGTTACGCTCGGACACGCACATAGAGCGCGCGGGATGCATGTGATCTGACAAACAGCTTCTTACAACAGGTAGGTTTTATTATTTATTATAAAGATTAATAACTTGTAGCCTACCTTTAATGATAAATTCATCCTATGATTGGTTCTTCCTTAAGGACGATACATCTGATTAAATATTTATACCAAATGAATTATATATTAATGGTAATTTAAAACAGAGAACAATTAACAGTGATTCATACACTTAGTAGTCTTTGGCTCTACCTAAGAAATAAACCAATATTCGTTATTTCCTCAATTCTGATTCGTTTTTCTCTCTTTCTTTAGTTATTTCAGCGTCTATATTTTTAGACTGTTCAATAATTCCTCAAATCATACAGATCGAGTTGCCGTCAGTCTATTCTCCTTTTCTGAATTTCAATATACAATTTCATTTTAAAAACGCATTTTTGGGGGGGGCTTTTATTTTGTTATTTTTTATTTTGTTTGACAAATTTGTTTCGTCTTTTTATATTCGGTTTTTCTCCACCTGTTAGTCTGCAACATTTACTGGAGCAGTTTTTGGAAAACGGGAAGGAGACATTTATGATAATAATAATAATAGGTGTTTTCCAAATCTTTTAGCAGGATCTACTTTAAATCAACGTTGAAGTCGTGTTTTCAGACGTTTTTCGCCTAAATATTCCACTTTTAATATGAAAAAAACTGGATATTTAAAACGGACTTAATTTTCTTCACCTTTAAAATAGATAAAACTATTATTTGATTTACCAGAGATGCAGATTTAAACATTGTATTATTATCTAAACTGTATTAAGGGTTATTTCCGTATAGTCCGTTTCCCTATACGGACAATATTAATGTTTTAAAGTTTTATAACAGTTTGTGGATTTTATTCTTAAATCATATATCTAAAGGTCGTATATGTTGGTAAATGTGTGATTTGGTCTAAATAACTTTAAACTTGAGTTATTTATAATACAGTTGATGACTGAATTATGCCGTATTACTCCATAGGCCAATATAAGCCTATTATATACGAATAATCAGCCTATACTTGAATACGCAATTGAATACGTATCAGAAAGCCTGATAATTTAAGATTTAAACCTGCAATTATTTTTTATTTTCGTATATAAATAATATCAGCATTTTAAAAGAAACCCTAAAAGCCTATATTTCTTTTAAGTAGGCCTCACAAACTACAGCAGCTCAATTTAATATTGGTTTTCTGCCATTTTATTTAGAGGAAAATAAAAGCTGCACAGCATGCTCACCGAGGATTGCCTTCAACAGCTGGAAGTTAGACCTGTCTGGTCTTGCGGTTATGAATATTTGTATTTGTAAAATATTTATCTTATAAATCAAGATATTGCTAAATCAACTGCCAAACACGAGTTTGATCACACAATTGAGTTTGTAGCAATATAAAAAAATATGTGAAAAAAGATTAAACCATATGATAACATTGGGAACTGAAGCTGTTATTGATACCTTTTACTCCACAATGTATAAAAGCCTTAAAAACAGTATAGAGAGTAATTTTTATATTATAACTCCCTTAATGGGCAGTTTAATTCTGTTTCTATTAATGAGCCTACAGAGATTAAGTGATAATGAGTTTTTAATTGTTTTCTAATGAGCATATTTATTCTCTAGTCTCACACAGAGAATCAGCATCATGACCAGGTCTCTGCAGGACGAGCAGGAGTCGGTGGGGTCGGAGGAGCAGCAGGAGCCTCAAAGCCCCTCAGAAGAAGGAGGAGAGGAAGAGGAGGACAGCCTCCTTAACCTGGAGGATGAAGACGAGGAGGATGATGGCGAGGAGGAAGAGGAGGAGGAGGACGGAGAGAACAAACCCAAGAGACGAGGTCCAAAGAAGAAGAAGATGACGAAGGCTCGTGTTCAGAGGTAAAGAAGATAGAAAACAAATATTATCAGCCAAAATGCACAAATATGTTTGTCCTGAGGGGGCGCTAGAGGGGAATCACATGTTCATTAAAATGTAGAGGGTTCATCCTCGGAGGAACAGGATTGTGGTCAGTAGATTTGGGGAAATTGTACCCCTATACATAATCAGACACAGTGCACAAATGTAATGAAAATCATAATTCCTATGAAAGGAATCTGGGTTGAAATGTAACCAAGCAGGCTGCAAAATGTTGGCTCCAAAACAGAACCATAAAGAACTTATTTGTGGATCTGAGATTTTGTTTAAATGGGAACATCGTACCAGTGCTTTATTACCAAGAGGACTTAGATCTTCTCCACTTGCCCTCCTGCTCTTACGGAGACTAAATGTTGATTTCCATCGGTCTCAATCTGGACATATTTTCTGTGATATGAATGACATGATGTGATTTTATGTGTGATATTTGAAAACAGGACTAACATTGAATCTGCTTTGTTTTTCTGCAGGTTTAAAGTCCGTCGGATGAAAGCTAACGCTCGGGAGAGGAACCGCATGCACGGGTTAAACGATGCTCTGGAAGGTCTGCGGAAAATTGTCCCTTGTTACTCGAAAACCCAGAAACTTTCCAAAATTGAGACACTCCGCCTTGCCAAGAACTACATCTGGGCCCTCAGTGAGATCCTGCGATCCGGCAAGGCACCTGACCTCATGAGCTTCGTCCAGGCACTTTGCAAAGGTCAGCGTCATCTTATTGCATCAGAATGGGCTGGGTTGAGCTAGAACCAGAGACAGTGTTTGTATTAAAAATAACATAAGGGGGATATTATAAATATGTGGTCTCAACCAGTGACACTCACCAAATTCTAATTAAGATAGGAATTTCTCATAGCGCCCCCTTTTGCCAAAAAAGTGTCCTTGGGCGTTAGAACAAAATGAGTATATTTGTGTATAACAAAATTCACCAGTAAGCCATGCTAGCAGCGAGAATAGCGATGCTTATCTCTTTACCTGATGATATATCGGTATTGACTGATTTTTGTCTCTTTCTCAGGTCTGTCTCAGCCGACTACTAACCTGGTGGCGGGCTGCCTTCAGCTGAATCCTCGGACTTTTCTCCCTGAGCAGATGTCCGAACCATCGGTTCACCTCCCCCCACCCGGCGCTGCCACCTATCCTGGACATTACTCTTACCAGAGCCCTGGGCTGACGGCCGGCCTGCCCAGCCCGCCCTACGGCACCATGGAGCCCTCACACATCTTCCACCAGGTCAAAGGTCAACAACCCTACCCGCTGGAGCCCTTCTTCGATGGCGTCCTGGTATCAGAGGGCCCGTCGTTTGACCCGCCCCTCAGCCCGCCGCTCAGCATCAACGGGAACTTTGCGTCCTTCAAGCACGAGACCGTCGCTGGTGCTGACTACGACAAGAGTTTCTCCTTCAACGTACATTATGGGGCCGCAGGAGCTGGGGGTCACCCTGCCCTCTATGGCAGTGGGGGGTCCAACCCGCGGTGCAGTGAGCTGCAGGTGGACGGGCTGATGGGCTTTGATGGACACTCTCACCATGAGCGGATGATGAACGCCCAACTGAATGCCATCTTCCACGAGTCCTGAGGAAGAGGAGGACAGAGGACAGAGAGCTGACCAGAGAGACAGTTATATGGACAGACAGACAGTTCTGTGTATGTCTATCATTTCATAGCTGTCTTTTATTTTTTCTCTTCTTTCATTCTGTGTCAGACTCTACAACTCCTCATCATGAGGGCGCTGATGGCGATGTCATGTTGATGATGTAACCTTCTGTGTAGCTCTTCATCCTGCAGGAGACACTCTCTGAATGTCTCGTTGTTTTCCATATTATCACTCAAAAATAATCAATAAGCAATAATCTGGTGGAAACTATGCAATTTTGTTCAAATCTGAGCAACGCTCAGCTGATAATTCCAAATGTTGAAAGAATAAAGATTTCTCTATTTTTGGGTCTGTATGTAAGTTGGCTTTGAGCCGGAAATTGGGCCGAAGTGTTCATGTTGTTCATGTGCTTTTTACTTTTTGCTTTTTATAACGTTCCTGTAGTATTCTGTCAACATTTCATGTGACTTTTGTTCATATTTTATAAGATAGATGTTTATAAAGGCCTTTTAATAAAAGGAATTCAATGTCATTTATCTGAGAGTCTCTATTCATCAGCAACAACGCAACAAAACAACAGAACTCCAATTGGATCCTGCCCGAATGTCAATATACGACGAGTTGTGAGTGAGAACGTGTTGGTTCAGTTCAGTTTACTTACATAACCAGGTTCTGCAGTTAAGTTTTGCTCAATTCACTTCTGTCTAAATAACACATTTATGCAGGAAAAACTGTGGAAAATCTAAGCAGTCAGGTAGTATATTATATATATTGTTGCCAGTCTCCAGGATGCTTATTACTACCACTGTACAGACCAAGCATTTAATTTCCCAAAAAATCAACAATGGACTGGCTGATCCATCAGATGGATTTCTGCTTTTAAGATACATTGATAATTCAATTAGTGCATTGACATAACATTCACCTGAGTAACACTTTACTTAAACTCCCTCTACTTACAGTATTATTAGTATGACTGGTCTATTTAAAACTGATGGGTATTCTAATCTATCACACTATCAGCTTAAACAAGAATATGTCAAGATTAACGTATTGGAGATTACGTTTTTATGTGACAACAGCGTTAATTAAAGTGGATTTAAGGCTCCAAGTTTTAATAAACACATGAGGAGAAAACACATATCGCCTTACAGAGAAAACCACGTTAACGTGTTAACAACATTATCCCACTGTGTGTTTGTGTGTGTGTGTGTGTGTGTGTGTGTGTGTGTGTGTGTGTGTGTGTGTGTGTGTGTGTGTGTGTGTGTGTGTGTGTGTGTGTGTGTGTGTGTGTGTGTGTGTGTGTGTGTGTGTGTGAAGGGCACAGATGTTCGTTCTGCAGGCAGATTTTAATTTATGAAAATGATCTTGTTTATGCATGAGAGCCCCTCTCTATATACACTGCTGTCTTGCTGAGTGTGTGTGTGTGTGTGTGTGTGTGTGTGTGTGTGTGTGTGTGAGAGTCAAGAGGGACAATATGGTGGCCATATCCCACCATTTAGCCTCTCTGTTAGTGGAATAATTATGATTAGAGCATAAAGATTAATCCTGTTAAAACCAAACAAAACAGAAATGTTAACTAACACTTATAAGATGTAGGAAGAAAAAAAGTACTTTAACCTCAGCCTTTTTTAGAGAAAGGAAGTTATAAATATAAACGTCATGTGGACATTTTAATTACATGTAGAACCAAAAACTTGTATTAATAGCAGTAAGCAGTAGTACTTGTGATATAGGTTTTATTTTTTCAGTCTGTCGGAAGATCATAACACCGATTAATGCAGATTAAAGTAAACCATCTGTTATCAACACACATTCCCATAATATGGTGGTTATACCCCAGTCAGGGAACATCCTGTTCTCTGATTTGGTTTGCATGTATATATTAAAATCATAGACAGTGTGCACCTGATGAAGCAGACTATAGTAAATAGGGGTGTGTCGTTGGGACTAACTAGTTACATGTAAAGGCGTCATCTACAAAATAAATGTAATTATAATCTGTTTTCATTACTGGGACAAATATGTCCTTTTTAACGACAGTGACTATGTTAGTAATTAAAAAGGGGTTACAATCTACTATCTGGTTTTAGATATGTAGAATATGACGATCATGTTGTTGCACCTTTCATTTGCATAATGGCTTCTTTTTTTAGCACATTTCTGGACTAGGCCGACTAGATGTTGGAAGTATGTGCTCAAATATTTTGTGTTGTTTGAGGAATTTTGCCTTACGAATTTATATAATGTAAATCCACTGATAAATATTATAATAAAATATATGTTCAGAATCAGAATACCTTTATTTAGCAGCCAGGATATATTACACAGTTATTAACGGCATTTATATATATGTTGTTCTAAAACAGACATTATGCATAATGAGTAAACTAATTAGGACTTTTAGCCTACTTTCAACATAGGATCTACTATTGTCTACACTGTGCTACTCATTAGTTCTCATAAAACATGTGAAATATGCAAAGTAACTCGTAACTTAAGTAAGAGTAATAGGAACTAGGCCTATAAAGAAGTAGTACACATTCAGACAAGAAGTACACATTAGAAATACTCAAGTTAATATACAAGTACCTAATGACTGTATTTAAGTATAACCAGAGAACTTTAAATATTGTTATAAAATAGGACTGCTTTAAGTTGACTCACTGTTTGCGCACTCCCGCTTGGATGAAGGATAGACGCGGGAGCGCGCACGAACGTTAATTAGACGCTGGTGAATCTGCCAAGTGTCTGAAAAAGCGGCTCCCCGTCTCCATAGCGACGACACCCCGGAAATACAACATAGCTCATCAGTTGTGATCAGCTCACCGTATGTTTATCTGCCGCTTGGTTTTTCATAAAGGAACCACCTCATAACTTATTGTGTTTGTTTGATTGTTCGTCGATCGACTCGATAAACATGTCGGAGAATGAGGAGGACCTCCAGAGAGAGCAGAGCGACAGCACGAAGAAGAAGAGAGAAAAACAAAGTGCGAAGAAGAAGAAAAAGAAGAATGGGGAGGAAGAGGAGGAGGAGAAGTACAAAGAAGAGGAAGAGGAGGTTAAGGAGGAAGAGAAGAGCAGGTGAGTGTGTGTTGTTAGCAGAGGCGGACTCATGCCGTCAGAGGGACAGGGGCGAAACAAATAAAAGGGCACAAGCTTCATGAAGGCCCAGCGTGCAGGAAGTTGTGTAGCTTGAATGGCAGCTTTTACAGTGTAATAAAAAAAAACACCCTTTAGAAACTCAACCCTTTAAAGTTACACACCCTAAGAATAACCAGGTTGGTGTTTGCTAGTTTTAGCCATTAGCAAGGCTGTCCAATTCTCCCATCAGAAACTGATCACGCTCTTGCCCCCCTTGTATAACCTGTACATTAGTGCACTGCATTTTGTTTCGTCCAATTAAGGGGATTAAGATATTTATTTTGGCCGTAAAATACAATATTTGGTGGCCTCTTGGGACATTCTAATCAATGCCACAATTATTGTTTTGATTTTTTGACACTTTCACTCCTGCAGGTATGATTTAAGAACATTCACTTTGTTACACACATATGAACTTGTTATATATTACTGAAGGACACTTGATTACATCATATAGAATGGAAAAAGATGATTTGGGGTTTCTGACATTAGTCTGCATAATTCATTCTTTTGTTTAGTAAGCCTACAAACATTTATGTGGCATATTCAAATATACTGTGTGTGTTTGGTGTGTTTTGCCAGTGAGGGTGTTTTGCTGCGTGGGATCTTCAAAGTGGGGAAGAAGAGTCATGACGTGTTACTCACCCAAGCGAGGCTGACGTGGATCCCCATCATCCCGGAGAACCCCAAAGGTCAGTTACCACAGCGACATGGCTACACTACAGACAGAAAGACAGACAGACAGACAGACAGACAGACAGACAGACAGACAGACAGACAGACAGACAGACAGACAGACAGACAGACAGACAGACAGACAGACAGGCAGGCAGGCAGGCAGGCAGGCAGGCAGGCAGTGTGTATTTCGAGGCAGCTGGTGGTGTAATGGAGAAGTTCGGTCATGTTGAGACCACCTTAAACATGACATCTGGACAAACACACACACACACACACACACACACACACACACACACACACACACACACACACAACACACACACACACACACACACACACACACACACACACACACACACACACACACACACACACACCAACACACCACACACACCACACACACACACACACACACACACACACACACAACATTCTAAAATTAAATTAAGAGTCTTTTCTTTGCATGATCAGAGTTAATCATTTTAATTTTCCGATGTCAATCTCTTCTACCTGGACTGATTGCCAGTGCATGTCTCTTAACATGGCCACCACCACAATCTCAGCAAGCTATAAATAAATAACACACCTAAAAAGCACACATTTAAAGATATACTTTTTGTATAAGAAACATAAGGAACTACAAAGTAGTGTGCCTGATTCTTTAAAGGTGTACACATTCTTTGGTGCAGTCATGTTGTGTTGATTTTGTAATGGTTGGTATCATGGTGGTAATATTATGAAATTACTTTAATTATTTTAGGAAATGTCCTGTGTTGTGCGCTTGTTTTTAGTTGAAATCCATTCAAACAGAACTGATTAGTGGAGCAGGATGAAAGTGTGAATACAATGTGTGTGCGTGCGTGCGTGTGTGTGTATGTGTGTGTGTGTGCGCGAATTTGGTTGATGCCAATCTGTTTTGTTGTATTTCATACAAGCTAATACCATTACGGCAGCCAACTGTGTGTGTGTGTGTGTGTGTGTGTGTGTGTGTGTGTGTGTGTGTGTGTGTGTGTGTGTGTGTGTGTGTGTGTGTGTGTGTGTGTGTGTGTGTGTGTGTGGTTGTTTGTTGGCAGTAGTATAGAGCAGTTGGTTCGGCCTGTGGGGGGTTATTAGAGTGTCTCAGTGTGAGGAGATTAACACACACATACTCATCCTGCCAGCGTGCTGTGTGTGTATGTTGATTAGATATTTCTATATAAATGGATCAGTTGTTGTTTATTTGTGCACATGAATTCCTCCTGTTTCACCCAGCAGCCTGTCTCTCTGTCGGTCGGAGAGACTGGACTGTTTTGTACTAACAAAATCATGGAATATACATGCAGACCAATTTTTGTTTTTTGCAATGGCCACTGGGGCACATATAAGATAAGATGTACTTCATTGATCCCAATTTGGGAATTTATTTTGTTACAGCAGCATATCCAATTACTAATACAATTACTCAGAACACAATTTAAAATAATTAAACTTATCCAGAGGCTATTGTCAATATCATTTTACAAGAAAATTAACACATAAAAGAACGGACTGTTCTGGGATGATTAGATTTTCTGGAGCTACTTCATGACCATCTGCAATTTTTGTTGTTGTAATTAATCTGGACACCCTGCTTTTCTTTATTCTGGATAAAAACTGAAATCTCCTTCAGGCAGTTAAGTATCTCTGGAGGTTTTACAATAGTCAGAATTTTAAGGGAACAATAACTGATCAATTACACTATCAGAGTGGTCGAGCATTTACACGATCAATGTGTAATGTTACCCCATTGTACAATATATGTGTGTGTGTGTGTGTGTGTGTGTGTGTGTGTGTGTGTGTGTGTGTGTGTGTGTGTGTGTGTGTGTGTGTGTGTGTGTGTGTGTGTGTGTGTGTGTGTGTGTGTGAACTCTGTATGATCCAAACCTCCTCGGAGTGAGCCACATGGCATGACACCATGAGACAGGACTCCAACAGTGTATGAGTGTGCGTGTTGTGTGTTTGTTGTGGGTACGTTGTGTATACAGTATGTATGTGTGTGAACAGCAACTATGTGGGTTCTGTCAACTCAGATCAGTGTCATCTTCATTGGGGTGGATGGAAAATCTGTCTCTCTTTCAATGCTTTTAGGTTATTATGCCAAACTGCAAATAGGTGTGTATCGAGAATGAAAACAGCAATGTATAAAATGAAGCCATTATTCTCCTTAATGGCTCTACAGTGCAGTATTCCACTGCATATGTGAGGAAGAATTTGAGTTTGTGAGAATATTTGGACACACTGTTGGGTGACTTATAATCAGCTAAGAGCGTCGTACATTCAGCCACACCTTGCTCTGACTAAAATGAAAAATAAAGCCAGCTGTGGGTCATATTCATGTTAATTTGTGTTATTTACAATATGAGATGAACCCAACATGAAGGAAGCAACAACAACAGACAGACACACTGTGACCCTGACATATGGATGCTGGCCTCGGCGGGTGGAAGAAGGCGGGTGGTTTTGGGTTTTTGGTATTTGATAGCAGCGGGAGGGTATTTCACAGAGAGGGGGAGTTAATCAGCTTGTATCATATATAACTAGTTCCTGATGGATTGGTGCTCTCTGAGTGGTTCGGATCTGTTGTTGAAGGTGCATGGTTTTGAGTTGTTTATGCTGATATTTATCATTATTGTCTCATGTTTAATTTATCATATGTGGCCAAAGCCGCAGCTTAACATCTTTTTTTGTCATTTATGTTTATGGAACATGTTTTTAGACAATCGAAGCTGATATGTGCTGTGTTTTTGACTATTATGTCTGTTGAAGGGATGCAAGTGATTTCCTTTAATACATCATTAGACATGAAAATCTGGATGGATTCAGATATTTTTTGGTGATTAAAGCGGATTAATATTTAATTAAAGGGTTTGTTTTTTCATGTACAGATGTTTGTCCACCTGCTGTGACATGTGTCTGCTTGTTTGATTTTCAAAATAAAAGCCATTTTTTGGTTTACATTAATAGAAAATAGAAAATATCTCACATTTCAGTTACTACTTTATTTATTTATTTGTATATATCTTGAGTGTTATTAACATTAGGTGCATTTTGTGCGTGTGTTTAATCGACCTCTCTCTGTGCAGGTGAGACGAGTGTCCCGCAGCCAGGTGTACTGCTGCTGCAGGATGTGTATGCAGTGAAGGTGAAGCGGCGGCGGGCGGCGGGACAGCAGTCGGGGGGGGCCGTGCTCGGTGTGGCTCTGTTCTGCTGCAAGAGGAGAGGGAGGAGGCTGGAGGGGGATACGCTGCACCTCCACAACGCCTCCACAGAACACACACACATATGGTACAACACCCTGAAGGAGCTGATCACAGGTAACAAACACACACATTTAGAAGAAATTAAATATAAGTGGGCTGCCAAAATATTGGATACATTTTTTTTTTGAGGCAGACAAATAGCAATACTTGCCTTCCATAGTGGCAGACTGTAGAACAACAGCAAATAGCTGCAACCACATAGGTGCATCCACTTGTTTATGCAAACACAGCCTAAAAGAATATTCAAAATGATCCCCATGCCAAATTTCCACCTCCTAATAATTGTTTGTGAACTGAGAGACAAAACTAAAGAGCTGCTGGTCACAGATAAATTGTTTTCAGTGTTTAGACAAAATTATGCAACAATACACGTATGTAATGGAAGCTGCAGTACACACTTGAAGTAAAAAGAAAATGTATGTAATTTGGAATACGGACCTTATTTTATATCACCCTGTTCATCACTCAGTATAATCAGGTGAGTCACAGTTACATCAGTAAAGCTAATCTGCTAATCCACCGGAACAAAGAGACACAGATTATACACACACGCACACACACACTGCACTCAGCCACCCTCAGTTAGGTGCTGTCAGCAATAGAATACTTGTTGTCTGCAAGAGAGATTAATTAGCTAAACTACTCGTCTACACAATCACGTGTGTGTCCAATTCACTTTAGCTCGCGACGAAAACCACACTATTGGGACGTAAAACCGTAGCTGATGTACACCACAAGGGCAAATGTAAAGGGTGTGCCAGAGTTTACAGCCTCTGTGCTGCTGGTTTCAGACTGTCCACCAGCAGAGATTTGCTCCCGTTTAGCCGCAAGAGCTTTAGTAAGGTCTGACACGGTTGGGTGATAAAGTCTGGCTCACAGTTGGATTTCTAGTTTATCCTAAAGGTATGGAATGGTTTTGAGGTCAGAACCATGAATCCAGTTCTTTTACACCAAACTAGGAAAACAACAGACATGATATCTATACTAAACTTGATTGTAAATGTGTAATATGCGTACAAACGAAAAATCTGTTGCATAAAATGTGGACTTATTCCCTTAAAGCTGCCCTAGTTACTGTATTCATTTTATGGAATACTTTTTTATATTAACAATGAATTACATGTCTAGGTGTAATGTAAAAGAGACAGAAAATGTATTAATTAATTATCTCCCTCAGTGTTTCCTGCCATTTCATCTTTGAGTTGATTTCACCATTATTAACTTGCTTGCCAACAAAACATAAGTTTGCATGAATCCAGGAAACCAGTTTGATAAAGTTCTGGAAGTTGCTGCAGACTGAAGTTCCCAGACGCTGGTTTCCCAGGTGCACTGTAGCAGGCGGTGTCTGGCTGACACTTAACCCACAATAGAAATGTTTGAGTGCTCTGTGTATGGATTTAACTCACACAAAACACACTTTACATTTCAGTTTGTTTCGACTGCAACAGAGGTGTTACAAGCTATCCATAAATGACGAGGTCAAAGGTCACACACACATTACCGTCGTTTTGTCACCATGGCAATCGGTCTGACACATAATCGCCGGTCACCTGTCTGTCTGTCCGTCCGTCTGTCCGTCAAACCAGATTACCTATGATGCCCTGCAGCAAAGTCACAACTTCTTTAAGTGTTTTCCTTTGGCCTCACACACACACACACACACATGAATGGTTCACAGGTCGTGTGTCAGCTCGCGTGGTCACACTGCACATCAAACTGTGGAGGCTTTTGTGACTTTACACACCACGGCGAAGGAGTCTCTGTATGTGTGTGTGTGAAAGGTAAACAGTCGGCCGCTCTGCTGCTGTGCGGACATTAAGCCTATTTTCCAGCCAGAGGTCAGTGTGAAAAGCGCATTGTTGTGTGAATCGTGGCGTCGCGGAGCAGTCAGTCTCGCCGCCGCTGACACTACCGCCACTTCTTAACCTTCAGGTCCGAACATTCAGCTGCACAATGGCGAACGGAGAGCAGACACTTTCAGTTTCTAGAGCGTTATTGGCTGTGTGAAGCAGCTGCAGAACGCTGTGCAGAGAGTGAATGGCAGTCAGAGTGACAAAAGGCAGGCAGTGATGCTGTATAGAGTCTGTCTCCATACAACGCAGTCAGACGGTGGGATGGATTGACTGCAGTTGTTTAACAGTACAACAGACTGACAGACCGGTGGTGGCGGCGGAGTTCACGGGACGGCCAGACTGAGTTCGCCCCAAGCCACCAGCGGCCACCGCAGCTCCTCCCAGATCAATTGTCTTGTCAATCTAACGTCAGTTTTCTGCTCGCTTACAGAGCTGTTAGTTTGTTTGCATAGTGACATCAGTGGGAAGTGGTGATGGTCAGTCTGGTGGTACTGTAAGGTGTCTAAAGGTCAAAGTGACGACATCTTTACACTGTGTGGACAGCAGGTGGGTTGTTTAATAACATTTAATCAGATCCAAACCCTTTGGTATCCCTTAAAGAATCTTATTAGGTCTTTCTTTTAACATTTGCAATTAACTAAAGGAGAAAATAATACCTAAAGTCAAAGATGTTTTATCATTGAATATTTGGCTAAGAAGGCAGAAACACAGTTTTAAGTGAAATGTATAACAAGCCAAAAGGAAGGTTAAGTTTGAAATGTGGCCTTCAGAGCAAGTGCCAAGAGGCTGTTTGCCCCCCCAACTGCAGTATTAAACACAACAATATAGTTTTTACTAGGGGTTTTCCGACCAGAAATACTATATGACTAACACAAACTGTTCCATCAAACATGAAGCATTGAACTGTGTGTAGTCTTTTACCACACAAGATGGTTATGTCTGAGTTTGACTAAACTCTATAAACCGCTTTATGGCCGTGTGTGTGCTGCTTTGTGTTACATATTAACCGGTGGGTCTGTGAAGTCAGTGAGTGTCTCCATAGTGACAGTCTACCTCATATTCAGGTAGGAGGCCTAATTTGTTTGTCAGGAAACAAACTTTATGGTACAGCAGCACACATGCATACCCCCACCTCCACCCACCCAATCAATATACAGAGGATATATGCAAAATGCTAAATAATGGTTGTATCAAAGGTCAAACCCTTTGAACCCCCTTTATTTTTGCACAATGATTTCAATGCAACTTGGCAATTGAAAGGGTTTGTCGCCCGTCAGTCAATGTCTTAACAATTATCACGCATGACGTAGTGTACAGACATTTATGGTCCAAAAAGGATAAAACATACCAACTTTGGTGATCCTCTGTTCTTTCCCTTAGCTCTTCTAGCAGGTTAACATTTATGTATTTTTGTAAAATAACTGATAACAACAATATGATGAGTATGATAACAATTGCTCCTGTGGGGATTGCCCACAGTATTGAGTATGTAAGTCGCTTTGGATAAAAGCGTCTAACAAGTGACTGACATGTAATGTAATGTAATGTAATAACATTCAAAACAGGTTCCCCAAGCCTAAAGTGAAATGGCTTACTTTTACCAGCAGTCCCAAACCCGAAGATATTCAATAAAAACTGCAGAAAGCAATGAAGTTTGAAATTGGAGGGCTACTTACGAGTTTTGTCTCTACAAATACTACAGTAGAATTTAACCTTTAAGTCTCATGTCTAAAAAACGAAATCAGTAGACTGGATCGTTCCGGAGAATCTGATCAAACTGGACATTTAAAGCCTTTAATTGATGACTTCTGTCCGCTGACATCAGGGGGAGTCTGCAGCACAATATAATCTTGTTTTTCTCCACACATCTAGCATCTTTGGTTTTCAGTCAGAAACTCAACACTTCTGCTTGACAACACTGGGATTGTTTACCATGACAACATTTTAGCAACGCCATAGCAACCTGCCGCTAGCCGGGGCTCGGAGATGATCTGACTGATACTTGATCTGTCTACATGTACCGGTCTGTCTGCATTTCTTCTTAGAAACATATCAGCAAATTGAATGACCTCATCTCCTCTGAGACTGTGTGTGTGTGACAGACAGGCCTAGTTCGAGCTTTCAGGATCACATTTCAAGGGACATGAGTTATTTTTAAATATTTTAAATACTTTTGTTCTTAACAGCATGGGCATCAATCTGCTTCTATAAGCAAGTAAACAGACAAGTGCTCGAAATAAAAGTAACAACTTTTTCAGATTACAAGTATTATCCTAAACCCCTTCGCCAAAATGTCCTGTGGTTTCATCCCAGGTCCTTAAGTCCCCTAGTGGAAAACTGTTGGAGTTTGATAGGGTCTACATTTTTGGGTGGCACCAAAGTGGGCGAGCTTCTGGTATGGGTGGGGGACGAGTAGAGAGAAAAGTGGCAGGGGTGCAGGGTAACTCCTCCTGGTCCTTGCTGTGGGGTGTAAGGGATGCCAGGAGGTGCACTGTGTGTGAGTGTGAGTGTGTGTGAGTGTGTGTAAGGGTCATTATCAGGGCGAGGTCACAGCCTTCTGGGAACAGATTATAGTAATGATCTGGATAATGGAGCTGGTGTGTGTGTGTGTATTGATCTGTGCAGGTCTACGGGGAGTTATAATGCGGTCTCTAAATCGGCCTAATGATGAGCTGTACAGGGGGTCTGGGGTGTGTGTGTTTGTGACTGTAGTTTGGAGTCGATACCATGTAACCACACACACACACACACACACACACACACACACACACACACACACACACACACACACACACACACACACACACACACACACACACACACACACACACACACACACACACACACACACACACACACACACACACACACACACACACACACACACACACAGCAAGACAGCAGTGTATATAGAGAGGGGCTCTCATGCATAAACAAGATCTACCACTGTTGATGATGTAAATGATATGCTGAATATTTTTGCATCATACAGGCCTCCTCCATGTTATAAGAGCACAGAGGTGTCTATCTCCTCTTTTAAGGATCATCTTCAATTCATCACCATGACTTTTACTAGTTTCTTTTGTTCACAACATGAAATAGAGAAAAGCTGAATAATCACCACATTTAAGAAGCTGGAACCAAAACAATTCTGACAAATTGAGACAAAATGTTGTATGTGTTTGTTTGCAGGGCCCAGCACTCGTCCCAGGTATCTAAAGGTGTTCATAAACCCCTGCAGCCACAAGAAGGACGCCGTTCACATCTACAGAGAACACGTGGCTCCCCTCTTCAAAATGGCTGACGTCCGCACTGACATCACTGGTCAGTCCACCTCATTTTTTATTTATCCACTGATCAACTTCACAACAAATAATAGTAATTATAATCAGAAATATAATACCCTTAGTTTGACTTCCAGATGTTACAACTTATGTATATTGTATTAAAACGTTGTTGGAGTGCGGCAGAACTGTCCTTCCATCTTTATTGATATAAGAGAAGACAATGTGAAATCAGTGTGTGTGTGTGTGTGTGTGTGTGTGTGTGTGTGTGTGTGTGTGTGTGTGTGTGTGTGTGTGTGTGTGTGTGTGTGTGTGTGTGTGTGTCCAAAGGTCAGAGTTAATGGCAGTCTCTAGTCGCTAAGTAACTTGATACAGGGGGCGGAGCTTAGCCCATCTGTTGTGACAGAGAGACAACCTGCTCCTCTCCTCTTTTCTCCTGACTAATTTTTCTCCTCTTTTTATATTTCAAATAATGCTTTCCAAAGATCTCCCTGTCTCCTCATCACTCTTGTTTCATCTCCATGCCTTCTATCCTCTTTTCTCCTCTTCCCTTCTCTTGCCTGTCCTTTCCTTTACTCCTCCTTATATCTTCTCCTCCCCTCATCTTCTCTCCTTTCTTGTTTCCTCTCTTTTCACTTTATCTCATCTCCTCTTCTCTTCTCTCCTTTCTTGTTTCCTCTCTTTTCACTTTATCTCATCTCCTCTTCTCTTATCTCCTTTCTTGTTTCCTCTCTTTTCCCTTTATCTCATGTCCTCTTCTCTTATCTCCTTTCTTGTTTCCTCTCATCTGATATTTTCTCCTGGCTACGTCCACCTTTTATCTTCCTCCTCATATCTGCATCTTTTTACTCCATACTTTTGTTTCAACTTCTTAGCTCCTCAAACCTCACCTCTCCTCTTCTCTTGATTCTTATCCTCTCATCTCCTGTGTCTCTCTGTATCCCTTTTTCTCTCCTTGTCTCCTTTCCTCCTCTCAGCAGATGGTGTGATATCCGTTGTCCCACTTTTTTTTGGCAGCCATCGAACACACACTCGTGTACATGTGACCACACACATACATGAACACTTTATCTCTGTCCATCTCAGTGTCTCTCCATCTGTTTCACTCTCTGTTTCCCCCACTCTCCTCCCCTCTCTCTCCTCCTGTCTCTCTCTCTTCCTGTCTCTCTCTCCAGTTACGGAGAAAAAGGGTCATGCTCTCTCAGTGATGAAGGAATGCAAGCTGGATGGATATGATGGGTTAGTTTTCTCCCTCTCTCCCTCGATTTAACATTTACAATTGTTTACTGGACTATAAATAAATCACTCTACTCTACTCTAAACTTCCTGCTATAAATCTAATTTTGATTAACACACCTGATCTTATTCTGAAGCATAAATGTGATTTGGAGAAGGTATTTTCCCAGGGTTAAGGGGGCTTCAATAACATTTTTAATAATTTCAGTAATCTCATTATGGATCAAATATAGCCCTTATAATAATAATAATAATAATAATAATAATACATTTAATTTTTATAGCGCTTTTCCTGGTGCTCAAAGACACTTTAAATAAAATCAGAAACAGTACAAATAAAAAAATAAAATGACTACATACATTATATTGTCCTGCAATAATGAGTTTAATCTCTGTGTGTACTTGTCACATGTTAAACATGAGCCAGGCCATACAAAATTGATAGCAATCACATCACACCGAAACAGGTATTGTATACACGGATACTAAAAAATATATATATATATATATATATATATATATATATATTTCCGAAATGGGATGGGATCAGTTTCAGGATATTGGCTTAAATGCTTTTTCAGGTGTTGGATGTGAGGATTAATATGTAAAGTCTCTTTCGCATGAATAAAGTCAAAGCTGTAAAATGAAGGCCCACTGTTTATATTAAAGTGTAAGGTAACAAGTCAACATGTTGTTCTCAAACTGTGACATCTTCCTCCCACAACAGTCTGCACTGAAACAGATCATTAGACAGCAGTTCAGAGGCTGACACTAAAACACACTGACCCAGACTGATTACCCACTCAAACACACACAAACTAAGACTAACAGAGAGACAGGTGAAATCACTAACTTCTAACTGAGCTTACCTCTAAACTAAAAGTGAAAATAATATGTTGTGCTTTCAAGAGATATAATATAACTTATCTAAATGAAAATACACTGATCAAACTCTCATCATTACTATCTGTGATCAGTGTGTGTGTGTGTTCATGTATGTGTGTCTGTAAGCAGCTTTTGTGCTCAGGCCTCATAAAGCTTAATGTGCTTAGAGAAGATTAGCTCAGCGTTGCTAAGCTAGCTGCTGAGTGTGTGTGTGTGTGTGTGTGTGTGTGTGTGTGTGTGTGGTGTGTGTGTTGTGTGTGTGTGTGTGTGTGTGTGTGTGTGTGTGTGTGTGTGTGTGTGTGTGTGTGTGTGTGTGTGTGTGTGTGTGTGTGTGTGGTTGAAACCTACATTTGCCAATTAGGCTGGCTGTCACCGTGGTGACCGGAGCTTCAGGTAATCCCATACACAGGAGGAGGGGGAGGGGGCGGAGTCTGTTTACTTCACATTTACTGGAAACACCAACTCTGAAGAGGAAGCTTCTCATTTTTAGCTCCTAAAAAAGATACTAATAATAATAGGGATAATATGCCTTATTACGCATGCAGCATGCAACAGTACTCATTTATTTTGACTCACCATAAACCAAACATTTTTGAGAGAATAAAAACTAAATGTTTTAACCCATACAACCGTTCAGATATGTCATTTGAAAATGTAAACCAAATTCCCAGAAAACAACTGGTTTTCATCTCATTTACATTTTTCCATACCTGGGCTTCAGGTTTTTTTCTTAACAATATTCTCTTTGGATGTGTATGTAAACAAAACTACAACAATGACCTTCAGTGGGTTAGGGTAACCCTAACTCTTTAGGATACTTGGTACTCCAGACACAGTTTGGTCACAAAAAAAGTATTGAGGCTCAATACCCAGCCCTTTTCAGTGCCATTGTCAGTAAAAAATATTTGACAATGGTTCTGTGGAGAAGCCATGCCACCTGCTGGAGGACCAGGAACTTAAAGGACCCCAACAATAAAACACTTTTATGATGGATCAATGTCACTGGAGTTCCTGTCAGAAGTAACCCTAAGTAATAAAATACTCTCATTAGAAGTCCAGAACATAGTTGAGACAACTATACAAATACTTTTCTACCTGTCTGCCTGTCTGTCCCTCAGGGTGGTGTGTGTTGGGGGGGACGGGTCGGTGGCGGAGCTGTGTCACGCTCTGGTCTTCAGAGCTCAGCTGGATGCTGGATCCCCAGAGAAACCAGTGACAGCAGTGCTGCCTCTTGGAATCATTCCTGCTGGTGAGAGACAGGGCACAACCTCAAAACTGCAAACTAACTCTGCGCAGAAATACATATATATATTTATATCAACCTTTTTGTAGAACAGCCGTGATGTTTCATTAACTGTTGGTTCATCTTGACAGGTTCTACAGACGTGGTTTCCTGTTCTGTTCATGGAGTCAGAGATCCAGTCACTGCAGCCCTGCACATTGTCCTTGGTAAGTTCAACCTGTCCTAGATCCAAAGATACAACGTGCATCATCGTTAGTCATATTGTCCTGGGTTGGTTCTACTTGTTCTATATCTATAGTTACCTTGCCTAAAATATATTTTACCTGTGTCGAGCGTAACTGTGATCGGTTGATGGTCATTCAGTTTGAGAATAAACAAACGTACAGGCAGACAGATGTCTAACAGCAGGATCAGTTTCACTCTAAATCACAGGTCTACTCTGCTTACTGTAGCCCCTCCCACTTCACCTGTCAAGTACACCTGCAGACCAATCAGTTAGCGGGCTGCTGTGTTTGAATGAATGTGGGACGGTGTTTAATTAACACTAATCAAGACTAATTGTCTGTGCTAACCCTTGACACATACAATTCCTGAACAATAGGAAAGCTGTTCCCACGGACCCAGGTGAGTTCAGGTGAATTAGCGACTCAACCAAAGTGAATATACCTGACCTGTCTGTTACACCTCAGTGTCTCTCGTGTAAATATGTTTAATATGAAGCTAGAGCCTGCAGCTTAGCTTAAATAAAGACTGGAAGTCTACACATCTTCTGTCGCAGACTGAAAACCCACATGTTTGGACTGTACCTTCGCTATGTTCAAAATAAAAATTGGTTACACTCTTAAGAAGCGCAGCAGGCTTAATATCACTGACACACACTGACACACTGACTGAGACCCACACACACACATATGGAGAGGAAATCTGATTATATCCAGAAAGAGAGACAGGCAGTCAGACAGACAGGTGGTCAGACAGCACCGCAGTTCAGTAGGTTAGAGCAGGTATGTGTCCAGATGGTGTGTGTGTGTGTGTGTGTGTGTGTGTGTGTAGTGTGTGTGTGTGTGTGTGTGTGTGTGTGTGTGTGTGTGTGTGTGTGTGTGTGTGTGTGTGTGTGTGTGTGTGTGTGTGTGTGTGTGTGTGTGTGTGTGTGTGTGTGTGTGTGTGTGTGTGTGTGTGTGTGTGTGTGTGTGTGTGTGTGTGTGTGTTACATTCAAAGGCCGTAGGGAAATGTTTAGAGTAGAGGTTGACTTACTTCGATCTGCTGATGGAGTTTTCATGGCATTTTTTAAAATTGGCTTACTTGTAAACACAGTAAAATTGTTTAGAGTCATTTAAAGGAGAGTTTCACCCAATTGTGACAATCATCTCGAAGCTTTGAAAAAATTAAACATTAAATTGAACAGATGTAACTATCTTCTTAAATTAGCTGCTTTAGAGACTGTTCACTCTATTCCAATGGGATCAATTTACGGAATCTATAGATATTAACACATACACACACAAACACACACTCCTGACCTCTTTCTGTCGCCCATATTTGGAGTGTTGCCTCTCATTCATATTAATGAGCTTCTCACCATACGACCACTTGGCCTATGTACAGGCTGTGTGTGTGGAGGGTCCCAAGCATAATAAATATTCATAATCTTTCATCAGTATTCATCTCCCCCTCTGTCTGCAGGTCACCTGCAGCAGGTGGACATGTGCAGCTTCTCGTCTCTCGGTCAGTTGGTGCATTTCGGTTTCTCCGCCATGTTTGGCTTTGGTGGACAGTGCTTAGCGCGGGCGGAGAAGAAGAGGTGGATGTCCTCAACGCGGAGACGAGAGTATGCTCTGGTGAAGACGCTGGCTAGGCTGAGGTAAAACACAGAGATAGAAATGTATTTGTTGTATACAGTAAGTTAGATTTACTTTCTATACTTGAAGACATTTCACATAGTTTAAAATGATCATATAAAACTACACACAACATTAATCACCCATTAAAAGCAGTTCTGAAAGCTGAAGATTTATGATTGGACTCAGATGTGGTGTGGATCCAAGGATTTAGGTTATATGTAGTATAAGACTCCCAGAACTCTTATTCTGGATTATTTTTCTTTTCTGTCTCAGACCAGAGGACTGTCAGCTGTCTTTTCTACCAGCAAAGAAGTCAAACAGGTGAGGAACATTAGCAATCTGTGAAACAAAGTATTAGTGCTCTTTACAAGGCTCTGTAGTTGATTATTTATACTAAATAATAAAAGTGGAATATAACTGTGCATGTAAACTTAAATGTGGTAGAGAAACAGGGATGTGTTTATAAATGTCAGTGTGTTATATCGATTGCCTGTCATGTTTAAAACTAAATATGATCTCCTCTTTCTCAGAGACAAGGACTCCGGGTCAGGTGAGAATGGTACTTGCTGGTTCAGATTTCCGTCTCTGTCAAACTAGTTTGATTTAGAATTTTTCCATTTGTGATCAGTTGATGCAGAAGTGGAGGAGTCCTGGACGACCAATCAGGGCTTGTATCTGAGCATCAGCATCATGTCCGTCCCCTGCCTGAGCCCACACACACCTCGAGGTCTCGCTCCCAACACCAGGTACATGACCAGCAGATCTGGGAATGCTAAAGTCAGCTGTGTTGTGACCATGAACGCACCACGCTGCAAGTTTATTTCATTCTGTTTCTGCTTCTGAACGTTCTCTTCCACTTCCTGTTTGTGACAGTTTGGCAAATGGCAGCGCAGCATTGATCGCTGTCGGAAACACTTCCAGGTCAGAGTTCATCAAACACCTGAAGAGATACGGCAGCTCCAGTGGACAGGTGAGAGCAGCTGTCAATCAAAATCTTCCAAACACAATGAAAACATATATAAATGAATTCTACACTTTAGTTATTTTTAGAAAACGTGGGTTTGGGATGTTTTTATTTTATTTTTTTAATGCAAGAAGGTACAATGTTGAGTTTCAAATGTGTATATAATAATACAATTATACAAAAGCTTGTATTTGGACATGCCCATTAGTTTTAGGAACACTCAAGTTTCTGTTTGAGTGCTTTTAATGGATTATTGATTTTGGAGGTACTCCTCAATTGATTTCTCCAAAAATGTGCTCTGAGTTCAAACAAAAGAAAAGAATACGAAAGAGACATTCGTAAGTGCAAATACGGCAAAATGTAAGACTGGAAAAATAATTCAAAACAAACACAAGACCATTAAGTCAATTTATCCTGAAGATCTGTATTTGTTATATTTTTAATCTTCAGGTTAACTTTGAGAGATACAAAATGTTTGACAATAATAGGGATCTTTGGGCACACGTGGCCCGTATCTCAAATGTACCCGGCTATCCTTAAGTAAGTTGTATCACTCGACCTCGCCATCCTGCAGGCTCCTCCTCTCACAGAGTAAAAATAAACATAGTAGATAGATTAGCCTGAGAGACTGCAGACTAACCCACTTACTATATATACGGACAGTGTAGCGTTCACAGGCTGTTTACTCGCTGACCTACATCCTGACGGAGAGACGGACAGCTCAGGGAAAAACATGACAAGACGGAGCTGAAATGTAACCATGAGGACCCCCATTTGAATCCCCACGCCGACATTGAACCTCACATTTGAATCTATTCACATGCCTTCTCAAGTCCAACAAACAGGCCAAACCTACAATAATTCAGTTTACTATAATTTAGGACAAAGAAAACTGTTAATTTTCACATTTTAAAAGTTGAAGTCATAGGTTGCAAACAAACTCCCACAGACTACCCTGCAAACTTAAAAGTTAAATCATTTATTTGCGATGTTTCGAGTTTGTTTGCAACTTTTGATCTAGCTTCCTCGTCCTTCTGAGCACCTGACTTATAGAAGTAAATGTGCTTTTGGTCATAGCTGAAAACAATCTAATGTTTGGCATTTTTGAACAAAATATTACCTTAATAAATCATTTCTGATATTAGTTTACAAATACATTTTGGATGATTGCTTAATCAAGTAGTTTATTGTTTATTCATAAAAATACAAATAAACTACAATATTCCTCGTATAAATATACTATATTAATCTGCTTGAAATTTGAACTTGATTTTTTCCCACCATTGGACTCTATAAAGTGCATCCACTTAATTGTAGAAAAAAAACGGAGGAGAAAAGACAGACAGGAGAGAGAGACAGCCTGTCTGTCTGTCTGTTGGTCTTTGCTGCCCCCTGTTGGAGCTCCATGGTGTTACAGAAGACAAACAGGGAGAGTCCACAGGAAGGAACCCTGTGACCTGTCCAGATTAACAACCTGATGAAAGAGGATCTTGACAAGCTTTTGACCTGAGAACACACACACACACACACACACACACACACACACACACACACACACACACACACACACACACACACACACACACACACATAACCACACACACACTACTGTCTGTCAGTTTTACTGTCTGTCTCTCTGCAGTTCAGCTTCTCCTTCGTGGAGACGCACGACGTGTCCGCAGTGAGGATCCGCCCTCGCTCGCTGGTTGGCTGGACGGAGGAGGAGAGTGAGGAAGAGGGCGAGTCCAAAACCTCGCCAATCATCCAATCAGAGGCCTCCGCCTTTACCCTGAACATCGACGGAGAGCTGGTGGAGATTGCTAACGAAGTGCTTATCAGGTATCAATATAAAATCTTCATTATCAACAATATTATTACTCTGTCTGAAACAGGGTGGCAGCTAGTTATTAATTTATGTATTGATTACACTGACATTTTATCTTAATAAATGTATTATTAAATAATGCCTTAAAAAACTTTGAGCTATCCATTGAAGATGCACAGAACATTTTAAAATTGATAAATAAGCGGGGGCAGTACATTTTTGGCATTATTGGGTAACAATTCCATAATTATCTTTCAAATATTAGTAATTTGATTGGTTCCCATTGGAAGGCAGTTTTATTGAAAAGGCAAAAAAAAGTAAAAATGCCATAAATAGAAAAATACAGTTCTAATCCTGCAGCTCTCCGAGACCCAATGACGCCAGAAAGAAACTGCCTACGACCCCAGCTTTAAATTCACTGTTTTTCTAAAGTGCATTTTTGTGTACGTGGTGCGTTCAGGGTCCACCCGCGGCTCATCACTCTGTACGGGGAGGAGGTGGACGAGGCCGAGTCGACCGTCTCCTGCAGCTGCATCTGAGTCCATCAGAGAGACAAAGACACATCGCCATGGTAACAACAGTGACTCGACAGTGCCCTCTCTGGGTCATTACTGTTTCCATCGCGATGTGAACTAACGTAGAAGCTTTAATCAAAGTAGAAACAGAGCTTTGCAGCTTCCTGTTTACTTCATGCATTGTTTTTTTTTAATAACTGCAGCTTTAATAACATAACGTAACTTTTGTAAGCTCTCTTTAACTCCAAACTACCCGTGCTTTGTAAAGTTTGTCACGCCTAGACCAGACTGAAGAGGATAAAGATTTTTTTTTTTTATTCAAATTAATGTTTACATTTTACAAAATGTTAATACCAAGCTCTTCTCAAATGGCTTTATTTTACTAATGCCTATTTTTTTACAATTTTCATTTTGTTTTATCTTGTCCATTTTCTGGAAGTTAAAAGTATTGAATCCAACACTGTGAGAAAAAAATATAAAGTTTATGTTAAATGTTTTTGTACAGATGAGCAGAACCAGACTCGACGAGCCCAAAGTGTCCAAAGACTGTAATATTTTAATATAACATTTTGTATTATATTATTCTGATAAAGCAGTGTTTTAACAGATGTAATCATGATGATGAAAAAATACAAGTTGTTTAAATAGAAAATCCTTAATTTTAATAGAAAGGTGTTGCTAAAAGCAGTGAGACTCCAGTGCAGAACAACTTCACATAAACAAAAACATACTCATTCATTAAAATACTAAGAAGATATTTCTGTGTGATGTGCATTTGTATTAAATAAACATAAAGGAAGGTAGCGGCTGGCTTCGATGTCTGCATTCATTGAATATTTTAAAATATCAAACATTACTTCAAGTAGTCTTTCAACATTCAACCCTGCGGCTCCCCATGTTACATATTTTTCTGCATTTTCACAATAATAGTTTAGCTTGTATCTAGGAGCAGTTCACCCCAAAAAATATTATTTAATTTCTCACGTACATAATCTTTTGAGTATCCTAAAGAAAGAGCTCTATAATTTAAATGTGCCTGAATAAAATGGTGGTCTTTGTGACTTGCACGGGCTGGTCACAACAAGTCGAGGTTGTTCCAAAAATGTTGCACAGATTTTCTTACGCCCCAATAGCAAATCCATTAATTGTGCGATTCCAACAACAACAATTCTGAAGTAAAGTGATTCTGCCAAGAAATGTCCTTGAGAGCCTTAAGAGGTATTAGCTCAGAAAAATAAATCCCATAGTGAAAACTTGCTGAAGGGTAAAAACAAAGTGATGGTTTTCCGCTTTAAAACACGTAAAAGCCGTGAACCAGCACATCCCAGCTGCCATCAGTGTGTGTGTGTGTGTGTGTGTGTGTGTGTGTGTGTGTGTGTGTGTGTGTGTGTGTGTGTGTGTGTGTGTGTGTGTGTGTGTGTTGTGTGTGTGTGTGGTGTGTGTGTGTGTGGTGTGTGTGTGTGTGTGTGTGTGTGTGTGTGTGTGTGTGTGTGGTGTGTGTGTGTGTGTGTGTGTGTGTGTGTGGGTGTGTGTGTGTGTGTGTGTGTGTGTGTGTGGTGTGTGTGTGTGTGTGTGTGTGTGTGTGTGTGTGTGTTTTGACAGTGCATAAAGTGTTGGCCATGAGATAAAAAGTATAATGTACACACAGTAAAAAGGAGGTTCTACAGAAAGCGATGCACGGCCTACCTCATCATGTCTCTGACAGCTACCTCTCTGAACTGCAGCCCGTTCTTTCTACATTGAGTTTGCATTTAGTGACCTGTTTATGGAGCCTGCAATTCACTGCAATTTCCACAACATGGTCTCGCAAACATTTCACATTAAAAGCCTGAAGGGATTTGATCCACAGAAACCCTTGAAGGGCTTTTAATTATAAACAGAAAGAGGAAGGGCTGAGTAATAAATAAATACTTTTTAACTGATACTTATTCTTCAAATATAGAAATTGACACTGATGGGATGACCATGACCATGACTAGCAAATAATAAAATGTGTTGTTTTTGACAGGAACACCTTGTCTCACGCAGAAAAAGAAAATGAGACTTAAATCTCTATAGTTGATGAGGCGTGGGCTGTGAGGCAGCTCTAACCTGTTAACATGTGCACCAAAATGAAAGCAAAAGCACACTGGCTGCTCAGGTAGGCAGTGTGGCCGAGGCGTGATGAGCCAATCAGAGGCCAGGTTTCCATCCCTTGAGATCAAAGGTCATCAGAAAGTCTCTTCCTTTGGCTTTTTTCAACTTAACAGAGTCAAAATGGCGGTCATCAATAAGTGTCACAGGTGTTGCAGCATCCCAGGAAGCTCTGAGGCCTTCTGATTGATTCAGGTTCACTTCCCTTTTATTAATCCTCCATCCATTGCTGCCTTCTTTTCAAGTCTTTGATCTTGTCTGGATTTGGAAAGGCACATTATTAAAAATTGTTTTAAAGGTCAAGTTCAGGAGGTGTTCACTTGAGACATTTTATCATCGGTGACACGGGCGTCACGTCTGAAACCAGCTGACTCAGTCTGGACAGATTTCATTGGCCGACTGTGTTCAACGGCAACTTCCCACTGCTTTTGGATGAATTGGATAGCCATATTTTCACACAGCACTCCATTCATCAGCACACATGTCTCATTGAATCTGTTGCACAGTCACAATGTGAACTCCCTCCTGAGGTCAGAGGTCACAGTGGGGGTTAGGAAGTGCTCTCTCTTTTGTCATTTTTAGGAACGTAGTCCCAGCTGTCTCTCTTGAACTCTTCCTCCTCCTTTTTCTGGAACTCCCTCTTAAAGAAGCCGGCCTGAGAGACAGACGGTGGACAGAGACACAGAGGTACAATTAAAAATTATGCTGGTGTTGCTACAACAATAATTATAACTTGATACACAGTTTATGAGTTAATTGACCCAAAGATTTTCTGCAGATTTTAAATAAAACACAAAAAGTATTCTGCAATATACTGCATTTGTCTGTTTATTATATTAGAATATACTGCAGTTTCAGTATCATTAAATTGCAATATGCTGTGTTTTATCAGTAAATAATATTATAACATACAAGCAATATACTTCCAGTGTATAAAAACTAATATTTACCTTCCACAAACACCAGATGAGAACAGCCAGGATCAAAAGACCCAAAACTAAACTGACGACGATGATGAAGACCTTTACTGTTGTTGAGGGTTTCTGGGTAAAAAGAGCCTCAACATCCACCTGGAAATATACATTGAATACAATTATATATATATGATTATTACTTAAACCCAGGATTATGCATGAGATAGAAGCACAGTAAGGGAACAAGTAAAGTTTGACTCGGGTTTTTGGTGTCCAGGTGTGTTACCTGTGCTGTTGGTTGTTCGTGGATGAGGACGGTGTGAGGGCTTTCTCTGGGGTTTGACATCAGCGCTGTGCTCTCCAACCTCATGACACCATGACGACCCTGAGATGGAGACATACATAAGGAGTTTTTAACAGTTTCTCTAAATGCATTTGAGATAATTAAACATAATTGGCTACAGACACATCAGACTTACATTTTTTTACATAAAGTGCCTTTATGGCCAGCTATGGAATTGCCATTGCCATTAACCTTTGTGTTTTTCAAAATGTTATTTATATTTGAAAAGTCTGAAAACAGTGTGTGAGTGTGTGTGTTACCGGAGCTTGCAGTAATACATCTGGGTTCAGTCTGATCTCCAGTTTGATTATGGCATCTCCTCCCGCCTCCAGGGTACCGAGCCGACACACCAACCGCTCACACAGCTCATCTCCACGGGCACAAAACTGCACAAACATAGACAAATTATAAAGTCATTACATTATCAGGTGGGTGGAGTGATGATTGTTGACTTCAACACAAGCATCTCAAATGATGCTTCATCAAACCTAAATCACATTGGTCATCATGCATCAGCAGTCACATTTATTTTCTTTAACTGTAAATTCATCTAGTATAGTCTCTTTTCAGCAAGAACGTCACTGATACTTTTAATCACATAAGTCACATCTGCTAAATAAATCTGAAGGTGGTCTTAAACCTTATTCCACAAAGATCAACCCATGACTTCACCCAACATTAGCTGCATGTCAGCAGAATTCTAAGTTTTCTGGTTGGATGTTTTTTACACTGATGCTTTATGGGATTTGTAGTTGACTTCTTTCCTCAAGTGAACCCAGTCCTGCCTGTAGCTTTGTAATCAATGGAGAACTTTGTACAAGTGATTTACAGTAACTGCCAGTGAACGCCGCTTTAAATAAGACTAATGTTCTATTAGTTCTATTCTATTATTCTGGTGTACCATTCTGCGGGTGGAGGTGGAGGAGAAGAAGAAGACAATCTGTTTGATGAAGGAAGCTTCGGGGACGTCACAGTCCTCATTGACTGAAATAGTCGTGTCACTGATCGAACACACACCGTGAGACGACTGTAGGGAGAGAACATTGAGATAGATTTATAAATACACACACTTAATTTACCTTTTTGTATGACAACTCCTATTAACACAGCTTCTAACATATTTCTACTGCTTCTTCTACTCCAACCATCACTGCCATGGATGTTCTGAGTGGCATATAATGCTCAACACTCGTCTAGTCTTCCTTTGATCAGATAGTTGCTGATATTACTTTGACGACAATGACTTCTGTACGTACCTGCCAGTCGACCACCTGCATCAGCCTGTGTCGGTAAGGTGCGAGGATCTTTGGTAGCGCGATGTCCACCACAGTGTCTACAGACCTGCTGGGACCAGAGTTTAACACCTGCAGACACACACAACAACATACCATTTATTCCAAAAGTAAACATGACTGTTGAACAAATGTAGTTGACTTAAAACAGCAATGTTCCCTCTGAATCGTAGTAGAATTGAGTTATAGAGTAGTTTTAAGGAAGTTGATTAGGTTGGTCTAAACGGGACAATAGTTTCACATTCAGAAGATGTGTTGTACTATGGGAAATATAACCATTGTGTAGAGCAGTTTTACAGAGAAGAGAGTAAAATAATACCTTGTATGTGTAGTTGAATCTTTCATTATAACAGTCAACCGGAGTTGTGTCTTCATCTCCAAACACAAATGAGGTGGGAGTCACAAAACTACAAGACAGACAGATAGACATTAGAGAACAGAAACAATCTTCTAGAACAAAAAAACATATAATCTAATGATTTATACATTTGTTGACTTTAAAGGTGGGGTAGGTAATTTTGGAGAAACCAGCTCGAGTGCGCTAGAATTTGAAAATACACAGCTGGAAAAAATCTGCCACTTCCTTACAGAGCCCCTCCTCCAACACACACGAACGCGCACATGACCAATGAGGGCACGAGATAAGTTTGTGCACAGATGGAAGGCTGACAGGCAGGTAGGTCATCCAATCATTTTAGCCGGCCCGGCTAAAATGATTGGTTGTGCTTTTTACAGTACTACAGCTTCCACAGATGACATTTTTTAATGGATTTTTTGTCAAAGCACTTAAGATATTCATTGCTATCGGGATGTTAAGAGCATTCCATGGAATATAACAAAAAGTGTATCTCGAGCCGGTTTCTCAAACTTACCTACCCCACCTTTAATGTGTTGCCTTGTGTGTAATAGTAACATGTTTTTTTAAAAGGGCGCATTATATCAATACAAATTCTTGGAAAATCATAGTATGCCGATTCTGACTCACCCGTGGATGTTGACGTTGACTCCATATTTTAGAGGAAGCAGGAGACTTATTGAGTTGTCATGGAGATACTCTGCCCTCTCATAGTTATCGCTAGAAAAAGAGATTTGAAACATTAAATATGTTTTGTTCTTGCTAAATTCACAGTACGAATAACAGCTATAAGAGAGATCCTTTCTTTTCTACAAAGCAGAGCATTTCTACATGTCTTTCTAAACAAACAATAATAAAGAGGAATCCATTAAATGTACACTTTTATTGAAGTTAACTCATACAAATGTTATAACTAAATAACAAAATGACCACTGCATGTATTATGTGTTGAACAATTTTATCTGAATAATATCTAAAACTTTATTCTTACGTCTTGCTTCAAAGACAAATGTACGGGTGCAAGAGTTGTGATGTCAAAAATGGTGAGTGTTGCATTTGGTATAAAAGCCTTGGAAGCTTTATTGAAAGGTTTTGAGACTTCTCCTCTGGAGTTGAGCGGAGGTGTGTCCTTACCTGCTGGTGTTAAGGTGAATCATGACGTCACCAGCTGTGCTGTTAGGATTGACGTCCAACAGGAAGCTGATGTTTAACTAAAAGAAACAGTTAATGTGTCAGTGATTTCAAATTAACAGCTGCATCAGTGTGCGGACAAACACATTCAACCTTAAAACTGCTGCTCTGTTTGTTTCTGGGGGAAACTCAGATATTTCAACAGTTTATATTGCAACATTTAAAACACAACTGGGCAAAAGGACATAGAAAAAATATCTGCTGACTGGGCTGAAGCTGCAGAACAAAAAAGTACAGATATACACTTGATCTCATCTTTGACCAACAGGCTGTTTTCAGTAAGACTGGGCTGAGGAGAAATATTAGCCAAGTGTCTTTTCATTACTCAAAAACTGTGCAATATCTGTCTGTCCAGATAGAGATATCGCCATGCCTTTTGCTTTAGTTATTTTACAGTCAATAACAATCTGAGCCTGTAAGTGGCAAAAGCTAGCGTTTGTAGTGGTCATTAATTCACGGGTGTTCATTCGCCCACAGGATTGCATCGTAACTTTTTTGAGGCTTTCGCACAGTACTTCACCAATTTCACTTTTGTCGTCCCCATAAGTCAATTAGACAAAAACATATGGGAAAACAGGGCCTAATTCTGGCTAACGTGGGTGTAAACTCTCAGCTGAAAGTCCTGCCAAAACTGAGGGGTACTATCTGGAGTTGAAGGTTGAAGTACCTGCACACCAAAGAGGCGAGTTGATATGTTTGGCGCAGCGGGAACATGGCATCAGTGTTGTGATACAATCATTTCACTTAGTGTGTGATTTGCTAAGGTTTACCTGGGCATGGGCTGGTAGGAGGAGGCTGGTGACGCTGCAGTCAACACCCACCATCGTACTGTTGACTTCCTGTGTGACATCACAACTGACCACATTGTCCTGCTGCAGTACACGGAAACACACAGACGGGGTTTGTTGTGATTACTTTGTTACATGAGTCATTTGTGTTGTTATAGTTATAATTCTTTGGTTAGAGTTTTCAACTATGATTGAAATCTTAGGGTCATAACTTTAAAATCATTAACCGATCATTTATTCGAGCTGCGCGTTCAGCATGCTGTAAACTTACGTTCTGCAGTACTTTGATGTAGTGGATGTTGTTGGGGAAACGCAGCGTCAGTCGAGGTAGGAAGGCGTCGTCTCCAGAGTTCAGAAGGGAAGTTTTCACCATGATGGTTTGTCCAGAGCCGAGAGCAAAGTACTGCTGCTGACTGATAACAACAAAATAAAAACATTGATGTTTCAGTCAAATGAACATCCAATCACTAAAGGGCAAGACAAAATGAGATTTAGAGTCCATCACTTCTAACATTGGTGTATTTGTTGTCATTGTTGAATCTCACTTTAATGTATCAGAGATTAAATAATGTTAACTCTTTGACTGAAAACACTTTAAAGGGGACCTATCATGCAAAATGCACTTTTGTACGTCTTTTATACATGAATATGTGTCCCCGGTGTTCCAGGGAACTCACCAAGTGTCAGAAAACACAACCCTCTCTATTTTCCTCCATACCCAAATCTCTAAAAAAGGGGCTGCAACGGATCTGATCAAAACTGATCCAGATTTGAACACTGTCCTGACGTCAGGACAGTGGCGCTATGGCTATTGGGCCAACTCCACCAATCAGGAGGAGACAGCCACGGCCATTGCCGTTCGAAAGCGCTGGAGACGCTGTAGTACATATGCCAGGCCTGTAGATGGTGCTGTTCTCCCCTTATCTGCCCTTACAAACACAGAGCTAAACATTTTCAAATTGAGCAAAATGAGGCATGGCTAAAATGCATGATCTGTTTGGTATTTTGCACAAAAAAAAGTATAAATATGCCTTATATAGGTATGGTCCTACACTATATTATTCAAATATAGCATGATAGGTCCACTTTAAATCAAGAGATTCATATTGACACGATTAAAGATCACGTTTCATTTTTGCATAGTTTGTAGATTTTGGTTGCAGCTCATAAAATGCTTTGTCATTTTCTGATCTGAATCTACTGTTAGGTCTTTTTTTAATAGTTACAAATATTGGTTTACTTTATGAGATACTAATATGTATTTAATCTGTTCACAGACAAAAATGTAAAAACTGCAATTTGCAGTATTTTATAACTTTGGAAAGAGTCATGTTAGTGTTTTTGCTAAACTAGGCTAACGATGTCCTTACACAAGCAAATAACCCCAGGAACCTAACAGCAACACAACATCAAGTGAATGATGTTGTTTTTCATGAATCCTCTTGAACTAGCCAGCAGCTAATTAGCATCATGTGATAGCCTCTGTGAGGGAATAACCTCCTAGCGAATTGATTATGGTCTGAACTGCACTGATTAAAATACAATGATGCTGTTGTTTTTGTCCTTTCATCTCTCTTTTTCATGATTCAAAAACGTGTGTGTTTCTTACTGTGGCAGCACAAGTTGGGCCGACAGCTGCATGTTGGTAGAACAGTTCACCAGCGAACAGGGGCGAGCAAACCAAGTCTGACAGAGAAAAAGGAGGCAGAGAGTTCACCAATTATAGTTATGAATGGGGCAGTTTTTCTCTTTAATGAAAATGAAAAACAACTCCTGTGAATGAAGAACTCCAGCTGCACATTCCTGCATGTTAACCCTCCCTGCTCTGTTCACAAGTCAGTGGAACATGGGATGATCTGACTGATGTTGGTTAATGTGCTGCAGCTGTAAACACATCTGGATTAGCAGGAAGTCATTGTCTGTGTTTGTGTGTGTGCGGTTAGCGCTAGATTCCTGACCTTCAACACAGATCGGTTTGATAATGGACGGACAGATCTGACACTGACGCAGCTCCAACAGGAAACTGAAGGGTTAGTTATCATTGTAGCAATCAGAATAGATCAAAGCCATCTATTAAACTAGTAAATAGCTATAAACTTGGGGAAAGTATTTGCAAACAAGGTTTTTATTGTTAATAAACTACCCAAAGATACCTGAACATTTCTGAACATCTCATACAGAGCAAAGCAGCTAGGGCTTTGGTTTTCCAATATAATAAACAAATATATTTGTACTGATAGATTATCTGTCGCTCTACCTAGTTAGCGTTAGCGCTGGTCTGTACCTGCTTGGTGATGGTGTTCTGGTGTCCTTCGCTCTGCTGAAGGATGGGTTTCAAAGGGGGGAAGGTTTTAGAGGAGGCTCTGTGGGTGTTTGTATCTCTGCGACTGTAGGAAACCTCAAACTTGACAGGAGTAAAAATGTCCCTCACATCTTTCTGTAGGAGGAAGAAAGCTATGTTAGCATCACCACAGCAAATGCAATCGAAATGTTATTACATCCAAAATATACTTCATTCACTGTCCTCTTCATGTGTGAGTGTGTGTTACCCTTTGGTAAGCCACGTGTGTTGAACAGGAGAGCTGGCCATGTCGTGCTCTCACACGCCCCCTGGTGCTATTGGATGACCCGTTACCATGGAAATAGAAACGATGAGGGAAGGATGGTTTATGGAGGAGGTCAGAGGTCAAATTATATTGAAGATCTGAAGATGACAGAGGAACATAAATAGATATCAGTTGGCAAGTCGTATATATATATATCGTCTTATATACAATATCATTGAAGGTTGTGACCTTTATGTTCTACTTCTGATAAAAAAAAATGTAAGCTCTACAGTTGATGGTGAATTAGGGCTGTTCTGAGATTAAAGTTGCACATTTACCAATTTATCAAGAAATCAAATCGTTTATCTAAGATTGACATCATACCACTTTATGTTATTTTTAAAAATACATAAACATAATATCTGTGTGTTTCCTGTACCTATAGCCCCTTTGAAGTGTCCGGACTTGACACTGAAGCAGACGGTCACATTGAAGCAGACGGTGGGAGTCTTGTGTTCTCGGCACAGCGCCACCTGCTGGTCAATGTGCTCAGGCAGAGTCATAGACGCCTTCACCTGAATCACCGGGCGGGTCCTACAGCACACAGGACACATTTGGAGGAAATTATTAAAGCATGTTGACAACAGTAACAGATACAGCAAATGCTAAAAGTGTGTGGAAAAACTGAGATGGATTGTATTATTTAAAGGCTTCTAGAAAATCCCACTACTCAGCATAAAATGAAACTTTTGGTTATTCTTTTATAGGATGTCCTGCTTCCCCTGCCATAAAATGTCCTTCCAAATCAGCTAAATAAAGGAGTTTCCTTCCTGTACACCTGTATAAGAGGAAACAGAACTACAACTGTAGGATGTTGGTTTCAGCACAAAGCTTCAGTGTGGTTTTACCTGAGAATGACAGCGGAGTCCGAGAGGAAAGCACCAACCGCCACATCTGTAGAGACAGACAGAGAGTTTAACTTGGTCTTAATGTACAATATGACAGATGTTGTGGCAGGAAACAGTGGTTTTAACATTACCATTATAGCCATTGTCATCGATGTCTATGCCAGAGTTCAGCGACTGGCCAAACATCCTGAGGTCACGACCGAGAGTCGACCCAGTAATCCTCTGAAAACACACACAAGTTTGTTTATTTCATCTTCAGAATCAGAATGATAATCAGGTTAGAACATGATGTTATAAGGCTGGTCATTGTCCTCATCTTGTAAAAACTTCAGTGAAAAAAATGACCCCCTTGTTTTGGTGGAAACAGCAGGTTAAATGTGTCTAATAATGATTCAGTATTATATTAAATTATTTGATTTACTCCATTTTCCCTCTGTTTTGAACACCCAGGTTTCTTATGAAGAGTGATGGTTGTCACTAAAGCTATTTAAAAACATTTCATACTCTGCAAAATAAGACACCATCGATCTACATTTTCCATAGAGCTTATCATTAATATTTCATGTAAATATTTTTAGCTTAAAAAGAGCTTGAATGTATAATAACCTGAGATGGAGTTGGAGAGATGCCATCCTTCCTGCCGTTGTAAATATACACAGCTCCTCTTAGGTCGTCTTCCTGTGGGGCACCAACTGCCACATCTAAACACACACACACACACACACACACACACACACACACACACACACACACACACACACACACACACACACACACAAAGATAAGCACAGTTCATTGTATATTTGTGAAAGTATATAGAGCCTATATTGCAAACCATTTACTTGCATTTTAGTAAGACATAGGTTAGATTTCTGTACTTGTGAGGACTTGCAATCGCTACCTTCCATGCAGCCATGAGTGAATGTAGCTACTTTGATGCAGGTTTTACAGATTTTACACTTTCTACAGATTGTTTATGTGTGGTCCCAACTGATCCTCTGGGAGGTCAGGTCTACATTTCTGAGGGGGCAAAGGGTGTGTGTTGGAAAGGCCCTGAGGGAAATGTTAAGCAGGATGAAAGTATCCAGGATAAGTACATAAACATGAGAAAACAGCAGCATGGTCATTTAATATTTAACCTGAAGTCCTTTGAAGATTTGTTGGGGTAGTAAGAAAGAGCTACTGGACACACGCACAGACACACACACACACACACACACCCTTTTATCTTTTTATCTAGCTGTGGCAGATTAGAAGGCAGGATCAGTAACAGAGCAGCAACAGTTTGTCATTACAGTTTTAATGACCTTAATAACACACTCCACCCCTCACGCACATGCACATATGGTGAGGGGTCTGTGTGTGTGTGTGTGTGTGTGTGTGTGTGTGTGTGTATGTGTGTGTGTGTGTGTGTGTGTGTGTGCGTGCGTGCGTGCGTGCGTGCGTGCGTGTGTGTGTGTGAGGGCGTTGTGTTAGTCAGTTAGGTTATTCATCAGGAAGTGGCAGTTACTGCAGTTGGTGGTGGGATGTGTCCCCTTGGCAAGAGATATACAATACACAAACTATGTGTTTTTTTGGTTGTTACTTGTATTGTAGTAGTATTACTAGCATTTTGGGTAATTTGTATCTGGGCAGACAGCCAAACAGAAACTCTTAAACATCCCTAATTACTACTTTTGAGGTGCCCTTGAGCAGCAACGTGCACCCCCAGCTGCTCCAGTGGAAATGCTCATAAAACAACTTGAGAAAGTAATGCAACTTCTACAAAGCAGCAGAATTAGAAGTAAAACACTCTTTTAAAGTAATGTTAGTAGTAGTAGTATATATATAGTAGAAAGCTGATTTAGAGCACTGTTAGCAATATGTATGTTTCCAAAGGTGTTAGCAGCAGTAATAGTAACAGTGGTATCAGAAGCAGTATTGTTAGTATTCACAGTAGCAGTTGCTGTAGTTAACTTACATTAACTTTAACAATTTATTTTCATACAATTGATATCTATTGTGCTTTTTTTATGTGCAATATACACTTCATTTTTATAATTTATTTACAATTTGTTTATGTTACTGGCTCCTTCAATACTTGTCATGTTATGCCGTCATTTAAATTCTTGAAAATGTATATTTATTGTTGTCTATTTTAGATTTTCTGTTGTTATTTTCTGTTTAGTTTTTGCTGTTTTGATTACCTACTCAAGTAGAGTAGTAGTAAGAAACTGCAGTTATAAATGACATCAGACATAATCATAGCTGAAGATCTATTCCAGTAATATTAACAATGAGAATAGTATTTGCATTGCTTTGAGCAGCTGAAGTATTGGTATTACCAGGGTAACCGTCGTCGTCTATGTCTCCCAGGTCAGCGATGGTTTCCCCAAATCGGGCGGCGTAGGCGTCGCTGCCACTCAGCTGAAACTCCGCCTCCATCAGCTTCGCCTGAGACAGAGTCAGTTTGTGAGACAACAGACGACACAACAGGTCTTTACGAAGATGTTCATATGTAGAATGGAACAGAAGAACCTGATCCTAATGTCGGCCATTGTGGCGCCACAGAGAGCCCGGATAAATATCGATTGTTTTGTGATAACCTATTATCAAGGTTTTTACAGCTTTTAAAGAGTGATATCAAGCACAATTCGAGAATCTTAAATCCTCAGATCTGAATTATATCGAAAGCATTTGCAAAATGTACAGAATTTGTTTATATCCACAAACTTTCAAGACCTTGTACGAACACTATATTGTGTGTGTGCCCACCTGCCCCTGGTTGATGTACACATGCACTCTCCCCTCCTCCCTGGTGATGCCTGTTGCCATGGGAGCGCCGACCAGCAGATCGGACAAACCATCAGCGTTCAGATCCACCGCCAGCAAACTGGAGCCGAAGTAAGATCCCAGCTACACAACAAAAGCACACAAGCTAAATGCTAAGTATACCATTGTTTGGAATGGAGAATGCTTATGCTAAGTGGCTCCTTACCTCACTTCCTGACACTTCAGAGACGACTCGCAGCATGTTGTCGTCTACTGTAAAGATGAAGACCTGCACAGAACAAATACACATCAAGCATCCAAACTACATAATACCCAATATTTACATAACCTCAATAACAACTCTGCAGTTTTCACAAGTTTTCACAACACCAGCAAGGGTACGTGGGAACTGTTTTGACATTGTTAACACCACTAACACGTTTCAAATTCGTTATCATCATATGCACAACAGTTACAGAGAAGCAGTAGTAACTAAAACAAATCTTGTATCTAGGGATCTCTCCAACAACGCTCATTAAATATGAATATTCATTTATTTAGACTTGAGAGACTATTGAGGAGGTATGTTAACGTTCAATAGTGTTAAGATGTGGAAAAGATGCTTGAAAACAAGCTAGAAATTAAAATGAAAATAATTAAAAAGATGCTATACAATTTATTTTAAAAAATCACTCATGTTAAAGCAGAAGAATAATTTAAGACATAAAAGAGTGCAAGCTCAAATATGATAACGTTTAAATTCAGGGCGGTAATATTAAATAAACATGTGCGAGTATTGCAGGAATGTAGCAAATGGATAAAAAAAAATGAAAATAATTCATTATAAAAAAAATAAGCTATCTTTAAACATTATTTAAACATATAGACTGTCTGTGCAGTAAGTAAACAGACAGACAGGAGGGTCTCACCTTGCCCCTCTGGTTGTATTGGGGCGCCCCCCCCACTACCTCTACGGTGCTAGGACTCAGAAAGTTTCCGGCTCCAACAGCGTAACCTGGACAGCAGCAGGACAAAGTGCCACAAATTCAGAATTTTGCAGATGAAAAGTAAATAAGAACATTAAAAGATTGAACCACAAATTCACAAACTTTTTGGATAGTGACCCTTTAGAAATGTGAGCAAGCGTAGACATTTTGTTTGTACCAATTATTATAGGACTGAAAATGTCAAACTAAGATAAAAAAATAAATAGATACAACACCTTTAGTTTATCATCACCAGTGTGGCCAAAAAGGTTATTGGTTTAGGTTTGACATGTAGTGGTTGTGGCTGAGGCAAGAATACGTGTGTGTGGGTGTGTTGGAGTGTGTAAGAGAAAGTCGCACAACCACCGCTGTCAAATGGGGTTCAAGTTAACCAAACGTCCTACTCTGATGTCAGCTGTTACTTCCTGTTAAACTGTGTTGATCATCGAGTGAAACTGCTGCACACACAAACAATCCTGACTAAGGACAGCACACTCTCGGGACAATATTTTGAGGTCTGTTTTGGTGTTACCGTCTTATCATGAACTCTTCAGTCTTATCATTATCATCATCGGTCTTTGTGCAGCTTTTCTGACACTGTGTGAACAGCGTACAGATGTTTTCAGAGAAAATAAACACCTTTATCTGAAGAACATCACACCTTTGTGCTTAGCTTCCTGTTTACCATGAAAAGCCCAAAAACTGAGAGTACATGGTGACTCAGGAAATACACTCACACATGTGTTGAAATGAACTTCCATGACAAAGTGTTTGTGTTTTTGTCTTCCTGTGTTTTAGGCTTCTCCTAAGTAACATTTCATTCTGGTTTCTTGAAACTCACTTTCGGTCTAACTGTTGGAGTTTCTACAGGCAAAGTTTTTTTGGAGTGTGTAGAAAAGCTGAATTTGAGATGTTTTAAGAAATTGAAATACCTGTTTTACCAAATTGGGGACAATGTGGCCTATAATAATGTATCATTATGTAATTTGTTCTTCAATTCTTCCCAGCATTATATAACAATCATTTATAATGATATTCATTCACAGATTTTGAAGTGACTGTTATTTTGTATATATTGACTGTTGTGCTTTTATTTATGTCTTTTAATGTGTGCAGGTGTATAAATGTGTCTATAGATGTTTTGAATGTGTATATACAGTATATATGTATATACATATTTGTATACATATTTGTATATATATATTTGTATTTTTTGTATTCCTCGGGATTGTGGGAAACACTATTTCGATCTCTCTGTCTGTACACACAAACTGAAAGATTGACAATAAAGTTGACTTAGACTTTGATGATTGGTTAAAAGAAGAAAAGAAGAAGGAAGCAGATTTCTACACCAAACCTTTACCTACATTTGTTGACAAGTCATTTAATTAAAGATAAGGCACTTCCTAAATAACTCAGTCGCTTAGCTCATGATGGTTCTTAAGGAAGGCTTCAACAGTATACGTTTTAAATTGGTATCAGCAATGGCTTCAATAGGTATAAGATCTGATTTGTTACCCAGGTAGCTTCCAAAGTTGACATATCTAGCGTCCTCGTCCAGGTACACCGACATCACTCCACTGGACGTGTTAAAGACCAACACTGAACCCATCCAATAAGATGTCCCCGGAGCCCCCATGATGATCAGATCCTGAGAACAGCACAAGTTGATATCATGTGACACACATCTCTATTAAAGCTTTATTATATATGGTCATATTGTATATACAAATTGTCTACATAGTTCAGTCTACTGGTGGAAACCGTGAAGACGAACTGGATTTTGAGGAATCTAACTGACCTCTGTGAGGAAGTTGGAAATACCGGCCTGACATGACCCATAATCCTCACCGAACTTCTTCTGGTAATCTGTAAGAGGCAAAGACAAACAGACATGTTGAAAGGTGAAGGTGAACAAATAATAATAAGATAAAACCCAAATGTTTTGCTCTTGAAGCTGAACAGCTGCAGTAATGAAGGCACCAAACATTTGGATAGTCATACATTATTAAGGAGGATAATATTTCTTATTTGTTACCAATGTATTGTAATGTATGTGTGTTTACCTCTGTAGCAAGGGATTAAGGGTTGGGCGTATCTCAGGTCGCTCCCGTAACGATAACAGACTCCGTTGGGCAGCTTGTGGTTCTGAACGTCTTTCCTTGAGTAGTAGACGTTCTTCCAGCGATGAGCACATGCCTGCACACACACAGACAAACACACACATAAACACACACACATAAACAGACACATGTGACATGGACTCATTACTGACAACACAATCACAAATTAGAAGCACAGAGTCTTGTTATTCCCGTGACCCATGACACTGTGACAGAGGCTGTGTGTGTGTGTGTGTGTGTGTGTGTGTGTGTGTGTGTGTGTGTGTGTGTGTGTGTGTGTGTTGTGTGTGTGTGTGTGTGTGTGTGTGTGTGTGTGTGTGTGTGTGTGTGTGTGTGTGTGTGTGTGTGTGTGTGTGTGTGTGTGTGTGTAGAACAACATTAGCCCTGTTCCAGTTTTAAGTTCTCCTTTTTCATGAGATACCTCGAACATTGCCTAATAAATAATAAACATGTATCTTTTCAAGTAAGAGCTAAATGGGAATCTAAGACATAAAATAGTCAAAGTTAAAATAAAAATATAAAATAAAGTCTTGCAAATTACAAACTAAATTCCAACAGGTAAGTAGTAAATATCCCTCATGAGGAAGTAATAAATAAACATAAAGTGTAAATATTTTTAAACAGTTAGTAAAGTATAGTAAGGCAACCTGACAGTAATTGATTGAAACCAAAATGTAACCTGGTCATCTTTCACTCACTGTCTCAATGAGTGACAGTGAGGAGACAGCTGCTTCTGCTGCTGCTGTAAATAGTTTTGCTACATCACTAAATTTAGAGTCTCTTCAAGAAATGGAGATCTTATAGATTGCTGGTATGTTGAAGTAAAGCCTATTAGGTGTTAAACATACTGTACCTCTCTATTGAGAAAATGGTAAATTATGGCTTTAATCACACATTACAGAACAAGCATGGAAAACTAGATTTGCTGTGTCACTGCTGGTGAACAGCGTTGAGTTGTTTTACAAAGTTGGATTGTTGTATTATAAATACAAAAGGGAGAGGTGTTTTTTGTTTCTCTCACAGTATTTCTCACTGATGGATTAACAAACGTACTCGGCTGTTGACAATTGATTTATCTTGCTCCCATTTAAAGTGAAATTGAAATGAAAATTCAAAGGAAGGTCAAGTTTTAAGATAGATGTAGTCCGAGCAGGGGGGCGAAGGTACCTTTGCCCCCACCACTTTACGCCCCCGGGCCGATTTGGCGTCACAAAACAGACAAACACCTGGCAAAGTACTCAACATTGCGTCTGTGGTAGTCACAATTGTAGGTGTCTTAAGGACACATTTCGACATAATGACACACACACACTTATATGGCTAAAACAATACCAGCATTTGTGACATGGCTGGTAAACTCTGGAGCAATAGGAGGTGTAGGACAGAGAGAAAGTGTTTGTGTTACCAGGATGTGCCCTCCATTGTCTCCAGGTTGTCTGGACAGACTGACTCCCAGCCACTGGTGATCACTCTCTGGATCGCACGTCTTCCCACAGCCCTGCACGTCTGCACACACACATTAATTCAACAGTTTCACACATGCAGCCTTCACAGCTTAATCAGTGGTGTTTTACAGCTAACAAGCTGACAGTGTTGTCTTGTTCAGCCCAACAACGTCCCAAAAAATAAATAAGAGTGTTTGTGGTGTGTTTTTTTTAACTGTATGATGCAGAAAGTCCAGTCTGGCAAATACACATACACGTTTGCCTTTAGGATAGGTAATATTATAGATAATGCTCTATCTCAAGCAAACAATGTGTAATGAATATGTTTGTATTCCAAAGGCTGGAAAGAAACAACACACAAACAGACAGGAACACACCAGCATGCATGGGATGGCAGTGGTGGGACTCGGCAGTGACGTTGCAGCGGTACACAACTCCTGGAGATCGGACCGATGGATTGGAGGTCGAGTTTGCTACCGGAGCTCCAACCACCAACCTGAGAGAAGGAGACAGAGACAGGATCTGTCTTTGTGTCTGCTTAGTGTCTGAATGGCATCTGTGTGTGAAGCATCAAAGAGCTTCTCTCATTGACACAAACTGGCTAATTAGCATGCACACACAAACACACACGCACAGACACAGTCCTACTGTGAAGAAGGCAGCTAATAGAGCACCATTAAGTTAATTTAATAAATCTAAATGTACTGATGGCTTAAAGATGGGTCAAGAGTGGAGCAAAAGAGGGTCGTTAGAAGGTTGGTAGAGAATCAACATGCAGATCAACAGAGGTTCTATAGAAAATTAATAAATAATCAAAATGAGCTCAATATAGCATTAATAGATCATTTATAGTAGATGACTGGCAGATCAGTAAAATATTAATAACTGATCAACAAGAATCAATCAAAAAGGGGTAAAGACGTAGATAAATACCATCTGTGGGATTTGTGACGGTGCAGCAGGACTGAGTATCCGAACATGGAGGAGGAGGGGCCGCTGAACTCCAGACTGTGCTCCTGATCCAGATTGTACCCTGTTGCAGGATGGGCCAGGACCAGGATCTGAACCAGGATCAGGATCAGGCTGCAGAGCGTACACATGCTGCCCGCTGAGGGACACATGATGGAGGACAGACTGCAGGGACACCAGAGAGAAGAGAGACATTATTATCAATACATCAGATCAAAACAAAATTTGATTTTCTGTCGTCATCTTCACATACTCACTCACAAAAATGCAACATTCTAGTCCAGTTCTTAAAGTTCCCTAATACACCAAATATGTCAGACTATTTGATTGAACACTGCAGAGACTGGTTAGCCTATTTTACCATTAAGATTGGAAATAGGGGTAAACAGTATATCTTGCACTCATTTCAAGGCTGCATGATGTTTGCTTGATTTGTATAAAATCAAATATGGTAGTCAGTATCAGTCAGTCCTATTTGTTCAGATCTCCACAAAATGTTCATATTGTATGACAGTATTGGCTTAATCATCACCATCTTCAATAGTGGACAAAAAGCCTTTGTACTGGCATCACTGTCTTATTTGACTTAGCATTGAGAGCTTTACTCATTTTTGGCTTTATAAAGGTTAATTAGAGTCCAGTGATTGAGCCTCTCTCCAGATATATTGAAAGAAAAGGCAGTAACAGAATAGCAGGATGCATGGTGAATGCCAATTGTAAATTACCACAGCACACCACATAATTCAATGTGTGTTTTGCCAGACCAGTAACTACCAATAGTTTCGCTGGTAGCCTGGCAACTGCACCTGGCCACATGCAAAATCATCCAGCAAAACATTGACTTGTATACATTTCTTTTGAACAGATAAACAAAGAAAACGTTTTTTGTTTTTTTTAAATACAATGTGCTAACTAGTAAGTATTAGTGGGGTTGTTAGGTGGATTTTGTTCCAACAGAGCCAGGCTAACTAACAGTTTCACCCTGTTTACACTAACTATGCTAAACTAAGCTAACTAGCTGCTCGCAGTACTTTGACAACAGACATAAGCAGCCTACTAAAATGTTCTGTTACCTTGATAGTAACTTTCATTATAATTAACTGGTAATTAAGCACATTTTATCAATTAAGTCTAACATAATTATTACATTATTTAGTGATGTGTCTATAGTTTAAGTTATTTAGGAATATCTCAAACTCAAAGAAATTAGACAAAATCAGTTTGAGGAACCAACTTTGCAGCGGTCCCCCAAACTTGTTGTTCTGGCCCTGCATGGGGACTGAAATATTCCTAACAATATTTCTAAGTCATAAAAGTTTTTGAAATGTTTTTGAAATTATTTCAAACTTATTTTTATTTTTTTTCTCCAAAAGCGTATTAGTCATAACTTCAAGCAATAGTTTTGATTTATCAAAAAATGTATGTCGTTAAAAATGTCTCAACTTCAATCTGACCAACAGTCCATTAAGTTTAAGACAGGAAAAAAAAAGCCAACGTGTTTGTTTTATGATTGAAAACCTTCCTCATTAACTTTTCCACTCATTCATTTAAGTCCATATGGTACATGACTAACTAACGGAGAGTTAACTTTACCTCTATCCCGTTTGAGACAGCAGTTATCCCGGGTCAGACTGTGGGTCCACTCGGTATCCTACCGGGCAGAGGCTGGATCAGTACCGGGCACAGGGGACCAAAGAGCCGCAGTGTGTCCGCAAAGTCTCCGTTAAATCCTTCTTGTTCCCGGTGTGACTCGCTGGATGGAAACCTCCTGTTGCTCCTCGGTCCGTTAACCGACTTGTGCGTAAAACGAGGCACCCCGAGGCTCTGGGATTGTGTGACACAGAAAAAGTGAGGCTGAGTCAAAGAAACCGAAGAGAAAACCCCTTAAACTAAGTTCATCTCAGTTTCAGAAGAAGTCAATGAAACTGAGAACTAGGCGCGCTGAGACCCTCCCTCCTGCGCGTGGTGCATGTGTGTGTGTGTGTGTGTGTGTGTGTGTGTGTGTGCGTGTGCGTGTGCATGTAACGGTGTTTCCTCTCTACCCCCCCCAATGTCCGCCTAAACTAGAGCGTCTGTGTGTGTGTGTCGGGGTGTTTCCTCCTCAGTTATCACTACAGTGTGAATGGATTCAGTGCAGCTTTAATCTCATTTAACTGTCTGATCCCTGCTACATACAAATACTAATATATAGCTTTGAAAAACACTAACAAACACTCACACAACATCATCATAAATATAAGTAAGGGTCTTTTGAAAATAGTTATAGATGTTATGGAACACAGTGTGGAAGGTAAAGGAGTATATGCCTGCATTTACTCATATTACAATTTGTATAGATAGGCTACGTATTTTATTTATTACTTGTATTTGCCACGTTATCGGGCTACTAAACTATGGACCAAAGCTAGTAAGAATGGGATCCCATTAATCCATTATATGACCCTAATATGTTATAAAGAAGGCCATTCTTATTAAAAAAGTTAGTCGCCTTCTTTTGCTTTTAATACATTGAATACATTTTTGATGAACGGTTTAAAGTTTTGTTTGTGGGACAAGTGTGTCAAAGTATTTCTTCACTGAGGTATTGGTCAAAAAATATCTTTGTAAAAGTTATGAGCAAGACAACATGAGCAGTCACTAAATGGCCTTTTTTTTTAAGTGTACCTAAAGTTTTACTTACGTTTAAAGAAGTTTAGGAGTATAGTCCAGTGTTGGGAGTGTTGCCACAGTGAGACGTCACAGCTCTCATGTGGTCTGTAATCCTGCTCAGTTGAGGTGACACTTCTAACAGCGTAACGTATAATTAAGACCAACATTGTTTAGACCTACATTGCCTGAAACAGCGGGGGTCCTGATGCAGAAGGACAACTGTAACACCAAGTTCTTTAGCTAAATGCTAACACCAGCATGCCAACATGCTCACAATATTTACTCATTTTACATTTGGATCTTAGTATTAATAAACACATATATTTCCTTTAATGCTACTTTTATACTTTAAAAAAAAACGTTGAAGTATATCTTAAGCTGAATAGACTAAAGCCCTCGCAAAGCTCAACATTACATAATGAAAAGTAATTTAGATATACGTGAATCTCACAGAAAAGGGTGCTACAAACATATAATCCTATAGGATATGAAACTAAATATAGGATTAATAGTTTTTATTAATATATTGATTGCACATAGATTTTTTGATCACATGAAATTCCTTATATATTCCAGGTAGAGTAACCTAGACAAGTAAGAACATTTAATTATTAGCAATAACCCTGATAACAAGTCGGGGTAAAGAAATATTTGAGTGGTTTTACGGACTGTAGAGGTGTAGCAACAAGTCTGGGATAAAATCGCTTATCTAAACATAACATAAAAAGAATATAAACACCTATAAAAACAGTTTTAAAAAAAGCTCTGAGCAATAAAACACGACATCTTCTCTGAAGCTGCCATGTTTTAACACTAATAAAGCTCATGAACAAACCAAAGTCACTTAGCCAAAGGATAGAGCCTATTCTGTAGAAATTATTTTTTGTTATTATTTACAGAGAACTGCTATGAGTGATTGAAATAGTTTAATGCAGTGTCACTTGCACTGACAATGCCTTTATAAGTAGTGTTACATGATGAACAGCTGGTGCAAACTATGTTAAGTTGTGGTTCAAGGGAGAAATATTTGTCCTAAAAGAGTCACTGAAGAACTCAAACAGTTCTGTGATTCATTCCAGACCTTCGACCAGCCATCAATAAATAAACAAGAGGAATGCGAAGAACAGCAAAAAAATGTTAAATGTTCAAACTTTAAGAGTTTATTTAGAGTATCTGTACGTTGTTTCACAGAAAGTCAGAGAATAAATGTAAAAATAGCTCCAAAGATAGCTGTGGAGAAAACAGCCTGCTTTAGTGAATGGCGACAGGAACACACCACCACACACCACCACAACACACACACATATACACACACACACCCACACAACACACACACACCACACACACACACACACACACAACACACACACACACACACACACACACACACACACACACACACACACACACACACACACACACACACACACACACACACACGTTTGTCGGTATTTCCTGTTAATGACCCTGCAGTTATTATGCTGGAATCTGACCAGCTACTGTTCCCACCCTCCTACGCAATCTGAGGGTCCTTGTGTTGTAAAGAAGGGGGGAAATCCTCCTTGTTTTAAAGCATTTTGACATTTTTAAGTCAGTTTTATACTCGCGCCAGCTACAAGCATGCACTGAGATTAGGCCTAAATCAGGAGGCGTGCAAACAAAGTATTCAGTGAAGAAGTAAACCAATGTTACTGACAAAACAACGTAGATCACACATGTAACTCCAGGAGTAATTGATATTAACTTTAGTCAAATGTTCATGGACATACGTTATTGCCTTAATACAATCCCAGTCAAATTGGATCAACAAATATATTATAATAAAAAGAAGTTTGAAATGTTGGATATCCGGAAAAACTATATAATTCGGCTGGCAAAATACTTACCAAAATGTAGATTTCTAAGTTCTTCTGCTTAGTTTTGAAAAGAAAAATAATAATAATTAATAGATTTTTTATTTAAGGCACAATAGTAGAGGAACAAAATACAAATATGAACCTGAAAATAAGCATAATATGGCCCCTTTAAAATATCACTAAAGAAATAACTTGACTTTCTTTTGTCCCTGAATTGTATTGCCTCCTTTTATCACATTTAGCTCTATTTACATGAAAATAGCTCATTTGATGATGGATCAAACACAGCCCTAAAATACTTCGGTATTGTCACAAAGATAAATGCATGTACTTTGAAGGTTGATGATTGCTCCCTTTTATATGGAGAGTGACATCATGTGCAGAACACAAACAAGACATTAAAACTGTCTCTAGAACACACACACACAAACACACTTCTTGCTACATGTAGCGGTGATAGCATCCCTTTAGCTGTGTGCACTGAGGTATTTTTGAACCACCGCTTAACGTACAATTACAAGGTCAAAGGTCACGGCAGACAGTAGATTGATGGACGGGAGGACAGAAGATGAGAAGCAGATACAAAACATTTGAACTCCCACTCTTGTTTCTGTGCTTCTTCAATCTTAAAGAATTTTAAACACACTGCTGCCAGGAAATTTAGACCATGCAGTTAAAACGACCAGTAAATAATTAGTGTCTCTCAAACTCACACATGGAAGGCAGCATTCAGTCATGCAGTTAGTGTGTGATGAGTGTGTGTGGGACTATGTTTGTTTCAGAAGACAGTAAACACTTGTAGCACTTCCTCTGTTCTCTTTCACTTCCTTCTCTCTCTTTTTTCTCACAGTTCAGAAGTACATCCCCACTAAACTAGTTCAAAGTTGATTTTCTTTTAAGTCTTAGGTCCAGAGTAATATAGTTTATAAAAACTACGAAGTTTGGAGCCAATTTGGGATTTTGTACTTGACTAATAGGTAGGGATGGGTATCGTTAAGGTTTTAACGGTACTACTACTTTTATCGATACCGCTTATCGGTCCGGTCTTTTAACGGTACTCTTATCGGTTCTTTTGGAGAGAAAAATGAGGTAAACGAACTATATGTTGTATGTCAGGGACTACGAATGGAAATTAGCTCAAAGCTAAAATCCGGCATATTTACCCTTGAAGCATTATTTGTCTAAAGTGTTCATTAATGTGCATTGTCCCTATTCAAATAAACGATTAAATGACAAATGAAAATAAACAAATTGTGAACAAAACTAACATTGCTTTTTATTTAAATTAAATACATAATATTTCACATCAAAAGAAACAACAACGTTTTAACAAATGGTATTAAATAATGTGATGACAGAACTGTGAACAGAATGGCTGAAACTTTAACAAACTAAATAACTCAGTTACCTCTAATCATCAACCCATGTTTTTGTATCATTGAGTTAGCTCCGTGTGTTGCTGCTAGCATACATAACACCTGACGTGGAAACGTTACTCGTGGATGGGGACAGACAGTCAAACCCGGTGCATTCCTCCGTCTGAATGTGGAGCACTTTTGCTAAATGTTTAGACAATTGCTCGTGTTACCCGCCCCTGACATGCTAAACTCTTATTGCACTTTAGGCAACGAGCGAGACGGGTAAAGTTGAACCACACCTCGGAGCGCGTTCTCTCCGCCATCTCCTCCGTGTGTGTGTGTTGCTGCATGTTGCAGCTGCGTGTGTGTAAACTGCCCCGCCCCCTCGCACACAGGCGGGGGAGAGAGATCTCTCGTCTGGATTGGAGAGATCGAAAATACTGAAAATGACGCATTTTGCAGTCTTTTTGCGTATTAGAAACGGAGTTGGCAACACTAAAACTGCAATATAATGTTTGTGTAGCAATAATACACATGACATATTTTTTAGATGTCTCCAGTACCGATAAAAAGACCGATAACGTCGGAGATTAACGGTACCACGGTCTTTAATAATTCAGCCCCGGGGCCCGTTTAATACCGGGGCTCGGTACCCATCCCTACTAATAGGTCAAGCATAGGTTCAACTAGTTGTACCAAATAAACTGGCAACTGGTTGTATTGCATGTTGTCAGCGGGTCTTTGACCTGTGATGATTAAATTCATCAGACATTCTCTGACAGGTCAGGGAGGATCGATCTGAAAATGAAAGAAGTGTTTCTAAAAGTCAGCATTTTGTTCCCAGTTTCCTGATATAAGTTATTACAGATGTGGAGGAGTGCCTGTAATGACACTCAGAAAACAATGAAGCAGCAACGGATTTTCCTGAGAAAAGCCCTGATGAAATCATTTCACAATGCCTGTATAGTCGTCAGGACAACGTAAACACAAACACACAGTATGCCAGCGACAACATCTGTGTGAAGTGATACTGAGACAGGAATCCAGAGAAAATAACCAAATTACCGTAAAGAAAAAAAACAAAAACATGCACTATTCATC